GAGGGTAGCGCCGACTTCGCATCTCTCGTCGCTGTCACGGGAGTGGACGGTCGTTTCGCCGGATGATGAGGTGGTGATGGAGGAGGAGGAGGAGGAGGAGGAGGTGGATGACGACGCCATAGACCAGGAAGAGGCCGAACCAAAGCTGGAGGCAGAAGCCGTGGTGGTCGGGGCGAAGGGCGGCAGGAAGGCCGCTGAGGGATAGATGGTTAATCCGGAGTTTCCCAAGAAGAAGGTGGATGATGAGATGGTCTTGAAGAAGGAGATGGACGTGGATGTTGTTGGGTAGGAGGAGGACAAGTGTGAAAAGGCTGAGGCCGGAAGTTAGACGGCGTTGCAACACCCAGCAACATCCATGAAGTTGCCAATTCGTACGCCATTGCCAGGAAGAGGCGGTATATACATCCCGCCTTACATACGATGAACGCAGGTAGCGATACATGTCTGCTGTGGCAGGAATATTCAGAGTCTCGCGACTCTGATGGGTCCAGACCACCGTGCTTCCAGTAGAGCAGAGACCGCATCATATGGGCCACGGAGGCTTAGGATAAGCAGAAGTTTGCCGGCGGCCATATGACCCAAGGCAACATGTACTGTTCGACACTCATGTCGAGCGCACCAGCGGCGCAGCGCAACGATGCCCTCCCTGGTCATTGTGAGAACTTAGAAGTAACGTTGCAGCGACGAAGAGTGAGGTCAGAATTGCGGCGGACGGACGTTCCCGGCTACTTTATGACGTTCCCGGCTACCTTATCGATACCGCGGGCCGCCATTTTTTCGTCGACTTGGCATGTTGCACAGGAAGGCGCGATGGCGGTTGGGCGGCGAGGAGGAAATGGTATTGACATAACAGTCACGGTTCGCAAGTAGTCAAAATAGTAGTAGAGCCTCTGGGGCATCAGGCGCTGTCATATGAATCGGAATTACGGTGTAGAAAGTGCGTGGAGGCACGAGTTTGCACCAGAGACTTTTAGAAGTGTATCGAAGTTTCTATGGACTCAGCAGATCCTGTCTTAAAAACATTGTCTTTTCGCCGGCCAAACCTCTTTCTTCCACAACACACACCACACAACAACCTCTTTGATACTCCCCAAGTCTCACACACTCCCTTGATACCAATTCCCTACACTCGAATCACAACCACACATCATGGCCAAAGCCAGCGGACCCGCGATCGGTATCGATCTGGGCACCACCTACTCCTGTGTGGGCATCTTCCGCGATGACCGCATCGAGATTATTGCCAACGACCAGGGCAACCGGACGACGCCCTCCTTCGTCGCCTTCACAGACACCGAGCGCCTGATCGGTGACTCGGCGAAGAACCAAGTCGCCATGAACCCTTCCAACACCGTCTTCGACGCAAAGCGCCTGATCGGCCGCAAGTTCCAAGACGCAGAGGTGCAGGCAGACATGAAGCACTTCCCCTTCAAGGTCGTCGAGAAGCAGGGCAAGCCCAACGTTGAGGTCGAGTTCAAGGGCGAGAACAAGACTTTCTCTCCCGAAGAGATCTCCTCCATGGTCCTGACCAAGATGCGCGAGACCGCAGAGTCATACCTCGGTGGCACCGTCAACAACGCTGTCGTCACAGTTCCAGCATACTTCAACGACTCGCAGAGGCAAGCAACCAAGGACGCCGGTCTCATCGCTGGCCTGAACGTCCTCCGTATCATCAACGAGCCCACCGCGGCAGCCATTGCCTACGGTCTCGACAAGAAGACTGAGGGTGAGCGCAACGTCCTCATCTTCGACTTGGGTGGCGGCACATTCGACGTCTCGCTTCTCACGATTGAGGAGGGCATTTTCGAGGTTAAGTCAACTGCTGGTGACACCCATCTTGGCGGAGAGGACTTCGACAACCGCCTCGTCAACCACTTCGTGAATGAGTTCAAGAGGAAGCACAAGAGTAAATACTCCCAGCCCCTACCTTCAAATCAAAAGACAGATGCTAACAATTCTGCAGAGGACCTCACCTCGAACGCCCGCGCTCTCCGTCGTCTGCGCACCGCATGCGAGCGTGCCAAGCGTACCCTCTCCTCGTCTGCTCAGACATCCATCGAGATCGACTCGCTCTTCGAGGGCATCGACTTCTACACCTCCATCACCCGTGCCCGCTTCGAGGAGCTGTGCCAGGACCTCTTCCGTTCCACCATGGAGCCAGTCGAGCGCACCCTCCGTGACGCGAAGATCGACAAGTCCTCCGTCCACGAGATCGTCCTCGTCGGCGGCTCCACCCGTATTCCCAAGATCCAGAAGATGGTCTCCGACTTCTTCAACGGCAAGGAGCCCAACAAGTCCATCAACCCAGACGAGGCCGTTGCCTACGGTGCTGCCGTGCAGGCCGCCATCCTCTCTGGTGACACCTCCAGCAAGTCTACCAACGAGATCTTGCTGCTCGACGTTGCGCCGCTCTCCATCGGTATCGAGACCGCTGGTGGTGTGATGACGCCACTCATCAAGCGCAACACGACCATCCCCACCAAGAAGTCCGAGATCTTCTCCACCTTCTCCGACAACCAGCCTGGCGTGCTCATCCAAGTGTTCGAGGGCGAACGGGCTCGTACAAAGGACAACAATCTGATGGGCAAGTTTGAGCTCACCGGCATCCCACCTGCGCCACGAGGTGTTCCCCAGATCGAGGTTACCTTCGACCTTGATGCCAACGGAATCATTAACGTCTCCGCTCTCGAGAAGGGCACCGGCAAGACCAACAAGATCGTCATCACCAACGACAAGGGCCGTCTGTCGAAGGAGGAGATCGAGCGCATGCTTGCTGAGGCTGAGAAGTACAAGGAGGAGGACGAGGCCGAGGCTGCCCGTATCCAGGCCAAGAACGGTCTGGAGTCGTACGCCTACTCGCTCAAGAACACCCTCTCCGACTCCAAGGTCGACGAGAAGCTCTCCACCGAGGACAAGGAGAAGCTCAAGTCCGAGATTGAGAAGACCGTCGCCTGGTTGGACGACAGCCAGCAGGCCACCAAGGACGAGTACGAGTCCCAGCAGAAGGAGCTTGAGGCCGTCGCCAACCCAGTAAGTATTCCATGCAGCTAAGCCCTTGCACACGAAGCATATGCTAACGATGTGTCTAGATTATGATGAAGTTCTACGGCGGCGAGGGTGGTGGTATGCCAGGCGGTATGCCAGGTGGTGGTATGCCCGGCGGCGGCATGCCCGGCCAAGGCGGTGCCGCGGGCGGCGACGACGGCCCGACCGTCGAGGAGGTCGACTAAGCGCCTCGCCCGGACACGACATGATCCAGTCATCTGTGGGTGGCTTCGACCTTTAACTGACTTTACGATACCTTGGTTGCATGCATAGCACACTGGCGTTTAAGCTTAGATATGGGCTTCGGAACATGATGGGACCTTTCTATGATGAAGTAGAGAGATAAGAGACAAATGCTTTTGCACTTGCTGAAAGGTCATTGGTTTTCCATTTCCATTGCGTTCACGCTGCTCGTGGTATACCCTAAAAACATCCCCGTCTCCTCTCCCCTCACTATTCATTTCATTTGTTCATTAAATTCCTGCTCATCCTGTTCAGCGGTCTATAATCGCCACGATCGCAGGCACGTTCTGTCAGGCTCGCGAAATGGTCGAGACCGCGACTCCACCGCTCGACTCTCTCGCGTCGAGCACGCCTCGATACCGCACGCCGGGACGTCCGGCGCAATCTCAACAACACGTATGTGGAGCTACCGCGGGAAGGAGCACTTGAATGTTCGTCGTCAACGAAGTATTTGATGCCTTCGATAGGGCGAAAGGCATCACCATGATCCGCCCTAGCCGACGAGAAGACGTCCATCGGACCACTGTGCCGCCGTACTCAATACCGGGACGGGAAAATGGTGAGGCCAAGCCGACTTGAACGTTCAAGTGGGCAATACGATGTGGTCATGGAATTCTACCCCCTCGAATCCGAATAAAACCCACCCCCTCCTCCGTTCGTACATCAGCGACAGCGCTCCGCAGATCCGAACCCATGGCCCTGGGTACACTATCTAGGATCTCAACATTCCCGCCAGCGATGGTGGAGCGTTTGGCGAAGTCCTGGACGATGGAGGGAATGGAGGGGTGGTGGTTTGTGACGAAGGTGATGTTGAAGCGATCAGCGGTGGTGGCGTGAAGGTCGATTTGAGTGGAGGATGAGGAGGCGGTGGCTGGGGAGACGTTCGTGGTGGGTGGTTTTTCGTTGGGACGGGGTGGTGGCTGGCTGGCTTTTCGGGTGATGAAGATGGTCATGCGGAGGCCTGGATGGGTATTCAGGAGATCGTTCAGTTCTGTAAGCTCGGTGGCGAGCCAGAGCAGGTCGGCCGATTGCCGGATGATCCAGACGAAGTCGACAACCACGTTGGACACGAATGGCTGGTGCAGCGCCTCATGGATAATTGGGAGCGTGAAGGTGGACCCGGTGCCGCCAGCGACAGCAAGGAGATTCTCCGTCTCGCATCTGGGATAGCCGATGCCGTATGGTCCCGTTAGGATGACAGGGACTGTGCTCTTCCCTGCCAGTGCCGCGATCTGAGCTGTCTGCCCTTGACGCACCCGAACGATATAAGTATGATGCTGTATTCTCCTCCCAGGATCCGGAACCGAAGACGGCGTGAAAGGATGCGACTGCCATATACTCAAGCCAGGGAAGCAGTCACCAGAACGCAACTTCTCTGACTAGATGAGGCCGCACATGCCTTGTGCGCGATCTCGGTCCTCACCTCGCGACAGTACCACTACATTTACTCTACCGTCTCTCGTCAGCCACGCCGACGGTCTCTTCTTTTCTTCTGGATACTTGCGACGATGCCTTCTGATGTTCCCCTCGCAGATGAGTTGGAAGATCTAGCGGCCGCCAACACCATCTGCGCTCTTGCTGAATTCGATGACCACGTGAGACCGGATGCTGGGAGCTTGTGGCCTGAGTACTTAACAAATCTGAAGAACGCCATCGCATCGGCAGCTCCATATCTCGACGACTCCGCCACCATTGATGCTATCAATGAGATGGTTGAAACTTGTGCAGAAGATGTATCGTTGAGAACTGCGTCGTCACCACCATCACCACTCGACTCGCATGGATATACCAGCTTCGGTAGCACACGGGACGATGACATATGGGCCGGTTTTGTGACAGCATGCGAGTCCCGGGGAGTCCTCAAACATCAACTGGTGAAGTTCTCTGGCCTGCTCGATGCGCCTGCTATGTTCGAGCTTCATTATCCTCCGGAACGAGTGAACGAAACTCGGTTACTGTCGGTCGTCGAGCAGCGTAACAGTTGCCTCTATCTTTACTTCTCGAAGCTCGGTCTGTCAATGAAGAATCCTGAAGCCAACATCTGCTGGACCGAGCGATTTTATGCAAAGACCAGTACCGTAGCGCGGGAAATGGATGCAGCGCGGCCCTATCGTGCTGTACACGAAAACGAGTTACTCGTTGAGAACGAACGACTTCGAACCAGCATGTCCAGGCACTCAAGATACCGAGTGAAAGTCGTCGTCACTGAGGTCACCGTCAAGGAAGACATTGAGCGCGCACAGAAGGACAAGGACATCCTGTTTACCCTGCCAACTCGCGACAACGATTGGGTCCCGATCTACAATCAGCCATAGCATGGCTGTTTTAACCACAAAGAACGGCGACTGCACCTGTACTGCTACCATTCGGAAGCCATTCTGAGGGGAAATCTCTCGGATCGATTTCTCCTTCTTGCCGATGATATAATCAACACTTTTGCTGCCGTCGCTGGAGTCAAAACCGTTCGACGCGATGGGTTCAGTAATTTTAAGAGAAGCAATGTCACCTCGATGACCATTTGGTCGGATGGATCCCAGCGGAACCGATCTGCTTTGGACACGGTCCTAACGATGCTTTATATTGAGCAAAACCATTCCATCGAGTTCACCAGGGGACAACTGCCCCAACAGCTTGTCCACTATGCCGAACAAGAAGGTCTGCACATCGTCGAGAACGACAAGAAGTCACTCGTTGCGCAAATCCAGCAACATATGGCCATCAAGGGCGGTATGAGGGCTGTCGACAGGAGAATGCCCGATGGTACGCCGTTCCTCCACGCAATCGGCGCTCGTGGCCGGCAGACGCAAGCCGCAAACAATTTCCCCCAGCTACGCACCATGCACGAAGAGCAAGTCGTGCTTGGCTGGCCTGTCCTAAGTCGTGGTCGTGAATCTCAGGAAGCTTCTGGCTGGGCCGCGTTGCGGAAGACTGTCGCTAACAGGGTGGCGAAGTATGAAGAACACTTGCAGAGGGATGTTGACAATGTTGTGGCGAAGAAACGCAAATCAGTCGAAGGCGCCATTTACTCGTCTTCACCACCGCGGAAGCAGAGGGCTGCCGAAACCAAACCTCGCAAGCAGAAACAATTTGGCGAAAAAACCTGCTCGACCTGCGGAAAGACGTTTCCAAACCAATCCAAATTGGACATACATGCGACAAGTCATACTCAAGAAAAGCCTTACGCCTGCCCGGACGAGTCTTGCAGCGAAACCTTCGGCACAGAGACAAATGCCAACAACCATTATCGCAGAAAGCACACAGACCTTGCGAAGACGTTGTGTCCTACGTGTGGGAGGACGTTCTCAAACAAAGACAACATGAAGAGACATCGGAAGTCCAAGCATCCTTCAGCTTGAAGTGGGTGGGTGCGGATTTTGTTCGGTATACAGTTACAATATCGTCGACAGCGTGCAGTGAAAAAACATCTCAGTGCAATGAGAAGCGCGCGTATCTCGAAAATCGCGTCCGCTCACTCATCTCCACTGCTCTCACCCACCTCTTCATCTTCTCTCCGGCGCTTGGCCAGAATATTCTCCCAATCCCGCGCAAACTCCCTCAGACCTTCACCACTCTGGCTCGCATCCACGACATCCTTTGGCAGCTTATGTGCGCTGTACTGCGGTGTGCTGAAGTTGTAGGCCTCCGGGTCCGTCTTGCTGATCAGTCGCAGCTCCGGCAGCCAGATCTCTTCGTCTGCATCTGACGATGTGTCAGAGTTGTTGTCTGCTTCATTGTCGTCGAGCTCGTCTTGCTCTGCGGCCGCGATCCTCAACTTGCTCAGCAGCTCGGCGTAGCCCTTCGAGTCGCCATTGATCGGTAGTCTGACGAAGTCCGGCATATCGTCCATCGTTTCCTTTGGTGGCTCGGGCATGGTCAGTATCTCCAGCCAGCCGAAGAGAAGTGGATCTGTCCTCGGCGCCCACGGGTTGAAGTCGACAAGCCATACTCGGTCGTATGGCGCCGGCACATAAACATCAAAAGTAAAGTTCTCATCTGGAAACGTATCACGAAGTCGCACATCGAAGAACTCCTGGATCAACGAGCGCAGCTTACCACTCAAACCAGACAAGAACTCGAAGTGGTTGAGATCCCGCTGGCACATGCATAATAGTCGTCGACCGCGCACGAAGCAGCGAAATTCGACTGATGGGTTCCACTGGCCAACGGCTTTGCGTAGTACCAAGTGGTACGGGATCGTGCTCTGTGTCAGCGTCGAGCCGGGCGAAGCGACAGTGTCGTCGAAAGCGTGTTCGAGGTCATGCGTGACGAAGTCGGAACTCTTGAGTAGTAGGTAGATCTCGTTCGGCGTCCGACATATCATCGTATTGGCGTTCATCCAGGTAGCGTCCTTGGGAGCAGACCAGTTCAGCTTTGGTGCCACCTCGCCACCTAGCTCCGCGATGGTGTTGGCGATCGCAGTATGAATGTTGCGCCACCCTGCCAGGACATCTTCGCTTTCATCATCGGAGTCGTCTGGCGCATCTGGATTGTCCGATGCAGAGAAGACGCCGCTGTCTGTGTCTGACCACTGGGGAGGTTGGTCGTCATCTTCTGGTGCCAGAACGATTCCATCGGCGCGTAGGTAGTCCAGAAAAGCCTGATTGAGCGGGATCAAGCGAGCTTTCGGTGTGATGCTGCGATACTTTGCGTGCCAGTAGTGGTATGAGCAGTGGAGTATGTGCTCTCGAGTCACCGGTGGAAACGGGAGCTCTGTCATCTCGGACGAGCCGTCGTCGTCGATGGCGGCGGGCATGTTGATGGTGGTGTGGGTAAGTTGATGCTCTGCGTAAATTGGCTGTATGGATGAGTCAATTCAACTGTCGGCGTACAAGTCTAGTACGCATGCATCGAAATGTAGAGGGGATGAACAGGTCTTATAGCCAGTCGCACATGGCTCATCAGCAAAGTTCACTTTCACATGCCCGGCACCAGCCGACGCTAGTAGAACCTCATGTCCCCCACTAATGTTTGCAATCTAGGTCAGCACCCCGACCACGACATCCCGAGCAAACCCGCCCATACTCCCGCACACCTGCTACGACCAACATGTCCTCCAACGTCGGCCTCACCACCCCACGCGGCAGCGGCACCTCCGGCTACGTGCAAACCAACAAAGCCCACCTCCGGCCCCGCGACAACCCCAAACCGTACCCCTCCGACTTCGACTCCCTCAAACACCGGCAACGCCAACCCGACGCTGAGATCCTCGAGCACGACCGCAAACGCCAAATCGAGGTGAAAATCTTCGAGCTCCGCGACAAGCTCGAGGACGAAGGTGTGGATGAGGATGAGATTGACGACCAGTGCGCTGCGTTAAGGAAGAAGTTGGAGAGGGAGGGTGAGAAGGGAGGGGGCAAGGACGCGAGGGGGTTGAAGAGTCATCAGGTGCATCAGTTGGCGGAGGCGAAGATTGAGGAGAGTGAGCGGTTGAGGCGGGCGTTAGGGATTGGGAGGGATTATGAGGAGGGGAGTCATTGGAGGAAGCAGGATGAGCGCAAGTTGGAGGCGGAGAGGGAGAGGGGGAAGTGAGGATTTCGATCACGTTGACTGGATCGCGTTTGAAGGCTACGATGCGCCATGCTGAGGATAGCTGATATGGCCAGGACTCACGTCCAGCGAAGAAGCACAGCATATGTGCAAGAAAGAAGGCAGGATTTGCGTGAGAATCGTGACCCCCTATACGGCCTCACGCCCGTACTACCTCCCGGAAAGCACGAGACTCGGGGCCTAAGAGGCTTGAGGGTGCTGGACGTGCAGCACTTGGACCATGACAGACTGCCGCTAACAGTCGAAGTGGAAACAAAGACTTTTGCCATGATGAGGCAGGAAGATTTGTGTTGAGTCGAGCAGCAGTAGCATATATACAAAAGAATATGACGACTCCTGCCCATATGCATTCGTGCTGTGGTACATCCCCGAACGCCATACGCTTACTAGCCCAGGCAAACCACCCTCCCTACATCTCTCCTCACCTACATCATCTTGTTGAACGTCGGTATCAGCGTCTGCGCCAACCAAAAGCTGAACGTCAGCTTCGGCCCCGTCATCAACAGCTTCGGCACCAGTCCCTTAAAGAACGCCGTCGGACCCTCCTGCCTCGCCATGTTCGCAATGATCTTCGCCCCGGACTGTTTGACCTCGAAGTTCTGATTCTGTATCCGCGTCTTCACCACATCCAACGGCGCCGACACCAACAAACTCGCCGACGAACCCGCGATCGAGGCGACGAAGTTTTGCAGCCACGTCGCCGAGTTGTAGTCCTCCAGCTTAAAGAGGTACTGCTTCGCGGCCGCCGAACCACCGAAGAGCGCGAAGGATCCGGGTGCGTTGCGCGCTGCTGTCCAGCCCCAGCCGCGGTAGAGAGAGAAGCCTTCGTCGGCTACAATGCGCATCACGCCGCGACCGCGGAAGGCTTCGGGGTTCGTCTGCCGCTTGATCTTGAGTACGTCGAGGGGCAGGAGCACGATCTCGCCTATGCCGATCAAACTCCCCGCCGTCGCGTGCATCATCGCCTTGCCATTGCCTCGTCCAAAAGTCTGGTCGAAAACGCTGCCGTGGTGGTTGCTCAGGTAGTCCCGGACGAAGGGCTGCCCGCCGTACTTGTATATGCGCTGCAGGACCTTGTACGCGGCGGCGTAGCCGAGGCCGGGAAAGAGGGTGAAGAAGCGGCGGACGGCGGGCTCGGAGGCGGAGGACTTGAAGATGACGGAGTTGAGCTGGGAGGCGGAGGCAATGCGGGATTGGTTGGACATGAGGCGTTTGGCGATGGTGTCGACGGGGTGGAAGACGATGAGTTCGGCGATGCCTGCGCTGCCTACGGTTCATTCCTGTTAGACAGATATGCGTGTGTTTCTAGACGATGTGCATGGCCATACCAGCACCCAGTAATCGAGCAGCAGTCGACTCCCTCTCAGCATCCTTTGCCGATGCGCCAGCTGCTACTGCTGCGACTTTGGCAGCCTTTTGGCCGACCTCTGTTTGCGGAGCCATTGCGAAGGCCTGTCACGAGCAACTCCGAACACCAATGCTTCCGCAACGCCTTGGGGTGGGTGGTATAGAAGAGTTGAAGAATCAGGAGCACGCGATAAGGTTGTTGAGCTTCTGCTTCTACTTTTCCTCGACCCAAATTCACTCGGCGGTTGGCACGTGCTGTGCAGCTGAGCTCCCAATCTCCGACTTCTTTTCTCCGCTTCGCCACAGACACCACGAGTGACTTCAGGTGCTGTGTATGACCTGAAATATCGCGTCTGAGAGTGCTGCGATTTCCCGGACCTCCGAGAACGATCAAAGCGACTATGGAGAAGACATGTTCAGAGGATAAGCCGTCGGCTACCATGATGCAGCGAGAGCTATGAATGAGGAGTAACAATGGTATACCGATAGCTTTCCCATCTTCTCTTGCTCTGTCCCTTATCTTCCTTCATCCTAAAGATTCCAAAACACGCAGCAAGATCCCACCCCTTGGCAGAAACATCACATCCCAGCCCAAAGACTCTCCTCACCATGGCAGACCGCCTCCCACCAGTCAAGCGCGAGGACCTCACCTCAACCGAACAACCCTCCTTCGACAGTCTCGCCTCCCTCGCAGGCAACCTCTTCGGCTCCCCGGAGAGTAGCCCCTTCATCTACAAACGCCCCGACGGCGCCTTCGTCGGGCCCTTCCCGCTCTTCCTCGCGGCCCCCGAAGCCGGCGAGCACACCATGGCGCATTTCGGCAAACTCGCCACGATCCCGGGACTCCCTGCGGATGCAAAGGAAGTCGCTATCCTGACTGTTGGGGCGCATTACCAAGCTGCGTACGAGTTGTATGCGCATACTAATGTTGCGATCAAGAAAGTTGGGATGGAGAGGGGGCTGGTGGAGGCTGTGGCGAGGGGCGAGAAGCCGGAGGGGATGAATGAGGGGTGTGAGGTTGCTTTTGAGACGGCGAGGTATTTGGTTGCGAAGCCGGGGCCGTTGCCGGGGGAGATGTGGGAGAGGTGCGTGAAGATGTTTGGGAGGGAAGGGACGGTGGCGTTGGTGCATTATGTGGGCGCATATGCTTATACGTGTATGATTCTTAATGCTATGGACTGTCCTGTTCCAGAGGAGGGTTGATGGATTCGAGACGAGGCTCAGAGGAACGAGAATTCTTCCATGTCATCAAGATTCTTCTCCAATGATTTTCGCATTCTAAACAAGCGATTCTCCATGCTTTTCAAACGTCCCAGGGTATCATCCCAATCATGCAACCACAACGCCTTGCCAAATTCACGTCGCGAAGCCTTTCCCGAGCACCACCATATCTCACTGCCGCCCAGGCGACAACGGCCGGTTAAACCCACCCGTCCGATTCATATACTGCCGATACTCCGTCTTCTTCTCCTTCCACACCCCATAGTTCTTATCATTCCCGGGCACCTTGGTGTTCTTCGTACTGCGGAAATTCGAGAAGCCCATGATCCGCTTCATCTGCTCCTCGGGATCTAAGTCCTCGTCAGGCGCATTGGTCATTTGGGTGTCCTTTGCCGGCGCTGTATTTGGCGCACGAGAGTTGAGGGGGCCGCGCTGGTCTGGCCGCCGCGGTGGTGGGGGGCTGCGTTCCCGCTCTCGGGTCGTGTCGCGTGGGCGCTGGTCGCGATCACGGCGGTCAGGGTTAGGACGGGTGGAGGTTCGGGTGGGTGTGCGATCGCGACGGGTGTCTGGGCGGCGGTCTCGGGGTGGTGGTGAGCGGGAGCGTTCGCGGTCTGTGAGCTGGTTAGATGGCGTATCTGCTGCAGAGTCAGCGGTCTGCTCACCGTAGCGTGGGCGGTGGTCGCGGGTATCTTCGCGACGGCGGCGGTCATCGCGGCGGCTGTCTCTATCTCTGTCCATGGCAATGGCGGTGTTTGTTCAAAGGTTGAACGCAGGATAGAGCTAGAATTTGCGGTTGAAGTCGATTCGAGTGGTGAGTCAGCATTGAAGGTCACATGTACGAACTTTCTCTCGGACATCTTCTCTCAGTCCCAGGTGCTGGCTCAGCCATACCTCCGCCGCTGCAGCCGCATATCAGTCCGCCTGACTGGAGAGAAGCACAACCGATCACTTCTCTTCATCGCCTCTTCTCCTGCCCCATAACTCCTTCTGAACCCATTCTCAACCGCTACCCCCCCAAGGTAATTGGCAGGAGACACGGGAAAGCGGCTCAAATCTAGGTCAACCATCGGATTGAATTCTTGAGAGCATGTTATCTTCTCGAGCTTCGAGGGCGCTGACAGGCCCCGTGCGAGCCGAGAATGGATCAATTTGGTAGAGCGAAGTTGGAGAAGGACTACATGTACTGGGTATCTTTTAAAGCAAAACGCCTCTTCTCCCAGTTCCCAAAGCCTGCTCAGTCCTTCCACCGCCGCTGCAGCGGAACATCAATCCATCCAGCCACCGAGAAGCTCTGCAACTCTAGATCTCATCTTCCTCCGGATCAAAGTCATCCTCAACCCCCATATCGTACAATATACGCCCACCATCTCCACCACCTCTCTGGGCGTCGTGATACGGCAACACGACGCCTTGACGGGCCGCTCGCTGCCTTTCAGTAATGTCCAGCTCGAATGTTGACTCCTCCCTGTTCTTCTCTATCTCCCTTTCGTCTTCTTCGGCTTGATATGGTGTCTGTGGTGCAAAGAGTGGGTGTTGCTCTAGCAGAGAGACGACGCCGTGGGCTTCGTGGGAGATCCCACCACGCTTCGTGACGACGTAGTAGCGTTCTTTCAAGCTACGGCCGCTGCCCCTGCGCTTGTAGTCCATCTCGAGGATCATGCCGTCGAGTCGTTGTGAGTTGAGGCCTTGCAAGATACCGTCGATGTTCTCGTAGAGGCCGAAGAATGGATCTGCCTGGCTGCGGTTCTGTGCCTGCTTCTCCGCGAGAACGTCGTGGAATGATCGCACATGGAACGTCGTGGTCGCAATCGTCTTGAGTTGCGTGACCGGGGAAGGTGCGTAGGGGTTGGTGGTTGAGCCTACGGTGGGCTCGTCGACGTCGAACATCCCCAGGAGAGAGCTGTGCTCTCCGATGAAGTTTTGAAGCCGGTTGATGAGTCGCTCCTCCTCGAAGTTCGCGAGCTCGTTCAGGCTGTCGCAGGCGATTAGAGTGTCTGATCAGGCTGTCAGTTTTTTGGAGATGGATTGGCTTGAAGCAATGCTTACGCTGGTTCGGATCGATGAACTCGTCCTGTCCCCATAACCATTCCCCTGCTGGGAGGAAGAAGTCGACGTTCTTTGGGCGGTCCGTCGAGCCAAACGAGAGGTACACCGTGCGGATGCCTGCGGCCTGTTTTGCTCGTCAGCACAGTTCTCGAGTTGAGTGATGACATGCTGACGAGAGTGAGGTGCTGCTGTGAGAGTGTTTCGATGGTGGAGAATGAGATGGAGTCGGCCGGCGGAGCGTAGTTCTCGGGTCGAGCGATGACTCGCTAACGACGGTGAGGTGCTGCTGTGACGCTGTCTCGATGGTGGAGAACGAGATGGAGTCGACGACCGAGTCCATACCATCCACGGCGGCGCCGAGGACCAGCGCCCGCCCGGTGCGTGATGTAGAATGGAAGATCAAGTCCAGTCGCGTTGCAGCAGCCTTTTGTATCCCAAACCGCCACCTCTCCGCGTTCTCCCAGTCTCAAGCAGTACCAAATGATTTTTCCATCCGCTGTAGTAGCGAACGCAACGGTATGAGGAAAGGGATAGAAGTTAGAAGAAAACTTACCTTCGCCCTCGCCAGCACGAGCCTCACGAGCGGGCGCCCCGACTGCTGCGTGCTGTCCAGCACCAGCGTGAAGGGCGAGACGCCCGCTCGCTGCTCGAACAGCTTCTCTACTAGCAGCAGGTTGTGTTGCTTGCGCCTCTCTGGCGCGGCGGCGGCCATGGTGGTGGTGCAGCGGTGGCGCTGCAGTCGTCCGTGGGTGGTGGTTGGGGGGAAGAAGGGAGGTGAGGGAGGGAAATTCTACACGAGGGGGAATATGGGCGTGATCACAACAAACATGAGCTAGTTCAGGACTAATCAGGTGGGGGTGATGGTTGATTAGTCAAGGGGTCTCGGGGGACAACAGTATCCGTTTCGGCGTCATGAAAGCCCCCTTGAAGTGCTATTACTACCTGGGAGAAGACTACTCGATCGGACGGCCCTTGAGAACGACGTGATCAAGGATCTCATAGCCAGCAGTATAGTCTCAAGGGCACGAGACTCCCCTTGAAGTCTTCCGGATTGTTGCTATCTATGAGAACGAACGCAACAACCCCATCGACTGCCCATCAAACATCAGCAGCATCCGCATCCTTAGCCTCCTCCGACCCAACCTCCCCCTTAACCCCATCCTCATGCCTGACCAACTCCTCCCCCACCTCCCTCTTCCCCCAATACTCCTCCCTACAAACCTCCATCCCCTCCTCAAACTTCCCCTCCCTCCGATCCTTCCCTGCCTGCATAGCCTCGACCCGCCACTTCTTCGCCTCCCGTCCCTCCTTCAAATCCTCCTGCCATACGCGCAGCTCCTCCTCGATGAACGGTTTCAAGTTCGTGCGTAAAGGATGGACGTCGGGGTCGTGTGCTGGTTCTCCGGCGCGAGGGGCGGGGAGGAGGGTGTAAAGTTCTTCGCGCGTGGGGCGGGGGAGGAGGGTCCAGGAATCTTCTTTGCGGAGGATGGTCTGGGAGGTGTGAGGGGGAGGCGGAGCGAGGGAGGGGAGGGGAGGCTTACGCAGATGTCGAGTTTGCCGAGTTTGGAGGTGGGCTGGGTTATGAGGCGTTTTTGTTGTGCTGCCATCTTGATGTGGTTGGGAGGGATCTGGTGGCAAATGGGTCGAGAGTTGGCTTCTCGTGGTCGCGCTTGACGAGCTGCTTCAATGCTGTAGGGCGCAGGGAGTGAGAGGCTCTGAAGGAAATGTGAGCTGCAAGTGAAGGAATCAGACCTACTCTGTGAAGGCTCGTGAAAGCAGCCTTGGACTTACGCTGGACGGATCTGTCTCACATGCGTCTCACTGATGCGCAGCTCTTTGGGTGAAGTACAGGCACTGTCATAGGCGGTTGCAGCGGTGGGACGTGGGTTGAGACTCTTCCTATTATCTAGGCGCTGCACATCGCGTGAAATGTGCCACTGCTCCTCCCGGTGGTTCTGTCGCTCGACCCTCGAGTTGGGATGACTGCCCTGGTCGCTCTCAAGACTGCGCTGACTGTGTAGACGTGTCGATTGCCCTTCTCACCGTTGCAATGTGTCTACCGGATACTGATTGCCCTCGCCGTCCTTGACCAAAGCACCTCGAAATGCTGCTAGTGACGTGTGTGCCTTGAGAGGAGCTGAAAGCTGCGCTGTTGCCCTCAACTCGTCTTTGCTCAACACAAGAGGATGTTACCTCTTCGCATGTAGTTGGAAGTATACAACAAGCGCTCGCGCTGGTTCTACAATGCTTGTTGTATGTGCGCCGATGATGTAGAGCCCTCGGAGGAGCAGCTCGGCTCGTGACAGTCGATGTGAAATGTGTCTTGGCTTCCCGCCTACACCTTCCCGTCCGTGCATTCAAAGAACATCACAGGTGTTCACACAGCACTGGACTCCCCTTCACAGCAGCCTCATGCCGCGAAGGAGCTCTATTACTCGTTGTTACCTTCTCGAACAACCCCGAGATGATCTACACCACCCAGATCATCCGTCTGGACGGTGAGATGCCCACCACCGCCCCAACGAGACGACCAGAAGCACTCACACGGCGCAGGACTGGTCCTCGTGGCCTCGGTGGATGATGCGAACGTACAAGATGTACAAGAGCTCAAGCAGCAGATCCGCAAGGTCGTGCAGCGCATCACGCCCTCCTCAGAGCCACGTGCGAGCATTGAGAGCGGGCAGCACACTATGCAGTCAGTTCACTCCCGCGGCGCCCTCATACCTTCCCAAGGCGACGATGAGCCTGTTACTAACGCGTGACACGTCCACAGCTACGTTCTGAACGACAATGTCGCCTACATCGCCATCACCGAGCGCAGCTACCCCAAGAAACTCGCCCTCACCTACCTCGAAGACATCCGCGCCGAGTTCCAGACCTCCTACAAGCGCGACGACTACCTCGATCCGCAGCTACGACCATACGCGTACAGCGAGTTTGATCGCTTCGTCGAGCGCACAAAGAAGACGTATCAGGATAGTCGCGCGACTGACAACCTGAGTCGGCTCAATGATGAGCTGAAGGATGTGACGCAGGTGATGACCAAGAACATTGAGGACCTGCTGTACCGAGGTGACAGCTTGGAGAAGATGGGAGATATGAGCAGTCGGCTGAGGGAGGACTCGGCCAAGTACAAGAGGGCGGCGGTGAGGATTAATTGGGAGTTGCTGCTGAAGCAGTATGGGCCGATCGGAGCATTGGGGCTGATCATCCTGATACTGCTGGTGTGGCGGTTCTGGTGATGAGATTCGGAGGGTTTCATTGGGAAAAGCATGATGGTTGTGCATAGCGCGGCGTTCAGGGCCATTGAGCATCCAGTCTTGTAGGCGGGCAAGTGTTGGCAAGATACCCAGATACATTGCAAAGCATTGTCGACTTCAGGCCCGGTCCAGGTTTCTTCATGTCAGCGTCGAGGTTGGTACAACGGCTGGAGAAAGAAAGATAGCTCAAAGCATGCCCACATGGGACCGAAAGACCTTCGGTGAGCAATCCGGGCGGAAAGATATCGCACTCAGTTGCTCATGGGCTGTGAGAGATGCTGCGGATTGCCGTGATACCTTCTCGCCGAACCTCAGAACGATTTGGCCTTAGATGGCGCCCGGCAAGGCTTTTGCCACCGGAGAAGAAATGCTCAAGACGAAGAAAGATGCTGAACAGAAGACACTTGCGATCTGAATGAATTTGGGAGTTCGAAATCCGGGCCAAGGAGAAGACGAGATGAGACGAAAGGAAAGAAAGCCGTACCAACAATCGCCTCGCTCAGGAATCGGTGCTTGTTGTGCCATGCATCGAAGGCGTCTTCTACAATCCAGACCGGAGACTTGGAATTTTGCCCCAATTGAAGCGGCGGGACGAGCGGCGAGGAGCGAGAGCATGCCGCTTGCAGGCCTTGGTATTCTCTGCCTCGGGGTCCTGTCAACGGGCTTACAACGACTACCGATATGTTTTGGCTGTTGAAGGACCGATTAGAGCTCGCTCTCTTGGCTGAACATTGCACGGGAGAAGCCTAAAGCGAATCCAGCGGGTTTGGAGCTGAAATCCGCGATGAAACAGGCCAGCACTACGGCAAGGCTTCCAGACCAGAACCAGAGCACGAGACGATGTGGTCTCCCACCAGAACGGAGTTCGCGCCGTCGTACAGACATGGTGCACTAGCCGGGACGGATAAGACTGCTTGGGATGTCGAGCCTGGGAAGGTTGATAAAGAGTCTAGACGTGCAAGCAGTCTTCAGAAACGGCCGCATCTTTAGAGACATTCGTTCTGATGGCCGGTTGGCATGAGGCAAGGCATGGCCTGCTTTCATCCGAACCTCCTGCTGCCCTCAATAGCTGGATTGGACACGGATGGTTCGGGCCTTGAGCAGACATCTTGGGTGCGGCTGTCGACTGCTCAAATACCGATGCCTCTACTCCAGTCTTTCGCGGAAGTCTGGATGGCTTTACGCTGGCCGTGCAGGGCGCATCAATGCCGCGGATTTGCAAGGTGATCCCGGCCTCTCGTTCGTACTTTCCTAACCGGAGCAGCCAGCGAGCTTTCTGCGGCATGTCTCGTCTCGCATCTTTCGTCTGGCCTTCACTCAGTTGTCCTGGCTCCTACATTACCGGTCGAATGTCGTTTGCCAATGTACCTTCTTGCCACAGGCCGTGCATGTCGGACTGTTATGACCATCAAGCTGGCCAATCTGCCTGCTCGCTCTGGCCCATGTCGTTTCATCTTCATGCTCTGGACCACGGCATACTTCCCGCAGATCATGAGAAGAGCCTGGTGTTCTGCTCATACCTCCTAATGGCATCCTAGAGCAAGACGCTCTTCGCCATGCTTCCTCTGGCCTTCAATGGACTGCCCTTGGCTCCCAGTGTGGTGGTCGATGCCGTTCGGCAAGGCATGTCGTCGACCCTCCGCCGTAGCGCTTGGACCGTTTCGTGGAAGAAGCTGTGCGCTATCCTTGTCTGCTCTGGTATCTCCCGTCTCATCTTACGCCTGCCGCCATGGCATTCCTTGCCGAGGCCACGCTGCCGTTCTGCTGCTTCCGCAGGCACTCGGTGTCGCCATTCGCAGTATCATGCTGTATCCCTGAAGTGCCATCCTCCTTCTCTGGCTGCCCTCGCTCTGGGTAGAGGATGCTGCGAGCCTTTGCAGGCCATACTGCCGCCGGGCGCGGGTGTTGTTGCCGTCGCACGGCTCGTACGGATGGCTCAATGGGTTGCAGTAGTTCGGCCTTGACGTGATCTCGCTGCGTCTAAGACGGACTTGTCGTCTGCTTTGCCGGGGCATATCCTGTCGAAGCTCGTGGGTGTCGGTCTGCCCTTGAGGTATGGTGGTGGAGGTCAGCACGGTCGCAATCAGGCATTCGCGGATCGGCGTGCCTTCAGGTGGTGCTTCTTGATTGCGTTGGTGATGCTGCTGCCGCAGGAGGTGTTTGCTTCGACCGCAAATAATCGCGTGATCGCTCGCAAGGCATATTTGTCCTCTTCCATCGAAAAGGTGTTGGTGTTGAACGGCAATGGCTCACTCCTCCACAGCCCCCTCGACCTCCGAAGGGGAACGCCAAGCCTTCCATCCCTACGCCCAACCCTCTACAACACGACAACCCCAAGGCCTAATACATCCAGAAGACCTGGCGGAGCATCAGGCCAACCCCCTCACGCATCCCCGAACCTCACCGAACCCTCCCGTCGCCATGGTACTGGTCCCCCACCCCACCGGCTGGAGGAGGCTCGGTGTGAAAGTGAAGTAATATATTACTTTCCGCGCTCCCGTCATTCCCTGGCGGCCTATCACAGACTGGAACGCGTCTCTAAAGCCGACAGACAAGTCGTTAAAATCCGAGGGGTCTAACTCGTTAGAACTCCCCTCAACGGGTAGTAGTTAGCCTTTAGTTAGCTTAGCTAGTCGTCTGCCTGCTGCCGTCTGCCTTGCCGGCAGCCACCACATACTAACCACTTTTCATATGTTCACTCATGAGACTAGTTACTGCGCTAATTTATCGTCTCTGCCAGGGAACTTCTTCGCTTCATTCAAGGCTGTGATGTTACGACATCGACTGTGCGAGTTGCGGGTTCGATCCCCTGCTTTGAAGCTTCAACTGCAACAACCATGTCATGACATGTATGTGTGAGTCGTGGGTTCAATTCCCTCACATCTTTTTGGTCTTTTTCCCCCTTCAATCAGGTGTATGCTGATTGATCTTCTTTTGGCTGGAGGTGTCTCCCCTGATGGTGATGGTAATGGTGCTGTCTACTTGCTCGTGTTCATTCGCGAGGGCTTCTTTTGCCATCTACCTGAGTTTACGACGGTCGAGGTTCTACGGTATGCAGGAGCTGATGGGAGACGAGCTGTCACGGTCACCGTACTTTGTCGCTTTTGAAAAGCGGCAGCGGCGGTGATGGTGGAGGTAAGTTTTCAGCGTTTGACAGACAGCAAATTTACAACACCCATTTCCCTCGACGATTCTACAACGAGACGAGAGGCAAGTAGGATATGATCAAATCATTCAGACGCGTATGAGCATTCAACGGGGAGAGCGGTAGGTTGTTGACAGTTGTGCCGATTTGCTTGGTCTTGCGCGTTTTCCTTTCTGGGGTGATCGATCGCGCCCGCTCCGGTTGGACTACCTTACCTTCCAAAACAGCGTGTCCGACATCAGCATTTCGCCAGCAACACTTCCGACAAGGACTCCTTTCCCAAGCAGAGACCGGTATCACCGAGAAGAGGTGGAACGGCTCCTTTACCAGCGCATAATGCACGACCTCAGTCTCACGGAGAATCAGCAGGACGCCCTGAGGGAGATCCGGCGAGAGTGTGACGTGTACCACGACGAGAAAAAGGCAGGTCGTCTACACTCGCGATTGCCAGCCTCCGCCTCACTTTCACTGCCATCAACGCGCCAGGCGGCGCGCAAGGACGCTGACATGAGCTGGAAGGATAAAGCATGATGCTGCTGCAGGCAAGACGCCGCATGCAATGGAGGCTATGAGGGTGGAACGCAAAGGTGACGCCAGATTTCTAGGCAAGCATGCAAGATTTGCCCGGACGGCCAGGGAGATTGGTAGGGCTACAACGGGGGCTATGAGTACACGGAGCGGCGGAGGCGGCGGAGACGAGGTTTATCTGCAGAAAGTCGGCCGCTGCGTAGCTGACGCCTCCAGCCCACGGCCCATTGAGTATGTCGTGCGTCAGCGCAGCGCCGCCCAAGAGCAGAGCCGAAGAATCAGCAGCATGGTCCCATACCAAACCGCGAGGAATGGAAGCCTTGACGGCCCCGCGGCCGGTTCGCCCTGGCCGTCTTCTGGCAGAACCGCAGCGAACGCAGACTTCAGACGTGCTTAACAGCCACACACTGACTTATTTCAGATCCAGCTGCTCGCAAAGCTTTTGGGATGGATCAAAAGGGCTACGAGGCCCGTGGTTCCAGCGGAACTAGGTACGTCCCAGCCGCCTTCTGGACGAGCACGACCTGCGATCTCGCCACCTTTCAAGATGAGCAACACACCACTGTCTCATGTCCAAGACTCTCGAAGCGCAACGAGAGAGCAGGCAGCCAACTTCATCTGACACAGGCACCACCGCCTCTTCCTTGGTGTGGCGTTGGCAGAGGCCGGGACGAAAGCACACACTTTAACTATAGCACACATGGGAACAGATTCGCGAGGCTAGATGTCGAGAAGAAAGACTATGGACTGACGAGGTGATGTCCTCAAGAATCCAGCTTCTATGATCTTCAAACCTTCGCCGCCAACGGTATGGGATAATTCCAGCAGCGTGCGTACGCTGACATCCGCGAACAGCAACTTACGATCTGCCAGAACCCATACGCCGGCACCGGAACTTGCTCCGCAAAGAACGTCGTCGTCTTCGCATCCACCGCGATATGGTCCTCTCCAATTCCCTGCCCGATGCGGTAAGCTCTTCCGGACGGAGCCGCAAACTCCCGCCGTGCACCTTGATTCAGCAAGCTCGCTATTGGCTGTACCGAACCATTTCATGAACAGACTCACGAAGAACGAGGGGCAGCATACGACCTCATCTACGATACACTCAGCTCCTCGTCCATGTAGACGCACATGTCTTCCACACACGCCGACCTCAAACCGCCCCGCGAGCCGAAGTGGCCTACTCACAATGCGCCCCGAGCGTGGTTCTTGACTTGCGCCAATAGTCCGATTGGCATTAGTCTGTGCCGGTCATTGCTGGCGCATGGCGACTACGTGACAGCTGGTGTGCAGCCGGTGGAGTTCGAGCGACATGAAGATCGCAGCGCGGACTTCAAAGAGTTCCTGGAAGAGGTGGGTACGCAGCAAGAGAAGGAGACGTGGAGGGCAAGGTTGAGAGTCGTTGCATTGGATGTACGAGTGGTCGGACAATGTCAGAGTGCGGTGGCAGAAGCGGTGCAGAGCTTTGGACGGATTGACGTGCTGTTCTGCTGCCACAGTGAGGTTGTTGTAGGAACAGTGGAAGAGCTGAGCCAGAGCGCAAGGACATTGACGCTGGTGCACGATGTCTGGGAGACGAACTTCTTCGGGCCGGTCAATATCATCAAGGCAGCGCTGCCGATTTTCAGGAGCAAAAAGAACGGGCACATTGTGCTGTTGACAGCGATTACGGGACATCTGGGGACGCCAGGCTTGAGCATGTTCTGCGCCTCGCAGTGGGCCATTGAAGGATATTGCGACAGTTTGGCGTATGAGATCGCGCCTTTCAACATCAAGATGACGATTGTGCAGCCGAATTTGGAGGTCAATGTGCTCACGCACAAGATCACTTCTGCTCCGCCCATGGCGGCGTATGCGGAGGAGACGAACCCGGCGCCGTTGTCGCGCAATATCTTGTCGGGTATTCTGGATCGTTTGGAAGGCACGTCCGAGCCTACGGCGGGCGATCAACTGCATAGCGAAGAAGTCAAGAGCTTGTACCCGCCGTTGAGCAGGACGATGAAGGAGCGGCTGGTGGCTGAGACAGTGCATGCTGTCGCTGCGGTTGGAGGTCATGATAATCCGCCTGCTCGTCACATTGTTGGCTTCGAAGGTGTTGCTTCGGTCAAAGAGAAGCTTAAGACTGTGAGCGAAGAACTTGAGGACTTTGTCGAGTGCAGCAGCGCGGTCGACATTGAGAAGCAGGATGATTCCGGTGAACAAGTCCGATCTATCACGATTCCAAGCTGAGCCAGAGAGGACGTTATGGCCACCGAATGGCTGCGATACCCTTCTAACAAGCAAGACAAGGCACAACGCCCTGCGTCAAAAGTCGGACCGACTACTAAGATCGGCCAAGACCGTGTACGACCAGCGACTCGGAAGGATTCACTAAGCAACGCCACAGCCGTCAGCAGACTCGAGGCAGAGTCAAACTCTCCCCGCGATCTGCGCGACCTGCACAACGTCTGCCTCACTTGTTATTCCGAGTCCAGGATGGTGGACCTGGTGGTGCTGCGACCCTTGTTGGTTTGTCGTGGCTTTGCAATGGATATAAGAACAGACCGCTTGAGTACTCTCGCTCATGTGTCAACACACACGCAGGCCTCAGCTGGTATGGAAAGTTAGCGACACCTTGCGACTACTAGACTGTCGTAAACCACAGCCATGGCATCACCAGCGCAAAGACGATTCGCTGTCCCTTCCGCTGCAAGCAATGAAGATGGAGACTCTACAGCACCCCAGAGGTCAACTCGACGAGCATGCGACTGCTGCCGAAAGCGCAAGGTGAAATGTGACGGTGGCAAGCCATGCGGGCCGTGTACGAAGGCTTCGATCCATTGCGCATACCTCCAGCCGCCAAAGAAGAAAGGTCCCAAGGGCTTGAGGAGCGCACGAGTGTTACATGCTCTACGACGGATAGACGAGCATGCTACGAAATATCCCGAGGACCCGATAGGTCCACCAGATCAGGCTGGCGCCTTTGGTGATTGGGATTGGCAGAACCAGGACAATTCGTCGTCAACGGGAGTGGGCGTTACCAACGAAATGCTACAACAACAGCAGCAGGATGATCTGTACCACCTGCAGACCAAGGTAGAGCCGGAACCAACACCTCTCCAGCAAATGCCGACATCAGTTCCACAGCCACCGCCAACGTCGCAACCAGTAACTTACACCCCGGAAGTAAGCTTGCAGACGTGGTCCTCTAACCCGGACTCGGGATCAGACAGCGATATGCCATCCACAGTATCAACGACTATGTCCAAGCCCAAACCAACACGCATTGCTGGAGAAAGCTTCCAGCCTTACATGCAACTGTTCTACGAGCAGATGTTCTCGATCATGCCCATCATTGATCGCAACGTCTACTTGGACCCCGGACTTTACAACAATTCACACATGTGGAGCCCGGATTTGTATTGCTTCATCTGCGCCATCTGCGCTGGGACTATTGCCCAGTTGCAGGTCAACCAGAACATGCCCGACATGCCCCCACTCCAACCTCCCAAAGCCACCGATGACTTTTTCGCCGCAGAATGCTTGCGCGAGCGGAAGACGTTCGACTACATTGAGGTCCCAACCACCCTCAGCGTTATGACCTCGTTCTTCCTGTTCGCCTATCATGGCAACCACGAACAACACGGCAAAGCCTGGCACTATCTCCAAGAGACCATCGCCTTCGCTGAGAACCTCGATCTGGATGATGAAAAGACTTACCTCGACCTCGACCCGATGGAAGCGCAATGGCGAAGACGACTGTACTGGCTTCTCTTCATCACAGAACGAGCCTACGCCATCCAACGCCGCAAGCATGCCCGCCTACCCAAAAGCGTCCAGCAACCTTACCCATTCGAGTATGAGCACCCAGAATTCCTCAACGGCTTCAACAATCTCGGCACCCTTTTTGCCACCGTCGACGAGGACTTCGTCCGTGCCTGGCGCGGGTCGCGGAAAAAGAGCCTCTGCAACGAAGCTTGGCTCAATCAGACACAAGATCAAATCGACAAGGTCGCCTTTGCGCTCGGCAATGTCACGGAAACACAACACCTCGACATCTCCGTCACACGGGAGTGGCTGCACGTGCTCGCCTGGCAGATGGGCGTTAGTAACGGGCTCATGTGGGGTGAAGGCGGTATGAGCCTCGATTACCCCGTCGAGCTAGCTCGGAAAGTCGTCAATATCACCGCCGGAGCGAACAGTCTCGCGCTCGACAGCCATGGGATCGGCATGGAGCAGAAGCTTTCAGATATCGCGGGCTGTCTTGCAGACGTGCTGAAGTGCACTGCTGGGGACGAGAGTGGAGTCTGGGGAGAGGGGAAGCAGTATCTTTCAATCCTGCTGAGTCAATTGGGGCGGATGCGGGGGAGGGAGAGTAGGTATTTGAAGCCGCTGCTGGAGAAATTGGAGGGTGTGATGAATGAAGGGTTGGAGGGGCAAGGGGCGTGTCCACCTCTGCCTCAAGGTCCGACCGTCGCTGCGCCTGCCTTCGACCAGGAGCAAGCGAACAATAGTGTAGGCGCCCAAGCGTTCCCGCCTGCGAACTTCGCAAGCACCTCGTACGACACCGCCCGCCTCACGCCACCGCAACGCTGGACCGTCGCCGACTCGTTCGGGATGCTGCGCTCGCTATCTCAGACGGGGAGTCTAGGCATGCCGGGGCTGGGGTACAGTCCTGGCGTGCCTGGTATGGCACAGCAACAACAACACCAGCAGCAGCAGCAGCAGCAGCAGCAGCAGCAACAAGCTCCATCATCGCAACCGCAGCAGTTTTCGCAGCAGCAGAATGTGCAGGAGGGGGCGTTGCTGCAGCCGGAAGAGGACTGGGATCAGAGACGGGAGAGTGGGAAGGTGTATGAGGAGCAGGAGATGGAGGAGCAGGGGTGGTGGCAGCGAGGGGGTGGGGGTGGGATAGCGCAGGTCGGTTGACTTCACTACCTCAACCAGACGGCAGGTGGAAAGTGTATGAATAAAATGTTGTCGCATTTCTGAGCGCTCCGTTCCGTTCTGCTTCATACGTGGTATTTACCCCCCCATCCCCCTCAAATCCACCCTATCCCTTCCACCCTACAAAAACTTCCCACTTCCCTTCTCTTGCGCCTCCCCCTTCTCTCCCTCCTTCTCGTGCGCCCTGCCCGTCATCTTCTCCAGAACCTTCGTCCCTGTGCCCTTGTCCTTCCTGCCGGCAACGTCATCACTCGAGTTGAGGGAGCCTTTGTTGGCTTTGTCGAGCTCGAGCTCGTTTTCCATTTTCGACGAGTCGCCGGTGCTGCCGCGTTGGGCGGATGCGGGGGCTTCTTGTACGCCTATACGTGAGGGAGGGGGGGTTAGTGGGTGGGGGTGGGTTGGTGGGGAGGAGGAGGGAGGGGCGTACCGCCTTCGGAGGAAGCGAATTCTTCTTGTTTGGAGAGGTCTTTTGCTGCGTTGGCCATCTTGTCTAGAGCTTTGGGTGCTTCTTCTTCGGAATAGCTGTTCGATACAATCGTTTCGATGTCCAAACGGTCTGAGACAAGAAAGCTTCACTTCACTTTTACGTGACGGGACAGATCGATCATGCGGAACATAAACCTTATCAGTGACGACATTATTCGCTTTTGCGAACCACACACATGAAACGTCCCACTCCATGTTGCTCACGAGACGCGGTTTTAGTTGGTGGCGGCGACGGCGGCGGGCATCCTGGAGCTTTGAGGAGCTGGGATGATGTCGCTGTGACGGTCGGCCAAGAGCGAGGACTGTCACATGCACTACTTCAGATCGGAGATATATTGGGGGTACATGTGTACAGAAATTACTGACTGATGGTCGGGGGAGAAAGTATGGTAGATTTCGAGCACAGTATGATGACAGTAGGATGGTCGAGTTGAGTGTAGAATAGGCGTTTCAATACCTGGATTGTCTTTCCTGACCATCTATCGACCAGCCGTGTTTGTAAAGTAGGGGTATCATCTCTAGAGCAGAAGTAAACCAATTCGTGCCCAATGCAATGCGTGCGTGCGGTCTGTTTGTGAACAACGACGCCGTCGACTCGCTTTCTTCAACAGTATCGAGGTCATCCCAGACTCACGAACCCAGGATTCACCCCCTCCCTTCCCACCACTACCTCTCCTGGCGCCGCTCGCCGTCCCATCTCGTCCACCATCACGCTCTCAGACCCATCTGTCTGCGTGCCAGCATCACCCATCGGCGCCCCGCCACCACCCCCACCCTTGCCTTTCTTCCTTTCCCCTTCCTCCGCTCGACTCGCATCCGCCATAACCTTCAACCCCCCAATAACCATCAAAATAATAATCCCCAACGTCAGAATCACCCTCCTCGTCATCACCAGCCTCAACCCCTCAATCTCACTCTTCGCATCCGCCTGCAGCTCGATGGTAATCTTGTAGTTGAGCTGCTGCAACTGCCTCTCCATATCCCTCTGCTCATTCCGCACAGCCATCTTCCTATCGTCAAACATACCCTTCAAATCATCCTTCAACACCCCACTCTCCTGCCCCAACCTCTGGCTCAGAATATCCACCTCATGCTGCAACTGCGTCCGCTCCGTCCGCATCTTCTCCTGCTCGCTCTTCCGCCGCGCCGTCACTTCCGTCTTCAGCTCCGCGCACGCGGCTTTGAAGAGGTACGCCTCGTTTTCGAGCTGCGACTTTGAGACCAGCGCTTCTTTCGCGAGGTCCGTGTTGTCGGCTAGCATGAGCCGGACGGCTTTCATGACCGTGATGGCTTGGTCTTCGTTCCAGCCGCCGCCACCGGATTCGGAGGGCGAGATGAGGCGGCGCACGAGGCCGTAGGTGTCGAAGTGGTGGATGTAGCGTGGTTGTTCTATGTGAGGGGCTTTGACGGGGGGAGCGTGGTCGTCGAAGGATTTGGAGGGGTGTTCTTCTGCGTGGGTGTCCTTGTCGTGCGAGGTGGTCTCCTTCTTTTCAAGCTCGGACGGTGAGGGCGTATCATGGAGATAGGAAGCCAGAGGTTTCGAGGTGCCGGCATAAGGAGCACCAGGAGGGTCGCCTTTGGGTTGCGATTCATCTGAGTCTAGCATGGGGTCGCTCATGGCTGGAGACGCGTTACGACCCTCCACCGTTGCTGGCTCACGCTTCACATCCGCTGCTGCGTCCTGTTTGGGCTTCGCCTCTCTCTTCTCCTGCCGCGGGCTCAACTCTTCAGTTCTCGCCTCGTCCTCTCCGCTCTGCTGCAACTTCTTCCCAATCTTCGGTAGCGCCTTCGCCTGAGCTTCCTCCGTCTTCTCCGCCTTGTCACCCTTCGTCGACGGGCCTAAACTCTTGCCCCCTCCCAGATGCGGCGGTGGTTCATTCGCAGTTCCATATCGCTGCTGCGGGACGTTTTCTTGCTTGCGTTGGCGAGAGGAATGATATGCCCTGATCGCCGCCGCTGCTCTGGCCGATCGCAGGGCTGGGTTGTACACTTCATTTCCTGCTCTCCATGCTGTAGGCCATAAGAAGGCGATGCGCTGCGACGCCGCCATACCTTCAAGTAGAAACGGAGGAGGAGTTGCGAAGGTGTTGGTCTCGTCTCTAGGACTAGCTCCGCTTACGTAAACTTCGAGATTCACATCGCTTGCGACCACCCTCTCTCCTTCAACAACACTTCACCACCGACCACAAAACATTGCGCGGTGGTGAGACGGCAACAGCAACATTCTAAAACCTCTCACTCCCCCTAATACACACGCAACCATGGCCAACCCCAACCGACCCCCCCTCGACGAAATCGTCCATCAACGCCCGGACATAATCCAGTACCACCTCTCCCAGGTCCCCGGCGTCGGCCCCATGGACGAGAACATGATCCACACCTACATCTCCGAGTCCCCCTTTTTCGACCACGCGACCAACAACGGCCTCGCCTTCCTCCAAGCCAAGTCAAATCAGCAGTTGTTCGAGACGACGTGGAATCGCGCGGCGTTTGAGGAGTACTTGCGGAAGCAGCGGGGGGTGGAGTTTCTGATTACTGGGGATCCGGTGCCGGTGCAGCAGGGGCAGAGGCAGGAGGGCGTGGGGGGTTGGGCGGGGACGGGGAAGACGGGCGTGTATAATATTAAAAAGCAGGAGCGGAATTATGTGCAGGGGAGAGGCGAGGAGTTGACGACGCTGGGGAGTTACTACTTGGTCGGGGAGAACATGTATCAAGCCCCCGGCGTCGGTGACATCGTCTCCAACCGCCTCATCGCCGCGACGAACCACCTCTCCTCTTTCCTCGAAACGGCTTCGAACCTCCCAGCCTTCGACCCGAGTACAGGCTACACCTACCCCCCTCACACCACCACCGTTTCGAAATCCGCCTCTGCCTCCGGCACAGACACCCCCGCGCGCTCCCGCAGCACCTCCCTCGTCCCTGGCGCCACAGACTCGCAATCTCTTCGTTCCGGCTCCCTCGCTCCAGACGCCTCGAGTACGACTCAAGCTTCAGGCACCAGCGCTGTCGACCGCGCAGCAACGCGCTTACTCACGCAGTCGCTGCAGCTAAGCATGGAATTCGGCAGCGAGTACAGCGACGAGAACCCCCTCCACGGCACGCCGGGTAACTTCAGCTTCACGCACTCCGCTGCCGCTGTTAAGAAGAAACGCGCAGAAGAAGCGGCTGCTGAAGCCGCGGCGTTGGCTGCTAAAGAAGCTAAGGCTGGTGCCGCGGCAGCGACGACGACGAATGGAGAGGTGGCAGGCCCATTCGGAAGGAAAGTCGCGTCCCCACCCGCGGTGATGACGGAAGCGAAGAGTGGCGTTGCGGGGTTGAAGGAGCGGGAGAAGGAGAGGAGGGGGAGTAAGATGGATGGATCGAAGGTGAGGCGGAAGAAGAGTAAGGGCGTTAATGCTGCTGTTACGCCTGGTGGGGCGGGGGCAAGTGGCGGTAGTTAAGATGCGAGGAGGGATTGTCCGTGGGTTTTTAGCGATGGTGCTGCTGGCGCTGAATTGCTTTGTTGCCGGTATATTTGGTTTGGCGTAAGGGTTGAGCGAGGATGATGATACCCCTTATAGCGAGCGCTCTTACGTGACACGTCCTCGGAAACACAGCTGCTGTTGCCGAACTCTCGTGTCACCCATTCTGCTATCGCTCAAGGCACGATCACGGCATCCCGAGTAATCTGCACGATTGAGTGCCCAAGCCGCGATGAAACCAAGCGGCTAAGTGATTTATACCCATACCTAAGCTAACTACGGCCGTCCATCATCTCATGCTCAGCGAATGTCGGGGGTATTGAAGAAGCAACGCAACGCAGCACAAACGCAGCACAAAACCGCAACATGGTGTTGAAGGTGCATGTATGTCCGGGAAATACACGTATATCCACTTCCATCCCCAAACGCGTGCATTTGGACAACGCGATCCCATGCGGGTTCAATCGCAACCCTCCAGCTGCAATGCACCAGCTGGGGGAGTTGGAGAACAAGCAAGACCAAGACCAAAAAAGCAGCGCGCAAAGCAGTATAGCACAGTACGTAATAGCAGAACGCCACTCTCCCGGAAATTTAGGGAAGAGGACGTACCAAAGTCATTCAAAACGCCTTCATCCCCTCAGGTGCTATGTGTTGAAAGTCGTAGCCCTGGCCGTCATGTTTTCGTCGTGAATGCCCGGAAGAAAAGGAAAAGGGCCCAAAGCGCGCATATGTGGTGGTGTCGAGTTGTGATATTCGTGGTAGAGTAGCGAGTGTCCAAAATGAACCCAAGAAGTTTGTCGTCAGAAAGTGGATTGGACTCCGCATGAGATCATCCGAAATCCGTCGTGGAATAGTCGAAGCTGCGGACCGCAGTCTCATTCGTCCCCGAGCTCGCCTCCCGGGGGATTAAAGATGCTCTCCGCCACCGCCTCCCCTGTCCCGTGCTCCCAACCCTGAGCCTGCACAATGGTCCTCCACTCGCCTTCCTCCATCTCCGCTTGCGTAGCAGGCTCCCCAACCCTGACCAACACAGACTCATGCCCTGCCCTCTGCTTCATCTCCGTGAATCCATCCAACACCTTCCCCGCAAATAATTCCTGCCTCCCCACGCTCACGACCCGCTCTCCCCAAGCTGGCGTGCAGACGACGACAATAACCATCACGACCCAAGGCTGCTGGACAAACGTCTCGTGCGTCCCTGTAAAACCGGTGCTAGGCTCGTAGGGCACGTGCTGGACGCGTCGATGGTGCCAGGACAGCGCGCGTCCGAAGGGCTCGAACGGATCTGTGTGGATGGGGAAGGCGGAGGGAGAGCAACCGATGGGAGGTAAGACTGGTGTGAAGAGGAGGATATTGGATCTCGGGTGCAGGTGGCGGGGGTGTGCGAGGGGCAATGGCGAACGCCGGAGTAGTTTGAGCAGGATCCGTTGGTGGTAGAGGTCGACCGTGTAGGCCTCTTGTTTGATCAGTGGGTCGAGGGCATCCGGATCAACTGAATCGGGATTCATTGGTGATCTGTTTGTTGCGACCAAGGCTGAAGATTTGAAGTGGCGGTCGCAGAAGCACTTGTCCTGGTGCTTGCGCGCTGACGTCTGGTGATCGTACTCCGACTTGGACATGGACCCATCTTGCCTACTTGGCCAAAAATCCAAGTCATGGGAGAGGACTGCCTCGACGATCGAAAGACTCTGGCACGTAGCATCGAGCAGAGCTTGCCGACGTTGGTACTCTTGGTCCACTTTCAATTGCACCTGTCGGTACTCAGAGGCCAGATCATGATCGGTCCTGGCGGACTCTTTCAACTGCCTGTACTGGTGCTCAAGCAGCCGGAGTTGGTACTGATAATCCTGCTCCCCAGGATATCTGAGCAACTGCGGCTGTAGCGGGGATGTTGCGGAGGGTTCTTCTCGTTCGAGGAGGGCGGTGGCGAGAGCTTGTGTACTCTTCTTCCGATCATTCGTCGACGTGACGGACTGGCTGACCGCTGGCAGCGGAACAGAGTTGCTTGCTGGCTTCGCTGGCGGCTCCTCACGCAGACGCATCACCAGTTCACCCGCCCATTCCTCAGAGTAGTCCAGGTCCTTCATATCTCAGGGTACGGCGGGGCAGGCGAAGTGGAGGAGGGCACGTGGACGTCGCGCAGGTCAGCTTGGGAGGTGCGGGTCAGGAGGAAGATGGAACGGGGATCCGACTTCTGCGAAGTCATGAAGAGTAGTCTTTGCTCTATAGCGACGGAGCGGGGGTGATAATGGCCACAGCCGATGGAAAGCGCGTCGGGCGGAAAGCGTGTAGCACGAGTGTTGGCCGGAAGAGCTGTATGTAGATGAAAGTGGTCGGTCGCAGGATGTTGTGTACAAGCTCGTAGATGGCAAAGCGGGCAGTGTTGTAAGCTGTTCGGCGAATCACAGCAGGAGGGAGGGAGGTCGTGAGTGCTCGTTTCGCGGTTTGGTGGCTCTGTACTTTCGACAGCAAGCCTGTCGGTCAGGTCGGTCAATAGGGTGCTGAGACTATGTCGCACAAGCTGGGTCCAGTGACACCAGCGGGTAGTTGTGAGCTGTGGTGAACGGGGCCTGCGAGAAGGCAAGTCGCATGAACCGTAACGATTACGTGCTAGTAGCAGTAGACGGGTGGGTGCACATGAGCCTGATATGGATGCTGTGGTAGGATGTGATTCCGAAATGTTTCGTATGTACAAGAGTATAAGAGGTGAGGTCTAGGAAACACGAGGTGAGGCTGTTTTAATCGAGCTTGAGCGGCGTAGCTCGACTCCCATCAAGGACTCACCGGAGTATCGAGGGGACCCTACACTGGCCTGCGGGCCTCCGATCGGCGGCCGCGTACCCAAGTGCTGCAGTGTGACGGTGCAGCAAGTTATGGCAGTTTTCATCACGTCGACTGGCCAGTCAGGACGGAAACAATAACGTCGCTTCGATGTTGTGCAACACCACCACGGCTCATTGTCTGAGGTCCCGATGGGGCCAATCGCGTGGGCGGTAGGCTTGCTCACTCTGCGGAAGCGGGCCGGTCTGCGAACCATCGTCAACCTTGCGTCGGCTCTGGCCTGGTCCGTGAGGAATATCAACCTCGTGGGAAATAGAGACGTTCTGCTCGAGCGTACAGAGGAATACAGACGACATCATCAATTTCACAGCACAGCTGCTGCAGGCCGCAGATACTCAGCCTTCATCGCACAGCATTCACAGCTCCGTACTTGCCTGTGAAACCCGAATCCTCTTACCGTGTGCTGGGCCAGTTGCACAAGCCCGAACAATGCCCTGATTTGCCGCCTAACCCAGCTGTCATTTCTCATCACTTATACCACCTCAAAGCGGTCATGTCGCGCACAGTACCACCACAACCACGATGAGCAAGCACGCCTTCGATGAGACGACTGTCATCGCTACCGGCGTCCAGACCTTCCAGGACCGTTTTGGCAAGAAGCGTCCGTTTGACGATGACACGCCGGTGATCGCGCAATGGAGGTGTAATTTGGTATGTGTTCCACAACATTCCCGTGTTTGTGAGGGGTGTTCATGTATGAACGGTCTTGGAACGCCTCGAGGACGCCTGTCCCTCGGCTCTCTCTGAGGGCGACGGGGGTCGTGACTTCCTAATTAGGACTGTCATGTGAAAAGAAACTTTGCTGATTTCAGAGTTCTGACAGACAGGCTTGTCGCAAGTTCACAATCTCTACTTTGTCGCCTACGGCAAGGATATATACGTTTACACCCCAGAGTTTCCTACTCAACAGATAGCAGAGCAGCCGGCATTAATCTTCACATCACAGCCGTCGAGTTCTGGATTACAAGGCCATCTCGATCGGAGGAATCCACACTGCATCAACAGTCTCATCGTTCAAGACCTTGGAACTGAAGAAGCGGTCGCGGTGGTGCGAGATGATGGCGATGTCGACGCCTTCCTCGTCCGGCATATCGTTCAAGCCATCGATAGGAGAGCTGAGCCGGACAGCACCATCGGCATAACAGGAGACGAGATACGACCATTCTTCCAAAGCAACGTCGGCATCTCAGCATGGGGCCTGGCTATCCACACCGAAGCGCGCATCCTCGCGATCAGCTCCAACGCCCACGAGGTCAGAGTCTTCAAATTCGGCCTCCTACAAGCAGATGAAGATGTCGCAGCGCCAGACAACGGTGAAGGTTCTGACAACGATCAACACCACCACCGCAAAACAGACATCACCCACCACGTCCTCAACGGCGAAACCAACATCCCCCACATCGCCTTCTGCAACACCGGCGACGACCCGGAAGCCCGCTGGCTCCTCACCACGGACATCAGCGGCGTGTGTCGCGTCATGGACCTGCACGCTCTCCACGCCGTCCAAGCTTTTCGATTCGGAAGGTCGTGGTTCAGTCAGTATTCCGGTGGTTTCGACCGGCTAAATGCGGGTTGGGGGATCATGTTTTTGGACCGGAGGGCTTTTTGGCCCGAGAGGGATTTCGATGCTGCGCTGGGGGCGCAGGAGGGGATGAAGGTGACTGTGGCGGCGAATGGGGATTTGATTTGGGATATCAGTGATACGGTGAAGGGGTTGGAGGAATTTGGTGAGCCTTTCATTGGGCAGAGGGGGCAGAGGGGGCCGGGTGTTGCAGATCGGGTAGAAAGTGAAGAGGCGAGAGCTGCGCGCCAGTCGAGGGAGGCTACTAGGGCTATGACTTTGGAGGAGGGATTGTACGGCCCGGTCATAAGCAGCGACGAGAGCGACGGTGAGAGCGATGATGAGAGCGACGGCGGCGCTCCAGTGGACATCGAGATCGACATGGGCGACGCAGATCAAGACACCAGCCAGGAGAGCGATTCTGATGTCCCATCCGAACGCCGCCTAGCCATTGCGCGCGAGGATGTCGAACGATCGCGCAGAGCCCTTGAAGCGCACTACCACGACGACATCATCTCGGAAGAGTCCGACGACGAAACCGGCGAAGGCGTCTTCTCAGAGCACATGTTAATCAACGACGCCTCCGACCCCGAAGACGAAGGCACCGAAGACACCCTCTCCTACACAGCCCTCTACTCCGGCGCCTCGATCGCCGGCAACGCTCCGCGCTTCATCTCCCCCTCTCCCCTTTGCGAAGGGCTGCCGTGTCCGATCCTCCACTCTTCAGTCCGGAACATCTACCTCCTGCAACCTTCCCACCGCCACGACGAACGGCAGCACCCGCGACAGGATCTGGACCAGTCTTCCGCCCTCACACCACCACTAATTGGTCTAGCGAACCCGCTACGGCAGACGATAAGCCAGTGCTTCGAGCACCTCCGTCTCTTTGACCGACTGAACATGCACGTCTCCATCCCATCCCTCGGCCTCCTCGTCCTCGCCTCCCAGAAAGGCCGCGCGATCGTTTTGGCTCTGACGAAGTTAAGCCCGCATCCGCCGGTCAAGGGGAATGGGGGCAAGGGTGTCTACTGCATGCGTGTTGAGGCTATTCTGCCTTTTGCGCGGCAGGAGAGGGAGGGGAGTAGGCCTGGGGCGGGTTTGCTTGGGATTGCTGCGAGTCCGGTGCAAGGGGTGGGTGGGGATAAGGGAGGATGGGAAGGGGAGGGGAGGTGGCGGTTGCTGATGATGTTTCAGGATCAGACGGTTTTGAGCTATGAGTTGAGGAGGAGTAGGGGTGGGGAGGGAGTTGGGGAGGTTGTGGTGTGAATCTCTATTCCAATGGAAAGGGAGGATGGAGGGAGTAGTACTGATGGTGTATGAAACACGAGATCATGGAAGCATGCGTCGTGATGATGAGGTAGAGAAAACCCGATCAGCCTTCAAGTTCGAATGCATGCTGTTCTTTAGCCTTATTCTAAACCACTGACCAGTCAACTGCCGTTCAACATCCTCCCAATCGTCCAGTATCAACTGGTATACATACCATACTTTGAACGAGAGCGGTTGCCAAGCACCCTCTCCACGCTTCCGCAACGTGCGCGGGATGACGTCGATGCAACGCTCCAAAACCTGCACGAGCAGGGATGCCAGCGCCACTCATGTGCCAGCTCCAGCCTCCTCTTCAAAACGCTTCTTGAAGTGGAAGCTCCCCAGGTTGATCGTCTTTGCTGATCTTCTACCTACTTATTCTCCTCGCGCCGTTTCTCGTCCATCCATACCCAGGACCGCATACCCCTTGAAACACTCCGAGTCAGTATCGCGACAGCGCCAGGAACCCATTGACCACCACCAAAGGCCCCAACGACAAAGGAGCAACCACAACCATGTCCTCCACCACCAGCTCAGCCGCCCCCTCCGCCTCGGGCAAACCCCGCGAACGGCCCCTCCACGAACTGCTCTCGCGCGACATGGTCGACATCTACGTCGGGCCCGACAACACGCACTGGATCCTGCACGAAAAACTGCTCTGCCACCGCAGCAAATTCTTCCGCGAAATCTTCTACCCCTCCAAACCGTCGTCCTCCTCCAAGAACTCCGCCTACGGCTTGCCGGACGAGAACGACGAGCCGTTCAGGCTGTTCGTCGGATGGCTGTACGCGGCGACCATCCCGCAGCCGAGCGAGGAGAAGGAGCTGGCGACGATGTTCGACCTGTACCTCATGGCGGAGAAATGGGAGATCCGCGCCTTGACGGTGGATGTGCTGGAAGCCGTGCGGAAATACTACCACGACTCCGATACCTGGCCGGGTCTCCGCCGCGTGCAGTACATCTACGCCAACACGGAGCCGGAGAGTCCGATGCGGCAGCTGCTGGTGAGTTGTGTGGCGCGGATGTTGATTACGGGGGATAGCATGCCGGCGCATTGGGAGCGCGCGTTGAGGAAGAACGGGCAGTTGGCGGTGGATATTATTTTGTGTGTGCAGAAGTGGCGGATTGAGCCCGAGAGTGTGCCGGATACGAGGCATGGGAGTATGGGGGAGATTGTGGATGAGGCGGAGGTGAAGAAGGAGGAGAGGGCGGAGGAGGAGGCGAATGGGGAGATGGAGAATGGGCATGAGGAGGAGGGCGATGAGACGGTGGTGAAGAATGAAGCAGATGAGTGAGTGGAAGAATGACGGTGTTGGGAAATTGGATTTGGTTGGATATGCTTCTCAATGTTGTAGTATCTGGTTTCTGCTTCGTGGGTTGAGGTGTAGGATATTTATGGGTTATCGAATTTAGTTCGCAGATATGTATGCGCTTCTTTGTCCAACCCTAACCGTTCCATTAGGTGTCTTGTTACACTCTCATCTCCCAGTATGGCAGCTCCAGAGTGCTCTCGCAGCTGCATCACTTCCGCCGCGCGCATCCCGGCCGTCCCTTCGCAGCCCATGTAGGTATTCCGCCTCCCCGATCTTTACAATCCCAAGTCACCCAATGAAGCATATTCATTACCGATCCCAGACGCCAAACTCCTCGCTCAATCCCGAACCATCCTTCTCCCACCTTACACACCAACCTCGCAAGTCCAGCTTCGGTAAAATCTCACGTCCACCCCAACCCCTCAACAGCCCCCCTCACCCCATCCTCCACCACCACCTTCGTATTCACCGCGGCCTCCACCACCGCTTCCGCCAATCCAGAAGCTTTTTCCGTAAGCCCAACCTTCCCAACCAGCTGGGCCGCGCTATCCGGATCCGCAAAGTAGTAGTAAGCGCGTCGGCACACGATGGCGATGTGGTTGGGCAGGTAGAGCACGGTGGCTATCGTGAGCATGGCGGTTGTGAGGAAGAGGATGGAGTCTATTATCCCCTCAAAATCAGCATTGCGTATGACATAGCATTGCGTTGCGCTGCGCCTTGCAAAGGAGCGCAAGAAGCGTAGGAAAGATGGAGAGGGAAGCGGAAGGGATGGGACGTACTAAACACAAACTTCTCCGTCGGGGTAAGCATATACAGCGAGCTCGTGACCTCATACTGGTAATTCTTCTTCCGCAGCCATTGCGTGAAGCTCGTGGGCAGGAAGAGGACGGAGGCGGCGGTGATGAGGAGGAGGGCGCCGGCTAGGGCGTAGGGGGTGGGTGTTGAGGGGAGGATGGACATTGCTGAGGTATTGGCGAAGTTGGAGGTTGTTGTGGAGGTTGCGAGAGCTTGTCGCGTGGTTCGAGAGAGAGTTGGGATCGTGGTGGATTAGGAGTTTAATGTTCCGGAACCGTGGGCTCGGATGTGAGTTCCTCGTGTTTCCGGTATGCAGGGATCTTCGCTAGCGTGGAGACGTTGCCAAGAATGCCATTGACTCGGAAATCGTCTTCAACGGCTATTATCTCTGCTGCTGTTGTCGCGATGGGTAGAGATGCTTGCGCGATCATGGACAAGATCAGTCTTGAGATTCCCTCCCACCCCCATCACAGCATGTAGACCCTTCCACACCACCCCAACCGTCTTTGCAAAACCCCTCCCACCCCGCCTCCAAATCCCCGAAATCGACATCACCGAATCCTTCCTCAAAGGCACCGGCCCGGGCGGGCAAAAAATCAACAAAACCTCCTCCGCCGTGCAGCTCAAACATCTACCCACCGGTCTGGTAGTGAAATGTCAGGGCACCAGGAGCAGGGAGCAGAATCGAAAGGATGCGAGGAGGCTTTTGGCGGAGCGGTTGGAGGAGCGGGAGAAGGGGGATGAGAGTCGGACGGCGATTAAGGCGGAGAGGGCGAGGGTGAAGAAGGCTAGTAAGAGGAAGAAGACGGGGAGGAAGTATCGGAAGTTGGCGGAGGAGAGGGAGGGTGGGGTTGGGGAGGGAGAGGAGGGTAGTGGTGGGAGAGAGGCTGTTGAGATTGCTAAGGGGGTAGGGGGAGGTGCAAGTGAAGACACGGTCCAGTCCAGTGCGAAGGACAAATGAGAAGTGCCACAAAAGACTTGATCACAGAAGAACCCAAATGGGTGGGCAAGTAACGAAGGAGATGTTTCTACGCCACTGTCGTTGAAGCAGGGCTGAGCGTCCATGAGCACGTGGCGAGGTTGCATGTGCTTGCCGACGGGAGACATCGCTCCTTCTTCACGATTGCTCGTGTTTTAGTGAATGTCGCACCTTCCCGACACAGCAAACACGACGACGCGCAATCGCAACCTGGCACCTTCCACATCACACACCAGCGATACTTAAAGCCTCAACGACATCTCCAACCTCACCCTCTCGAACCAAGACCACACCACACCCACAACCATGTCAACCGAACTCCACCTCCGCACCCAAACCCTCGCCAACGCCCGCCTCCTCCTTCGCCCCCGCACCCCCACCTCCCCCACCCTCAGCGGCAACACCTCCAGCGCCACCCTCGTCGCCCCGCCCACCGACACGGGAGAAATCGACATCGTCGTCTTCGGCAAAGCCACCGACTTCACCGCGGCCGCCATGGTCGGGCTCACCCCAGCTATTGAAGGTGAGACGGCGCGCACGGCGGACCAGGCGTTGAGCAAGCTTTTCGCGGCGACGTGCGAGTTGCTGCAGATGTATATTCCGAAGGTGGGGAGTCATCAGCGTAATATTCATGGTGGGGGGGTGTTTGATGAGGTGAGTTTGACCCGCAATTGCTATGGGAAGAGGTGGGCGTGGTGCTGACGCGATGGACAGGATATGATCAGCCCCAAGATCCAGGAAGCGCAGAAGAAGTCGCCGTAGTGTGGGCGCTCGGCTTATGCGGTCCAGTCTCATGCTCCTGCGCCGAAGGGCCTCGGAGGGACGGGAGGGACGGGAGGGACGTTCTTCGTCGACAACAGCGGCAGTCTGGTGAAGAAGCGAGGGAATGTGGCGAAGTGAGCAGAGGACAGCGTGGGATGCCTCTCGCAGAAGGGAAAGGGGTTGGCGGAAGCTACTTGACTAGCAGCAGACATCACCCCTAAGCATGGGCATTGCTATCCCACTCCGCCTGTACCGACTTCAGCGTTCCAATCAAACGGCGTGAGATCGTCCACGAACGACAGATCATCCAGGTTCATCGGATAATTCGGATCCAGAAAAGTCCCAAACACATCGTCCATGTTATCGAACAGATCCCATCCGTCCTGTTGCCCCATCCCCGCAGCCTCACCAGCAGCTCCCATCGCAGCGTTTGCTACTCCTTCTCGTTGCTGCGGAGTGTCCCCATTACTACCCACAAGCGTCTGCACCGCCCCAACCCCATGATGACAAGCCGTCGGCGGGGGTATGAGGTCTTTCTCATCTTTATCCCCCGGCTTTCGCCTCCGAATCCTGAACGTGCCCAGATCCGTCGCGCGATCCAGCTCATCAAGCACCTTCTTCGCGAGCGTAGTCATCACGTCCGCTGAACTCCATGTCCGCCTCAGACTCTGCAGAATACTAACACAAGTGCGAAAGTCCCGATGCGCATCGGTTTGTTGGTGCGAAAGTTGCGCTTGTCGCAGGAACTGGTACGATACGGACAATGCCAGACTGACGGAGTAAGGCAGCAAGGGAAACGGATGCAGAGCCGGCGCCGAGGGGTCGGACATCATGCGTATGATCTCGATGGCATTAAGGCGTTGCCTCAGATTCCCTCCCTTAGCCTGCGGGAGCTCACGAACGCCTCGTGTGCGATGGGATAGGATGCCTACGGTGAGGTAGAACAGATGCAACGTTGCGAGGATGGAGGGCGATAAGTCCCAGCCATGCACGGAGTCGAGCAGTTCTTCCAGCACAGGCCACTCGCCTTCCCACCCGCTCTCCGCTTCATCGTTGCCCGGGCGGTAGAGGTCGATGACACGGTTGAGGATGGAGGCGATTTTGAGCCACGCCTCGAAAGCCGGGAAGCCACTTTCGCAAGGTGCAAAGGGCTCGATAGCGATATCCACGTCGCTCATGATGAGCGGCCGGCCATTGATGGCGCCACTAAGGCGATCGAGGGACCAGAGGCACCAGAAGAGGCGTTTCATTTGAAGGTCATTGTCGTTGCTGCTATCTTCGGAACTCAATGGGGGATTGGTCGTCTGCTGACCAAGATGAATCCCCAGGGTCTGCGCGTGGTGCATTGCTTGCGAGAGGAGGAGGGAGGCTTCCTCGGCGCCTTCGGGGCCTTCGTTGTGCAGGGATGTGAGGGCGAGGGTGCGGATGAGGGTTACCTTCTCGAAGCGCACGGGGGCGCGGAGAGAGCCGGTGACGCTGGCGTGCAGGATGGTGCAGAATTGTCGCGGTGGGAGGGTGGTGGAGGAGTCGGAGAGGCGGAGGTGGGGTGTGGCGGATGGGTCTTTGGCGGCGGCGAGACACATGGCGTGCACGAGGGGCTCGGGGATGTGGCCCGCCGCGTGGGCCGAGCGGAAGTCGGGTTCTGAGAGTAGAGGCAGGAGAGGATGGATTTTGGTGAAGTAGACGTCTATCAAAGGACCTAGGACGGCGGAGTGTGGGCGTTGGCCAGACCGGGAGCTGGTCGTAGTGGCCAGGGGAGAGTCATGGTTGGTGGTGGTGGCGGCTGGATTTGTCTTGAGAAGATTGTCCCAGGTGCTGCGGTCGACCCATACACCTATGTCGTCGTTGGGCTGCTTGGTGGTGGAGGGGACCGGTCTGTTGAGCAACGTAGATTCCGGGATGAGGTCGCTGATGAACTTGGCTCGTTTGGTCGCTGGCGTAGTGTTGCTGGATGTGCGTGACGTTCCGTCTGGTCCTGTCCTTGGGGATGGCGCGGCACTCGTGTTGCTGCCGTTGGCGCCTGCGTAGTGTATGCATCTTTTCTAGTGATTAAGTCAGCCCACTGTTCTGGAAAAGTGCTATCGGCTCCGGCCCTACCTTTCGAGTACGGCATGATTCGCAAGCTTTTGCGAGGCGTCTTCGCTTGGGTGATTCTCCGCTATACTGATTGACGAAGGTGAGCTCCATCGTGGTGGCTTCTACAGTTGTTGCAGCGAATAAGCATCCATTCGGATCTTAGAAATAGACGGCTCGGGCGGCTGCGGACTATTCAAGTTGTTCCGTGGTCACAGGTAAAGCCGTGCTGTTCGGCCCTTGAGGTGAGGTGTGAAGAGCAATGGTTGTTCAGCAGCAACCCGCTTCTGCCGACAGTTGCCGACTCATCATGCGCCTGCCTTCGGGCTTACGTTCTACCTACTTATATCAACGCGAGATCCCACTCTACGTCACCTCTAAAGCCTTTTGCAAAGATATATAGTACCAAGATATCGCAGCTGGCGGGTCTGTCTCAACAATGGCTGCTACAACTCAGAACATACTCCTCTTCGGCGCTACCGGACTCATTGGCCAACACATCACAAGAGCAATCCTCGACAATGCCTCTAGCTTTGGAACAATCGGCATATTCACTTCTCCAGACACTGCATCAGCAAAAGCAGACAAGATCAAAGCACTAAAGTCCCAGGGAGCAGAGATCATCATCGGCGACATCACTTCTAAGGACGATATCAATGCAGCCTACGACAAGTACGACACCGTCGTGTCTTGTCTCGGCCGCCCAGTGATACAGAACCAACTGTTGCTCGTCGAACTCGCCGACAAGCATCCCAACATCAAACGTTTCTTCCCATCCGAGTACGGAACAGACATCGAGTATGGACCGCAGTCAGCGAGCGAACCGCCTCATCAACAGAAGCTAAAGGTCCGAGCGGCGATGAAGCAGGTCATTGATCTGGAGTATACTTATGTCGTGACTGGGCCGTATGGCGATGCCGACGCGGGACTGTTCTTGAGTGCCTCCCCCGTTGAGAATGAAGCCAGAGGCACGTTTGACGTGAAGCGGAAGCGAGCGGTTCTGCTTGGAAATGGCGAGGGCCCAATTAGCTTGACGACCATGAAAGATGTCGGCCGGCTCGTGGTCGCTGCTCTGAAGCATCCTGAAGCGGCGAAGAATCGGGCTCTGAAAGTGAATTCATTCACGACCACGCCGAAGCAGATTGTGGCGGAGTTTGAGAAGCAGACGGGAGGGTCCTGGGACGTGTCGTACACGAGTCTCGAGAAGCTGAAGGAGATGGAGAAGCAGGCGTATGTGGCTGGGGATCCCAAGGCCGGGCCGTTGACGCTGAGAAGGATTTGGACGGAGGGCGGAACCTTGTATCAGAGTCGTGATGATGGTGTTATCGGGATGGAGGATAAAATGGATTCATTGCAGGATGCTGTGGGCCGAGCGATCCAGGTCCAGACCAGCAGCTAGCTAGGGTTGAAGTGCAATGTCGAAGAGGCCCAAGAGAACAGGAAACTAGAAACAATGGCCACTCAGAGATCGACAGTCCATACAATGCGTTAGTGACTGTCGCCTCCATCAGATTTCTTGTCTCCTGGTCGCCATATCATCGCCCAAAGAGGCACGCCTGGACCGCCCTCAACTACGTTAGCATTCTCATCATGCGTACCCTTCCCCAGCCTCAGCATTCCTACTGTCTTGAACCCTTGTCGAGCATACATATCCCGGGACTTCGGCGTAGTCGCTTCCAGATAGATGCACCGCCCATCTTGGACATTTCGCTCTTGATACTGAGCAATGATTTCAGAAGCTAAGCCCTTCCCGCGATGCTCAGTTGGGGTAGCAATGAAGAACAAGTAGTGATACTCCTTGATCACCCTCCCATCTCGGTCTCTCAGTCCCTCATGCTTGCATTTATCAGATTGCTGCGCGTACTCCCAGAGCATGCGTTTGGCGGGCGTGAAGCCCATTTTCCAGACCATACCCAAAAGACCGGCCGGAACCATCGTCCATGGATTGTCGACCTTACGGCCGGGCAGCATCCAGACCGCGCACGAAGACCAGTCGTTGGCTTCTTGGAACACGGCGCCGTTGAGCATTGCGGCACGGAAGAGGGTGTTGAAGTAAGCTGGTAGGTAGGCTTTTCTGGTTTTGTCGGTCATTGTGCCCAGGATGTATCTGATGGTTGGGTCATTTTTGAAGGCTTCGGCTGTTAGCGCTGCGGCTTGCGGGTGGTAGTCTGTGGATGGTCAGCAGCCGCATCATGTTGGAGGGAGGATGGGGTGGACCTTTGCCGCCGGACGTGACTTTCACCATTGTTGCTTCTGCCATTCTGCCTTCCCACGGCGCCTAGTCGCAATGTTTGGCGGTCAGATGTCTTTCTGTCAGGAGGACAGATGAGCTTGTAGCATTGCGAGGTCAGCCCCTGGTCAGAGGTACAGAAGGATGGGTCTGACATAGGGCTGAGTCAACCCCTGGCGCAAGCAGAATCCATGCATTGGCGGCCGCACATCTACCGTATACGCGCAGGCGCTTCACTCGGGGAGCAACCCTTTTACAGCGCTGAGTCCTACCTCAGAAGAAGACCTCCGGGAGCATAAACAGTGAGGTCAAGCAGTCGCGAGGCGCGTCCGATATCTGCTCGGAGGGGTCTAGCGTGTCTACGGACCGTGCGCCGGAGTGAATGTTGGCTCTTCGACGCCTGTCTCTCCTCCCCTTCATTCCCAACACGTCCACACTATGCCGCTATCACGTACACCTTCTGATGCATGAGCTGGCAGCGGCGATTAGTGAGGCAGATGTCTCGAAAACGACGAACACAGTGATCGACACGACTGCCCCCCCAGCGCCCGATTACCCAGAGTTCGTGATGGACGGAAAAACTATGTGCCTCCACTCGGGGCATCACCTCTTTCTGGAGTAAGTCATGGGTTGTTTTTGGGCTTCACGATGCTTTATAGCAAGATGACTGCCCCAGATACGCTGTAGCCTCCTCCACCAGTGTCAGGTAAGTCGAGATGCTGCAAATTTCATGGCCTCTTCTCGCTGCGGCTGGCCTCGCCACGGCATCGAGGCCAGCGAAACGTTTAGACAATGGTCTTGCGTTGACGCCTCCGATGGGGTGGAACTCGTATGTAAGTGCAAGACCCCAAGACGATTTGCTTGCAAAGGATGAACCACTTCTCGAAGCACTTCTTAGCATTCTCAACGCCTGGCCTAATATGTATTTCCACAGAACCACTATAACTGTCAACCAAATCAGTCTATCATGCAATCCAACGCAAAGGCACTGAAAGAACTTGGACTGGCGGATCTCGGATACTACTACGTTACCACTGACTGCGGCTGGACTCTACCACATCGCGCGAAGGACGGGACATTGACATGGAACGAGACTATCTTTCCGGACGGCCTTCCAGCACTGGGAGACTACATCCACAGTCTTGATCTGGGCTTCGGAGTCTACTCTGATGCTGGGGTACAAATGTGTATGACGGGTTTGCCTAACCAGACCGGCAGTCTCTACCATGAGCAGACCGATGCTGACACATTCGCGTCCTGGAATGCGGATCTGTTGAAGTACGACAACTGCTACTCTTCGAAAGCACGAGGCTACCCGAATGTGGACTATGAGCCGCTGCATTCACCACGTCCAAGATACAAGACTATGCTTGAGGCGCTTCAGGACACCGGTCGGAAGGTGCTGTATCAGATATGTGACTGGGGCGTCGATTTTCCAAGCGCTTGGGCTCCACAGCTAGGCAACACTTGGAGAATTACCAACGACATCGTCCCGGAGTGGCGCACTATCTGGAGGCAGATCAATCAGCTCCCTCCATCTGCTAGTTATGCCGGCCCGGGCCATTGGCCTGACCTCGATATGCTGGAAGTGGGCAACGATATCTTCACCGAGCCTGAGGAGCAGACTCACTTTACTCTGTGGGCACTCGCTAAGTCCCCACTAACAATTGGCTGTGCGCTCAAGGATACGTTTAACGCTGTGAGCAAATCATCGCTCGCCATTTTGAGCAACAAGGATGTCATTGCCATCAACCAGGACAGTCTCGGCAAAGCTGTGAACCTGATGCGCCGCTATACCGATGCTGGAGTGGACGTCTGGGCCGGCCCATTGAGCGGAGACCGAACGGTAGTTGCTCTGGTGAACTGGAACAACCAATCTATCAGTGGCCAACTTCATTTGTCTGACGCTGGCGTTCAGAGTGCTGGCCACGTCAAAGACATATGGAATGACAAAACCAGCTCGAATGTTGTTACAACATATACCGGGGATGTTGCCGCTCATGGCACTCTGCTACTGGTGCTTGCAGACACAACTCCAGCTGGTACTTACAGGACAGATCAATGTGGTCATTCGAATGGGGATCGGGTTACGTATAGCAATGTCTACGGCATGACAGACAGCGGCGAGTACACTCTGACGATCAACTTCGGTAAATCAAACGAAGATGAGAAGACCGTTCATGTTTCGACTTCAGCATCCTCAGAGCCACAAAAGATACGAACCTCCACCAACGCCGTGTCCGCACGCATCTCCCTCAAGGCTGGCTCAGCCAACAGTATTACTCTGAAGACGTCGGCCAACGTGGACTCCATTAACGTGTCACACCCCGAAGGCAAGTTCTACGCCAGCACCGCATTCAGCGTCTCCGGCACAGCCTCGCACCACAAATGCACACCAGGCCTCTGCGCACCCGTTGGCTCCAAGATCGCCAACCTGACCGCGCATGGCTCTGCCAGCGTCACTGTACCCACGGATAAGAGAGCCGGTAGCTCACGCTACATCGAGCTCACCTACATCAACAACGACGTCTCCCTCGACAGCGCATGGACCAACGGAACGAACACTCGCAACATCACGGTCGCTGTGAATGGCAACGCTCCGCACCGACTTGAGGTTCCACTGTCAGGAAGGAGTAGCGAGCTGTTCAGTCCGATGAAGGGATGGGGTGATCCTGCGACGCTGGGAATGCTTGTTGGTGGGTTTGGGGGTGCTGGAGGGAGGGATGAGATTGTTGTGAGCAATGCTGGGGGTGGAGACGGGGTGCAGCCGTATGGAGCGGACTTTGTTGGCTTGAGAGTGGTGTAGTTCTGGGTTGTGTAGTCATGTAAGAACGGAAGTGTACAGACGGGCTGACACCTGTTATTTGAACATGAGCTAAGGTAGTGCGGCTTGAAGACGAGCCAACTGAAAGGATGTTGCACCTTTTGGGATGATCGATGCAGGTCTTCTAGTGTACTTCAAAGGCCGTCCCTGTCCCTCTTCCTTTACCCGCTTTGATATAGACGGGACCAGATCTCACCCGTTCTTCCGACCTGACAACCCCATCGATCACAAATTCTGTCCGGGCCAATTTCGGCCACACCAGTCCCAACAACACTTCGCCTTCAATTGCCTTCCTTTGCCACGCTGACAACACCCACCCTGTCATCTCTTATCTTTCGCGTTCGGAGATGGCCATCCTCACGCAAATCATCGTAGAATTGTAGAACGGCAGGTAAGCCTTACGCCCTACAAGATGGCATCGGCTGCCACACCCGAATGCAGCTTCCTGATCGACCCCATCGCGCGTTAGGCCGACGTTGTGTCTCCCGACATCCGGCCCTCGGACAGCATCGATTGGTGTGAGCAGAAGAAAATTTTCCACTTTCTCACCAACGGCATGGGTTTTATTGTGTTCAGCACTAGGGACCAGGGGACCCACGGCATGGATGGTGGGTAGGCAACTCTACTTATACTTGAGCGCTGCTGCTTCGGAGGTAGGGCGTCATCATCTCATCTTGACCTCGTGGTGTGAACGTGTTTCTGTTACGTTTTCCTTCGCGTGGCACTTCTTTCATCATCAGTGGTTCATACTGGTCACCATTCGGAATCGGTGGACCGTCTGTTTACTAAGCTTCTCCCTGGTCAATCCACTATGGCAGAGAGCAAAGAGCAAAGCCTCGACGTCGGCTCCAACCCCGCCAGTTTCAGCGAGAAGCCTTCTGGTGATGGCTACTCGCCTGACCATGGATATGCGGAAAATGGCGAGGTCAAGACGGTACAGCTTAAGCGGAAGCTGCAGTCGAGACATCTGCAGATGATTGCCATCGGAGGCACCATCGGGACTGGTCTGTTCATTGGTTCTGGAGGCGCGCTGGCGACGAGCGGTCCCGTGAGTCTGATGGATTGCGATATTTGCTGAGGATCATTACTGATGGCTACAGGCCGGAACGCTGATAGCATATGCTTTTGTTGGCACGCTGGTGTACTCGGTCATGGTCGCACTGGGCGAGATGGCCACCTTCATTCCAGTGTCAGGTCAGTCATTCTTGAATTCCTCTGTTGGGTTGTCATGTTAACACTGTGCTCAGGCGCCTTTACGACATTCGCTGCTCGTTTCGTGGATCCTTCTCTCGGCTTTGCTATGGGCTGGATATATTGGTTTTCCTGGGCCATCACCTTCGCGCTGGAGTTGACTGCCAGCGGTCTGATCATTCAGTACTGGGCACCAAGCCTTAATATTGGCATCTTCATTGGAGTCTTTTGGATAGTGATCACGATTTTGAACTTCTTGCCAGTGAATTTCTATGGCGAGGTTGAGTTCTACTTCTGCACGGTACGTCGGTGCTCCTTCCCTGCAGTACGACACTTTTACTGACGAGCCTTCTGCCTCCAGATCAAAATCATCACGATACTCGGATTTCTAATATTCGGCATCTGTATTAACGCGGGCGCCGGTCAACATGGATACATCGGCTTCAAATACTGGCATAACCCGGGAGCTTTCGCGCCGTCTCTGCTTGAACAAGTCAACAACAATCTTCCGCTTGCCAAGTTTGTTGGTTTCTGGAGTGTGTTGATCCAAGCGGGCTTCTCCTATCAAGGCACAGAGCTGGTCGGCATTGCGGCTGGTGAGACAGACAACCCGCGCAAGACTGTGCCGGCAGCTATCAAGAAGACCTTCTACAGGGTGAGTAAACCTGAGAGATTCAGCTCTCGTACACGAGGCATGATGAACATCGCTAAATTTGTGGCTGACAGATTCTATTTTTCTTCGTCCTAACCGTCTTCTTCATTGGTATCCTCATCCCTTACGACAACAAACAACTCCTCAACGGCTCGACATCAGCTGCAGCATCTCCTCTGGTCATCGCTGCGAAACTAGCTGGCGTCAACATCCTCCCGGACATCATCAACGCCGTCCTCCTGACCGTCGTCCTCAGCGCTGCGAACTCTAACGTTTATAGCGGGAGCCGCATCCTCGTCGGTCTTGCTGAGCAAGGATCAGCACCAAAACTCCTCCTCCGCACCACGAAGACCGGCGTTCCATACGTCGCAGTCGCTTTCACATCCGCATTCGGTCTTCTAGGATTCATGAACGAATCAAACAACGGCGGTACCGTATTCGACTGGTTCTTGAACATCACTGCCGTCGCCGGCTTCATCGCCTGGACCTGCATCAACATCTCCCACATATGCTTCATGCGCGCGCTGAAAGCCCAAGGCATGAACCGCAACGACCTACCGTACAAGGCGTTTTGGCAGCCGTGGTTCTCGTGGTACGGCATGGTGTTCAACGTCATTATCATCTTCACCCAAGGTTTTACTGCGTTCATGCCATGGAACACGAGCAACTTTTTCGTGGCGTACATCAGTCTGATCTTGTTTGCGGTGCTGTACTTTGGGCATAAGATTGTGTACAGGCAGCCGTTTGTGAAGCCGAGCGAGGCGGATCTGGATAGCGGAAGGAGGGAGGTGGAGGACATGTACTTTGAAGAGAAAATTCCGACTGGGCCTTGGAGTCGCTTTTGGGCTTGGATGGGTTGAGAAGATCTTTGAACGGCGCTGGGTGCTTGCGTTTCATTGCTGTGTATATTAGCGATGCTGATGTTCTTGTAGCGAGCATGGCATGTCCTGCTTCCATAGCATAATGACAGATTTTCCGAAACTATCACCGCCAAACCCACCACGCCGACACAGCAACCAACACCACGGCAACAGGCACCGCCTTCTTCGCAAACCGAATCGCACTCCGCTTATAGCTCTCGGCGATATACAAGTTAATCTTCTCTTGCACCACCTCAGTCTCGTTCACTCTCGGGAACGGCACTTCAGGCACCGGCAGCTCCAAAAACCTACACAGCGGCTCCCACCCATCTTCCAACTTGAACACAAACAATCGCTCCTTAGGCACCACCCGCTTCACCAACTCATTGTGCGCCAAATACGCCTCCCTGGCGTTCTCCCGCCACTGCCGAAAGTGCTCCGGGTTGTTGAACAACCCCCACCGGAACCGCGGTGCAGTCACATGGAAGAAGTGCGTATTGAGCAGATCAGTCTGTCGGCCCATTTGGCCAATGTACCATGGATCTATCGCGCCGGCCAAGGGGATGAATGGGTTCTCTACGCCGGCGATGACGGTGCGTTCGAAGCTGGCGAACCATTTCTCGACGTCCCTTTCCACCAGCACAACTTTCGCTTCAGGATAAGCGGCTACCAGTTCTTCTGCCATGGCGGCAGCGGGCTGGTCGGTCATGGCGCTCCAATGGCCGAGCAGGTTGTCGAATTCAGCCCGTCCGAACGGTTTCGTGTGGCCGTGGAGTTCCGGTTCCCATTTGGCTTCAAGGCATTCAGCCCACATTGCGAGATCCGGGGGATTCTCGGACATAGTGACCCAATGCCAGCACGGGAGGCCGAGGGTTTCGAGCGCGAGTTGCATGGTCATTGTGCCGGTGCGGGAGTAGCCCAAGGAGAGGAGGCGCATGGGGACGGTGCGCGGGCGGGAGTGCGTATCTTCATTGCGCTCGATGTAGATTGCTGGGTGGCGCTCCTTTGCGGTGGCCATGGTTGTGTTTGGGGAGCTGGTAGATGTGGGTGGTGTTGCTTGGAGATGGGATGGGGGTGGAATGTGGTAGGAGATTGGGGTTTGCCTTATATCGAAGAATTGAACGGCGCATTGACTTACATTGATTTTGCAGAGGATCAGTACAGGAATATTGCCATGCGTACTTGTTTCTGGTACTGGTATAGGAGCGTTCTGCGCTTAAGTCTGCGGCAGTGGGCTCCGCTTTTCGTCTAGGGCAAGACACTTCGCTTTCGTATAGCAAATCAAGCAGCCTGATGGTTAGGCTAGCAAACTACGGAGCACTGAGCACATGAATTTAAGAGTGTTGGAAGAAGAGAATGAAGGTGGCACAAGTATTGATAACAACCTGGCTGAAGCCAGTTTATTCCGATCTATAGAGTCCCAAGAATGTACGACAGATTACCCATTGCCAGCCCGTCCAGTCATGTAGATGTCGTCCCACCGTCATGCCCAATGCCCGTTTCAAAATGCAACGCACCCGTAAATCAATGCTCGCAAATCGAAGAACCCAAAACCATCCGCAATGCAAACATCTAGTCCAACATCTTAGTTGACCTCAATCAAACCTGGCCCAAAGATCATGTCCGAGGCGACGGTGTCCACGTCAGACATGCTCTCATCCTTGTTCGTCACAGCAGCAATGGTAAGACCGTTGAGGAAGTCCGTCTTGCCCTTGAATGGAGCCTTGAAGTGGATGGCGCCGGCCGAGAAGCTGAGGTCGGAGATCTTGTACGAGATGGGAGTGTTCTGCTGGTTGATGTAGGTAATGTACAGCTGAGAGCCTTTCTTGGACTTGTAGTAGGCTTCAGTGTTCGCCGTATCGACGGTTTGGATGGAGAAGGCGGCGGTCACGTCCTCGAGGCCGAGCTTCGTCGTAAGGACGTTCAGGACACCAGTCTCGTTGAGGGGCGTGCCAGCGGCTGGCATCTCCAGGAGGTCGATAGTCTCGGATGGGCAGTGCTCGACGAAGTTCTGGAGAATTGCGTTGTAGGCGAAGTTGCGGGCGCTGGCGGTCAAGAAGGGGAGCTCGGATGGGACCTTGCCGCTCAGAGAGCGGAAGAAACCGTTCTGCTCACCCTCCTGGCCGACGACGGAGCCGACAGCGCGGACGAGACCGATGTCCATGTTCTCGGCAGCAACAGTCTGGATGTCTGGCAGTGTGCCCAGGACAACGTCGGTGAACTTGGAAGCGAGGGCGATGGCCTCCGAGAAGGTCTTGACTGGGAATTTGTACGTGCAAGGAGCGACGGTCTTGCCAGTGTTCGCGTTGAATGCGCCGAGGGCATTCAGGGCGTGGAGTTCCTCCTGCGCAACGATGACCTTGAGATCAGCCAACACAGTGTCCCGGTCCGCGGGAATGTCCTTGGATGTGAAGCCCGGAGCCGACTTGACGATCTTGTCGACGAGCTGGGTGAAGAACGAGACCTCGAACAGCTCGTTGAAAGCAATGAAGGCGAGCGAGTTGACGGTATCTGGGTGGAGGTTGGTTGGTGCCGCTCCGTTCGACAGCTCACCGTGAGCCTGCTGTTCGAGGGTGGTGAGCTGTGGGGAGCCCTTCGCGATGTTGGGGAAGCCATTGGGCAGCGGGAACTTGGCGGCGTGAGAGGAGTTGCCCGAATACACACCTCCGGTCGGGAAGCTGGTGAAGGTGGCGGGCACACTGGTTCCGCCAACGGTGAGTGCGCTGGAGCTAGAGCTAGGAGTCACGCTGTGGACAACATCGGTGAATGCGGGCGTCACAGCGGCTGTGGTGGTGGTAGCGATGCTCGCGCTGGGAGTCACGCTGTGGACCACGTCGGTGAATGCTGGCGTGACCTGGGGAGCAGGACGGGCGTTGGCGACGGCCAAAAGGCCAAAGGCGGTGGAAGCGATCTTGCCGTACATCGTGAAACGAGTTTAATGAATGAATCGATAGATAAGGGAAACAAGGAAACACAAATAAGGAAATAAGGAAAAGAGGCTGATTTGTTGGTTTTGTTGGTTGTTTTGGTAAGGAGATGAGGAGGAAAATGCTGCTTGGGGTGGTTGAGGAGAAGATATATACTCACTGCTGACTCGTGTCCAACTGCGTCGGAAGCACAAGCTCTTGCCGTGGATGGTGGGAAGGCTTGTTCGTCGCCGGCCTGCGCACAGTGAGAGTAAGAGTGAGAGTGAGAAAATAGCTTCCACCTAACGTGGAGGGCGGAGTTTGGAGCTTTTCCCAGTTTGTGAATAAGCAGGCCAAATAAAGCCTGGCCAATCATGCGGCGACCCAGTTTTGTACCATAGCGCAAATAGGGACTAGGGGAAAGTGTTGTGATACGTGCGTTGTCAATGTAAGAATGCTAAGCATTCAAGCGTGCTGATGGGCGTGAGCTTACATTCGCACGACTTGCGCCGCATGATCGGATGGACTCGTGATAAGTCTGTCGGTCGACGCCAGTTCCGTGCTTGAAGGCTGGCTGGACTCCAGGTGCTGTCCTGTTTGGGTCAGACGGTGTGCCCTCTGCCACAGCCCCACGTTTTTTTGCGTTGTACTCCGCCTTGCCAACGACTCGATTAGTGAGAAGTAGCCAGAAGACCCATCATGGTGAGACTTGGACTGCGCTTGTGCTGGATCTGATGCTAGCAGACAAGACTTGTCTGGTCCGACGGCTTTTGATGGAGCATACCAGGCTACTGCTTCCCTTTTTGATCTTGCTGATTCTAGAAATTTTGGCCTGTAATTCGGAGTAGACGGCGCACGCGAGGAGCCGTCCGGACTGTCCTTCCACCGGAGAGCGGCCTCGAGAAATGGCGGCCGGGCTTTACAATCGTTCTCAGCGAGGGCCAACATCACCAGCCAAAAGGATACTTTTAAGAATAGTCCTTTGTAATGAAGTTGCCGTACGCTGTTACGTCTGCTAACGGTGTTCTCGAGACCGAAATGATGAGCACATCATCTGCCTGGCACCGTGCAGTAAGGCCGTAAAGACTCAGGATGCACGGCAGCTAGGTTGAATCGTTCCAGGCCTTGAGGTTCTCATGGCACTATGTCGATCACTAAGTTGATCACTGTTCGGGCTCACAGAAACGAGAACAGATTCAAGGAGCCGGTTCTCGTGTTGTTGGGATCTCATTAAGACTTCCGCATTGTCCAACAGGGGATAGAGCAGATTGGGTCCACCGCTTTCTTCGCACAGGTGCCAGAACAGCCGTTGGGTGTGGCTTGAGTAGTTCTCCGAGCGAGCTGTTGCGGTCCCGATACGCAATACAACATCAGATGGCGCTCAGAGTTCTCTTCAGCCAATCGACCGGTGCACCTCCTACTTCTTCAAAGGCCCTCCCCTGAGTGGCCCATCATCGTATTTTCTTGCTCGAATTCGTTGCTCGCTTTTGCCGTCGTCGCTCCCATCGTTCCCAGCCGGCATCTACCAGATCCTCATGCACGACCAAATCCCTCAAACGCGCCCATCGTGCCGGTGGTAAATCTAACAGCCAGTCGATGAGGCCGTGCCTTCTCGCCATCCCGATCACCACAAACCATGCCACAGCGCAAGCAGCACCAGCTGCCACACCGACATAGACTTGCCGTGGCTTGTGGTAGTTGAGGTATATCCTGCTTTGCGCAACAGCTGCAGCGCAAACCAGGGCAGCTCCGGACAGAAGTACCCTTTGCCAGTACGGGATGGGTACGTGTGTAGTAGAAGCACTCGGATGGCTGTGGGGATCATGGCGGAGTAGCATGAACAGTATCAAGAACGTCGAGAAGTACGCAACAAACTGAGCATGGGATGATGGCATGCCGTAGCCTTTGCCTAGCATTTCTGCACAATATTCAGCATCACTATCTCGACATATTTGATACTATGACCTACGAGTTGGCCGCTCTTCCTGAATCAAGCGCTTCAGGATCCAGTTGAGACCTTCGCACGCCATCTGGCCGGCGAACATGAGCAAGATCTCGGCCTCCCGCGTACTCCATATCAGTGCGACGTATGTGATGACGAGCGCTTGCGGGACCAGGGCAAGGTAGGCCGATACATATGATAAGGGGTCGCCAGGGTTGTAGTGAACGTGCGTGAGCGAGAGAGATGTCAACGAAGGCTCGTCCATGGCTAAGTAACGTCGCTTGCCTGTAGCAACTAACAGCTATACAGTCGTCCAAGCAAGATTGGAATGACTGATGAGACTTTGGAGAAGGTCTTTTGTGAGAGACCCTCCAAAACGGACATGCAGGAATCTTGGCTTAGTCATCAGTGTCTTCGCCTCTTCACCTTTGAAGCACTGTCTGTTTGCCACTCGTTGTGACTCTTTCCTCACGTTTCTTTGAAACATCCAGGCACGACAAATACTTGTCGACTGTCACTCCTACTGAGATGCTGTCCAGATAACATCCGCTCTCAGGCTCGCGCCACCTGCGTAGCAGCCTCATCCTTCACCATGGCCGACTCCGACGAGCGGGAAGAAGAACTCACAACGCTCAGTGCCATCTATCCTGAACTGGTCCCGTCCTCTGAAGACTTCTATGGCGCGACGCTTGAGATACCTGTCTCACCAAGCCAACCTCTTCTCGTACGGTTCGTGCCATCAAAAGCGGCTGGCGATATATCGCTGAACAAGCGCGGCAAAACATCGATCAAGGCTGCTGCTTACATCGAGCGTGATGTCGAGCTCTCGCACCTCCCACCTCTGACCCTCCACATGAGTTTACCAGAAGGCTATCCGCAATCGAAACCTCCTCAGGTACAGCTGGAAGCCCAGGAAGATTGGCTGCCTTCAGATAAGCTCAAGGAGCTGGAGAAGCAGGCCGAGGCCCTTTGGGAGGACTTTGGACGTTGCCAGACTCTGTTTTCCTACATCGATTACCTCCAGCAAGCAGCTGAGAGCGGGTTCGACCTGGCGTTCAGCACGGATGGCTGTCTGGTGTTGCCCATGGCAGTTGAGAAGGCCCTCGTGACATACGACGCAGAAACCAAAGGAGCTCTCTTCGATGCTGGAACGTACGAGTGTGGCATCTGTATCGAACCGAAAAAGGGTACATCCTGCTACCGGCTTTCGAGATGTGGACATGTTTTCTGCAAGTCCTGCTTGCAAGAGTTTTACAACTCCGCTATCAAGGAAGGTGATGTTGCAAATGTAAGTCAAACTTTGATGGAAAATCTGGTACAGTGTGGTGGGTGGCAGGGGATGGCATGGACGCACTTAAGCTTGGGCATAACAATATTACATTTGCTGACCTAGGTATCTAATTGTGCAGGTGAAGTGCTTGTCTCCAGATTGTGGCAAGAAAGGCACTACTGCGAACGGCAAGATCTTAAGGCAGACTACCACCAGTCGAGCGATTCATCCGCGAGAGCTACTTGCCATGGGCCTGGAGGACAAAATGGTCAGACGCTTCGTGGAGATGAAGCGCAAGAAGAAGCTCGAAGCAGACAAGCAGACTGTCTACTGTCCGCGAACTTGGTGTCAGGGTGCCGCGAAAAGCCCCAAGTACCCTCCAATCCCCGCAGATCTGGCCACGTACCCTGACGACGAGAGCGACGATGAGTCGACAGGCAAAGACAGCGCTCCACCGCAGCCATCTAAACAACCAGCTGACGCACCGCCAATAGACCCAGAGGACCGTATTGCCGTCTGTGAGAAGTGCAACTTCGCTTTCTGCAGAGTATGCTATCGAGGCTGGCACGGGCAGTTCGCTCGCTGCTATCCGCGAGATCCCAACGAGCTCTCTGCGGAGGAGAAAGCGAGTTACGACTACATTCTCAGCAACACGTCGCCTTGTCCTACGTGCAGCTCGCCCACGCAAAAGACGTACGGGTGCAATCACATGATATGCTTCAACTGCCGCACGCATTACTGCTATCTCTGCGGCAGTTGGCTTGACGGCCGCGATCCTTACCAACACTTCAATCAGCCTGGCCGAGAGTGCTACCAACGACTCTTCGAATTGGAAGAGGGTGAAAATGGCCAAGCGCCTGGAGACGGCCGAGGTTTTGCAGGAGCGAGGAGGTGGGAGCAGATGGCGATCGAAGTGGCAAGGGAGGCGGATGCGCGAGAAGCCGCAGAAGCGGCGCAGGCAGCGGAGGACGAGCAGGCAGCTAGGGCGTTGGAAGCAGAGGAGCGAGCAGAAGCTGATGGACCTGAAAATGAATTGGCCGAAGCAGTGGCGCAAGTCCAGATCAACGATAATCCCATCCCCGAAGCGGCGCAGCAGCGGCCCAACGCGCACGCTCGACGACGCAACCCTTTCCCAGCACACCCACGAGCCGGCGGCGCAGCAGCGGCGGTCCGCTATCACGAGAGACAGGCAGGCAATGCACGGGGTGGCAGGAGGCCTGCCGTCAACAACGACGAGCGGCGTCAAGCTGAACTTCAGCGATTCTTGGACATGGCTGAACGGGATGAAGAAGAGGGTTGGAATAGTGATGAGCTTGATGAAGATGAGGACTTCCGCATCCGATAGCAGTAATGAGAGCCAGCTAAGTTTACACCTCAAGAAACTTCATAAACGCAGCTGGGTACCTGTCACCCTTGACCTCAGCCTTCTTCAGCACGGTGTTGATCTCTGCCAGCTCATCGTCCGTCAGCTCGACGATCTTGAGGTTCTCGTTCAGCCTGGAGATGGCTGAGGCACCGGGGATGGGCATGACGGGCGTCCCGATGCTTTTGCTCTGCTTTGCCACCCACGCAATGGCGACCTGGCCGGCCGTGCAGCCTTTGCGCTTCGCCACCTCCTCGACCTCTTCCACGAGCTTCATGTTCTGGTCAAAGTTCTCCGGGAAGAAGCGTGGCATGCGGCGTCGCTGCAAGGTTGAGAGAAGATATGTCAACAATGTTTGCAAAGACACAGCTCTTTCACCTAGAGGCTTACCATATCGTTCTCCGCCATATCCTCGTACCTCTGAATCTGGCCCGTCAAGAATCCACGGCTCAGCGGCGAGTAAGCGATGATCGGAATGCTGTACTCTCTGCACGCCTCTGCCAGGCCGTTGTGCAGGATCCCCGTGGTGAACAAACTCAACTCCAACTCCGCGGCAGCAATCTCCGTCACAGCAGCCGCCTTCTTCAGACTGGCAGCGCTGCACTCCGTGATCCCCACCCCGCCAATCTTTCCCGCTTCGACATACTCAGCAATCGCTCCAATGGTCTCCTCTACAGGCACATCCGGATCCAACCTCGCAGCTTGGAAGACGTCGATCCTGAACTTCCCATCCGCAACAGCGAGACAATGCTCGATATTCTCCCTCACCTGCTCCGCTCTCGCTTCCGCCGTGGCAGTGGCGGTGCTGAAGCAGGCTTTGATACTGACGCAGACTTTCTCGACGTCCTCGGGGTACTTGCTGAAGTATGCTTTCAGCAGATGGAGGCTGTTGTAGTCTTCAGTGCCGTAGATGCGGCCGCCGTTCCAGAAGTTGGATCCCGCTTCCAATGCCGCTTTGAGGATGGGGATGGCTTCTTCTGTGGTGATGCCTTTCGCTGGGTTGTTGAGGCCGATCATGCCAAAGCCGATGGGCCCGACGGTCTTGCCTGCAACTGTGAGAGACATGGCGGTTTCTTGACGCTGGTGATGGTGCAAGAGGAATGAATGATACTTATGAGCTGTGGTTGTGTTGATATGAGGTTGGAAGCCACAACAGAGGCATATATAGAAGACACATTATCGTAATTACGAGCCTACGTCCTTCCGTTCGATCAGTGAAGAGTCCGGTAGAGTGATGCATCTACCAGACCATCCTCTTTTTCAACCCATTGTGGTAGTTGTGAAGAAAAGGGCCAAATAGGGCAGAGATGCACAGACCCACCCAGCAAGTCGGACACGGCGACGGAGAATCGCTGAAAGCCCGACGATGCGTTTAGATGTATGTGTTCAACCATCAGATGCTTCCAGGCTTCCTTCTTCCGTTGCACGTCAGACTGATGAGAGCGTTTTGAGGATGTCTTGAGCTGACTTAAACAAGGTCGCAGGGACAAATGATTGCTCGACAGGAATGATGAAAATGGTTCAGAGACTCTAACCAGAACACGTTGATTGCTGAGTGGTTTGGATGGTATAAATTATCTACATGCGAATCGAAACCAGCAGACAATCATAGCCCCTCTGCCCGTCTGTCTCCCCGACCCTCAAAGCCTTCCACACACACACGACTCGTTGATTTACGGAGCGTTGCAGATAACACCAATGCCATCCTGAGCCCGGTCAGCAAACGACTCTCACATCGTCAATGGCGTTTCAACTTACAACGACAAGAGTGCAGCACATGGCGGTAGTACCGGTCGCAGCGCAAGCGCGCTCAAATCCTGCCTGGCTCTTTGGGGTGCCATCCGCTGAAGCACGTACTGTTAGCGATGTCCGCAAAATTGCATTCGGTTGGTGAGGAGACTTACGCGACTCGCAGGGTGTGTCAACAACACCGTCAACGTCGAGCTGGCAGCAGGACGGAGTTTGGCCAGCTGGACAGACCGCGCGCTTGACGAGAGGGTTGGCCGATGCCATGGCGGCGAAGGCGAGAGCAAGGAGCTTGAATTGCATGTTGGCAGAAGGTGTTGTGATGGAGTGTTCGGGATAGTAGTCTGAGCGAGTGGAAGATCGAAGGCTGTTTGATTGCTGATGTGGGTGAAGCTCAGAGCGAGGGTGGTGATGGTCCAGCAACTTTATATCCTTCGCACGCTGCCCAAGTCCCACTCTCTTCTCATTCATCCAAGGCCGGCAATACCACTGCGGAAGATCGTATCATCTTGGCCGCCGCCGATCAGTCTCAAATCAATCTCTGAACACGACCTCAACTTGGATCTCCACGTCGTCAAGACCGTCATGAGGCCCGCTTCGACGGACGAACGCATCTGTTTGAGCCTCTTCCACCTACCAGGTGTTGTTGCGATATCAGCACGCCTCGCAGCCAAGCATAAAAGTATTCATTAGCTGGCATCCGTTAGTGCGAGTGAGCAACTTTTGGTATTCCAAGCAAATACCATCACTGCGGCTCCGGGTCATGCAGTGCTATTGGTCGTTGTTCTAAGCGACTGCGAAACTAGTCGCTGCTTTTGGAGACGCTGCTGCTCGGTTGCTGTGGATCCGAGATGTCCAACCTGATGATCGACCTTGCAGATGTACAGATGAGGAAGTACCTCCAAGCTGTCACATTTCCCAGCTGAGACCCGAGCAAGACCAGCTTGAAGTTTAGATAAGACCACACAAGAAGTGCCACCGACTTGGGGAAGATCTTCAAATCCGCTTGGCGGCCGTTGCAAACTCAATAGGCGCCGGTAGGTCGCCCGAAGTAGCGGTCGATGAGTTGAACGAACTGTGGTGTTTGTCGACATCTGCATTGGAGGGCCATTTGCAAGCGAGCTTGAGCGAACGTTTTTGAATAACGCATATGTTTTTCTTTAATCCCAGTTGAAGATCCCCAGGAACAGGCCAATTTTTGAACCCCAGTCCCAGGGAACGAGTTAAGGTTGTCTGCCGCAGCGTGGGGACGTGGGATGGCTACAATGCAGCTCTCTCTTATCTTCGGAGATGTTCCGGCGGCTTCTTGGAGACAGGCTGGAGATATTCTTTTGTGGCCATCCATACGTAGACCGAAAGGTTTAGGGGGACTGACTGTACTGCCGCATGTGGATGCCGTGCCCCAATCAGCATTGCCGCCGAGCTGTTGGATTCGCGCACTGAGGTCACCTTGCTTTGGCCGGTTGTCACTAGGAATGTTGAAGCATGACCTCCCCTGAGGAGATCGTCGCTCAACCAGATCCGAACGCCTTCCTCCCACCTGGCGTAAGTTTCTCCGCCTTCGAATCGACAAATGACTCGTTGCAGACCAGCGGGTCAGTGCAGAACACCGTCAGCAGCCGATCGACAACATCTCGTGCCGGCCCCGACGTCGACTGCAGATCTTGCATGCAAATACTGCGTCGAAAAGCAACACATGCGCCTCTGTAGACTTGGTGATAGATGAGCTTGAACTCTTCAGCTTCTCGGCGTTCCTTTTCAGCGTCCTCGAAGCTGTTGTCGACTGCTGGTGAGTCCTGCCCGCTTTGTAGAGATCTGCGACTTTTCTTCTGTGAGAGGCCGTACAGTCGCATACCTGCCATGACGGTCCGAGAGATGAGCTCCTTGTTCTTGGTCTCGATATCAGATGTCGTCGTGTCTGCCAGGTTCGATAGAGAAGATCGTTGAGGTGCTGCTGTTGCTGCCGTCGGCGGGCGAGATGACACCACGCTTGGTGACCTTGACAGCGTGTTCGCATGCAGCGACAAGGCTTGACTGTGGCTCACACTGCGACGGTGGCCCAAGGATGGCATGCTCGGCTCAGACTTCGGTGCAGCAGCCGCAGCAGCAACACCCTCTCCGCCCTTCCGGCGAGCTTTGCGCCTGCGCTCGGTTGCATCGTCCAGCATTTGTGTAGCACTTTTGCGCTTGCGTACTGGCGGCTCGTTGATGCGTTCCTCATCTGCACTTACAGCATGGGGCAAGAACACAGCATCAACGCCATTGTCCGCAGAGCCAGGTGATGCAGGGGGTGTAGGTTCCGCAGCTTGGACCGCATGCCATAGATGCGAGGACAGCGGCAGCGCACACAGCTTAGTACCTTGAGGAGTTGCCACGCCTCCCTCAAAAAGCTGCCCTACTGTTCCGGGCAGATCGTCCTCTGAAGCTGCGGAAGTGTCGCGAGAAGCATATAGCAAGACCTCCGTCACCTGCGGCCCCGAATTCTTCGACTGCACATTGCCTCCGTGCTCAATAGAAACCAGTATACCCAGCGGCGAGTCAGGCCGTGCTGTCTGCCACCAAGCACTTTCATCCTGATGGCTCCATAGAACGCTCGAGATCCAGTCTTCCAAGGCGGCGTCGTCAGTCTGCACGGAGCAAGAAGGTCCTATGGCAAGATATAGTGGAATTCTTTCAGTTTCCACGACAGATGCGAAGCGCAGAGAGGCTCCATTGTCCAGACATGGCAGTGAGCCTTCTGGGTCGCTGCCTCCGAATGTGAGCCCTGCCCTGTCAGTGGTGTCGCGAGGTTGAACGGAAGGTCCTCTTACCACCTAAACAATGTTCGCTGTCAAGATATAGATGCGCTTTGGTCGTCATATCGTGAAGTTTAGTCAAGGTCGTGCAGGGTGTGTTTCGACGCGATCTAGATGTGTCTCGGAATCGGATTCTCTTTCGCTTAGTAGCATCTTTCGGCTTGGCGTCTTTCAAGCTACCTGTACTTTCGAAGGTACAGTGCTCTACACGTATATGCCTTCTCGAAGACTTATCGTCGCCCTATATCTGTACAACTATCTTTCCCCTATCATACACACAACAACATTCCTCACGCCTTCCCAATCTCCCCCCGCACCCACCCCTCCAAACCTCCCCTCGCAATAATCTCCTGCACATTCGGCGGCAACTCCCCCACCGCCTGCGTCCAGCTGTCCCCACCCTCTCCCTCCTGCACAACAACCTGGCTCCGTCGGACATCCCAGGTGAAGCTCCAGCCAGTCCTTACAGTCAACGCCTTTTGCGCCTTCGGTTTGCTCTCTGGTGCTGGAGGAGGAGAATCGAGACTTTGCCTGTTCTCGTCTGGCTCAGTGATGGGCTCGGTGCCAGCGGAGCCGGTGGCTGGTTGTGAAGAAGCGGAGAAGGATTCGCGAAGACGGGAGATGAGTTTTGGCACCTCGACGCCCATTAGTGCGTTGTTGATCGAGTTGCGGGAGAAGATGTTGCCGAAGCTGCCGCTGACGACCAAGGGGATCCCCTTTGCAAGTATCGCAGTAGCGGCTTGTTCGCGCGAGCTGCCGCAGCCGAAGTTGAAGCCGGAGACTAGAATGTCGCCTTTCTTGGCGATGGAGGAGAAGGTCGGGTCATAGTTCTCCATCGTCACGGAAGCCATCTTCGTTGGATCCGAGGAGAAGGCATCGTCGTAGGTGTATTTGCCTGGGTAAATGGCGTCGGTGTTGACATTGTCGGCGTCGCACCACACGATCTCGCCTGTCACCTTCTCTGGAAAGCCAGGGAGGATTTCTGTCAGCCCGCCGGCGCTAGACTGGTCGGCGGCGTCCTGGCCGGCGAGGCGCTCATGGCTGCCTTCCAGACCACTGGCGCCTTCTAATCGCGCTTCGGCTTCTTTGACAGCTGCTTCGGCGTCGTTGACGAGTTTCTCGAGCGCGTCTTCCATGCTGAAGCTGGCGTAGCCGCCCTCGCCCTTGACTACACCTTCCCATTCTTTGGGTTGCTGATATATGCCTGGACCGGCGATCTTGCCTTTCAATGCGCTTGCAGCCACGATTTCAGGAGACGAGAGGTAGGCTTTCGCGTCTGTAGAGCCCATGCGACCTTTGAAGTTGCGGTTGCTGGCGCTGATGCCCACCTCGCCGGGCTCGAGCAGACCTGTTCCAAGACCAATGCAGGGACCACATCCGGAGGGTAGGGGTTGGGCGCCAGCAGCGAGTAGGGTCTGCCAGTCTCCTTGCTCCTCAGCAGCGATCTGCTCAGGTAATGAAGCGGCGGAGATGTAGAAATTCACGCCTTCGGCGATGCTAGGGACCTGACCATCCACAGTCGCATCCTTGAACACCTTTGCTGCGGCCGCGATATCGGAGCGGCGAGAGTTCGTACACGAGACGAGATAGGCCTTATTGATCTTGATATCCTGGGCTTCGAGCTCAGACAGTGGAGTGGCGACCTTGACGCTATTCGGGCCAGAAACGTAGGGCTGGAGGGATGAGAGGTCGAGGTAGAGCTCCTTCGCATAGCTGGCGCCTTTGTCGGCCGCCAAAGGGTCCGCGAAAAGGTCATCAAGGCGTTGGTGGTTGAATCGTGAGCTTGTCAGACTCGCTGTGGGCGATGAGGGAGGATTGGCTGAGTTCATGGCAGCCTCTGTTGCTTGCGATCTTAACCAGCCTTTCAGCATGTCGTCGATGGGGAAGAGGCCACTCAACGCGCCCCATTCGGTCGTCATATTCGCAATGGCTAATCGATCGTCGACCGGCAAACTCTTCATGGTCTCCTCAGTGCCTGTGAATTCAATAGCATGATTCAGCACCTCGTCCTCGTTGAACAGCCCGCACAATGCCACGATCACATCCTTCCCCGTCACACCCTCGGGCAGCACCCCAGTAAACGTAACCTTCGCAATCGGCGGAATCTGCCACCACGTCCTGCCTGTTGCCCAAATGCTCGCAGCATCCGTCCTCACCACTGGCGTCCCCAAACAACCAACCCCGCCATACATATTACTATGGCTATCACTAGCCACGGCCATCGTCCCAGGCCACGCGTACCCTTCCTCAACCATAATCTGGTGTCCAATCCCCCTTCCCGCAGGATAAAAGTCCACCCCCTGGTTCTTCGCGAACGACTCAATCTGCTGGTACTTCTTCAAGTTCTTGTCTGACTTGTTCTGCACGTCATGATCGAGCGTCATCACGATCTGGGAAGGGTCATGGATCTTGCTGGCGCCGATGGACATGAATTTCGTCGCGACGGGCCAGCTGTTGTCGTGGGTCATGCATCGATGCGGTGCAAGTGAGACATAGTCGCCTGACCTGACGACTTTGCCCTCTGCGAGATTTTGAGAGTGTGCCTGTACTATTTTCTCCGTCAAGGTCTGGGGGGTCATCGGTGTTGGGTCTGGTCGGCTAAGGAGTTCCGGGGGTGCGTTGGCGAGTTGGGATGGGAAGGCATCGGTAGCCTGGGCCAGTCTCCTGGGAGAAGAGGTGCTGATGTGACGCCGGGGGCGGTGGTGGAGGTGTGTTGATGCGGGTATACATTGCCTTGCTACCAATGGTGCTCGTGAGGGTGTATGCAGTTGTCGCGTGAGCATTTGTAGGCCTCCTCGCGCCGTACGAAGCGTCGCCATCGTGGCCAGGGTATTTCAAAATGTCCGGGTGAGGTCAGCGCACTATTGGCATGTTTGAAGAGTTGCGTCCAGTCGGCCAATGGCTGTCGTTGTATTGTAATGTGAAGATGTTTTTGAAGCTGTATACCGACATCGGCAAGGCTTCTGACTCGACAACAACGATTAATTAAACACAAGAATAGACAGCGAGCCAACGTCAAGACATATATCGATTAAAGAAGACCACCATGCCTTCAAGAGAAGATGTTCACTACGTAAGCCCGCGTCCACCCCCTCCCTCCGCCACCTCCTAACACTCCACCAGTTCGGAGCGGGACCCGCCCCCCTTCCTACGCCCGTCCTCGAAGAAGCCTCCAAAGTCCTCCTAAACTACAACGATTCCGGTGTGGGGATTACTGAGATCTCCCACCGCTCCCCCGAAGCCAACGCCATTCTCGCCAATGCACAGTCCGCCCTACGCAAGCTCCTCTCCATCCCCGAGTCCGACGGCCCAGATGGCTACGAGATCCTCTTCCTCCAGGGCGGCGGCAGCGGCGAGTTCAGCGCGACGGTGTACCATATGGTCAGCATCTGGGTGGCGAAGCAGTGGAAGCACTTGCGGGAGTACAAGTATCTTGGCGTTGAAGAAGATGTGGCTATCGCAGGGTTGAGGGATTTGATTGAGGAGAAGATGCGGTTGGATTATCTCGTCACTGGAAGCTGGACTTTGAAGGCGAGTCAGGAGGCTGCGCGGTTGATTGGGGCGGAAAAGGTGAACATTGTTGCTGATGCGAGGAAGCATCAGGATGGCAAGTTTGGGGTCATTCCCAAGGAGGATACTTGGACGCAGACCAAGGACGAGGCGGACTGCGCGATGACCTACTACTGCGACAACGAGACTGTGGACGGTGTGGAGTTTCAGGGACCTCCGCCAGGGCACAATCTGGTGGCGGACATGTCGTCGAACTTCCTCTCCCGGCCTATAGATGTGAAGCGGCACGCGGCGATATTTGGCGGTGCACAGAAGAATATCGGAACCACTGGAATCACCATCGCGATCATCTCGAAGAAGATCTTGCCTCCGCATGCAGAAATGGCGGACCCAAAACTCATGCGCAAGCTCGGTCTGCCCGTAGGACCCGTCGTGCTCGACTGGCCGACGATTGCAAAGAACAATTCGCTGTACAACACCCTGCCCATCTTCGACGTTTGGATCGCTGGCAAAGTCATGGAGCGACTGCTTTCTCTGCATTCCTCTTCGTCTTCTGCAATTGAGGGCCAAGAAGCTGAGTCGAACAAGAAAGCCACCATGATCTACGGCGCCCTCGAAGCGCATCCAGATGTCTACTCGGTGGTGCCAGACAAGAGTGTCCGAAGCAGGATGAACATCTGTGTGCGTGTGAAAGGGGGAGATGCAGAGGCGGAGAAGGCTTTCTTGAAGGGGGCGGAGAGCAGGGGCCTGATGGGACTGAAGGGACACAGGAGTGTTGGTGGCATTAGGGTCAGCAACTACAATGCTGTCCCAGTCGCAGCAGCAGAGAAGTTGACGAAGTACATGGAGGAGTTCGCGAAGGAGCAGGTGAAGGCATGAGCGGTATCGAGAGAAGGGATAGAAAAGTTTATTGTGGTTGCATTTAGCGGTGGAGTTGGGGCTGGCATGGAAGAGTTCTTCAACAAAACGATCGCAAGGGAAAAGCTACGAGGTTACGAAACAGTGTGTTCAACACCTGATGAGAGTATGATCTTGAATAAATAGATGTCCTTTCATCGTTCTCTTCAAGTTCTTCTTGTCTTCTGATTGGCCACAATCAACCTCACCTGCCCAAAATCACACTCTTCCGCCTTGCCTTGCTTCTTGATTGCGTGCAACACCATCCTCAAGCATGTCGATCTCAAACGACGCAGGTCACTTCTTCCAATCCTCCGCTGCCCTCGCCACCACCGAGCGCAAAGCAGCGAAAGCGAAGAACAAATATGGTGACCCCATCAAATTCCCATCAAAGATCCTCGCCATTCTCATCGACCCCAATGACAAGGGCGGACTCTACGTTGCTGAAGCGGCCGGCGAAGTGAAGAAAGTGAGGCTGGATGTGTGTAAGAAATGCTTGTCTTCTCTTGCTGCTGAACGAAATGCGCTAAAGCTTTCGCACGCAGACGCAGAAGGTTGAGAAGGTCTTCAGCGAGGGCACAGCGCCCCTGACTTCTTTAGCGATATGTACGAAGACCAACACGTTGTTCGCCGGATGCTGGGATAAGCACATCTACGCTGTCGACCTCAAAGACCGCAAGAAGAAAGCGAGACGTCTCACAGGCCACACCGACTTCGTCAAGTGCCTCCTCGCCACCTCTCTAAGTGGAAAGCCAGTCCTCCTCTCCGGCGGTGCAGACGCTGCGACCATTGTCTGGGACATCGAGACCGGCACCCAACTGCATAAACTAAAAGGCCATACCAAAGCTCTGCAAGATCTGGCGATTGATCCTTTTAGCCTGCTTGACTTTGCGACCGAGCCATTGGACGATTTCGTCCTTTTCTCCGCGAGCAGTGATCCGCATTTCCGCCGCTGGCACATTTCCCTCAAAAGCTGCCGGGAGTTGGCTGAGTCGGAGGACGCACCGGTGCAAGCGCACGATACGAGCATCTACAAATTACACTTCGATACGTCCGGCGATATCTGGACTGCTTCCGCCGATAAGACGGCCAAACATCTCGTTCGCGATCGCGGCTGGGAGGCAGATACTACCCTCCAACACCCAGACTTCGTGCGAGATGTCGTGGTGGTGGAACGTGCCGGTGTCGTCGTCACGGCTTGCAGAGACGAGATTGTCCGGGTGTGGGATGTGGCGACCGGCAAGCTGGTGTGTACGTATGAAGGGCACTTTGAAGAGGTCACGGGGTTGGCGGTCTGGGAGTCGGAGGTGTTGAGTGGGAGCATCGATGGGACGGTGAGAAAATGGGGGCTGAGGAAGCAGGAGATGGCTAAGTATCTTGAGGAGGTCGAGAAGGAGAAAGGAGGAGAGGCGGTGGAAGAGAAGAAGGGTGATAAGAGTGGTAGTGTGCTGACTGCGGAAGAGGAGGCCGAGCTTGCGGAGTTGATGGACGATGATTGAGACGGACGGAGAAGCTATTGTGGAGAGTGGCTACTCCGCAAATAGAGCATCAATCGGTACAATACCCAATGCGCCTTGCTTGCAAAGACATCTCTCAGCAATAACGTGGCCAGCAAACACAGTATTTCCTCCATCGAATTCATCCAAATACAAACGACAACCTTCCGAACAAAGTACTGTTCTCCACGCAACGCAATGCGCTCCTTGCATCGCTTCTCCAGGTCAATCTTCAGTGCTGTACATGACCGCATTGTAGCTCATCCAGTATTCATCATTCATGCTGGAACTGACACAACTTCCAATTCGCTCGCCACAAGGCTCACAATTGCAGCGATCATGCCCAGGCACAAATGCTCGAGTAACAGGCGCCATTGTCGACGCTGCCCCTTGATCACCCAATCCTCCTTGGACAACTCCCAGAAGGCCGCGATCGGTAAGCACAGCCAATGCGGCCAGATTGCCCTAGCGGCGAGCATCACACACATCAGGAACAGGTAGACTGCTAGGAGCGGCTGCGCGCGCTTCTTGAATTTGCGGTGCTCGCGCTTGTCCATCCGGTCTTCGATATCTTGAAACACAGACATCTTTCCTCCGCCCGACTCCAGCAGCCGCAGCATCGTCCAGCCCGTCGTATCGTCGATGCCTTCAGGTGGCCGTGCAATCCTGCCAGGCACGAGTATATCAATCGGTAACCACTCGGTGCACGCGCGGCCATCCAGTTCCAGGCAGAACTGTAGGGCGCCCAGTACGAGTTCGTTTGGCTCGAGGAGCTCAAAACTTCCGTGGAGTTGATTCGGAGCTCGATGGTAGACTGCCTCTTCAAAATAGACGTCTGCCAGGATCATACGTTGCCAGCTGGGTGAATGGTTGCATTTGAAGTGTGGCAGCCGAAGCGATGCTTCTACCATAGCGTCGAGCTGAGAACTGCAACAGCAATCGAGCTCACTGACGTGAGTGGTTTTCTTATTGGCTCCTCTCATGAAACTCCGCGTAAGGAGTCTCATCCATCTCTTCAGCCCCCTTGGACGTACGAACCTGGATCCGTTAGCGTGTATTCGTTGCAGAGCTTCATAACAGTCGTTTACTCACTGCGCAAGGAATGGATTTGCGATCACAACGGTCTCCGCGTCTGTCGACTCTAGCCTGAAACAGCCATCGCTCACGAGAGGCGATGTCGGGTCCCAGTACACAGTCTCGCCCGAGGCTGGTTGAAGGAAGAGCGCCTTCTGTATGCGCGCTGAGCCGGCTGCGACATCGTGAAAGGTGCGGCTCACCCGCTGCGAAAGGAGGAGGTCGCGAAGGGGCAGGTGGAGCAGTATGTCTTCCAGCAGCTCGGGTGTGTTGAGAGCTCGTGCGGTGGCCATGGTTAGGACTGTCGCTGAAGATAGAAGTGTAGTAAAACAGCGCTGGGACTTTGGCTGTCGTCAAGGGCGTACAGCGAAGGTACGCGGTTGTAATGGGCGTGGTGGTTGTTGGCAGGGTTGTTGTGTTCGAAGGTTGGGGGGTGCAGGTAGCTAGTGAAGTCGCGAAAGGATTCCGAGTGAATCGCGGCATTTCTGTTGCGACGTATGGGACTTGACGTATGGGACTTGAAACATTGCCGGAGTGAATGTGGAAGTCTGTTGATTGGGTGAGCCAGCTTAGTCCTTTGTCATGTGACCATGCTTAGCTGATCCTTAGCGCCTCCCTTCGGAGCATGTGAAAGAACCGCCAACTCGTTCGAAGAAACCTGCCCGCCCGATGAGCGGCACGCTGGTTTGAATTAAGTCATGGATTCGTGTGAACTGTTTCGTACGAACTCTTCTCCGACCGAACAAGACAGCAGCAGCGCCGTTGGTAATACCATAACAATTCACCTCGACCAGCGAGAAGACCGCAGCGGCGTTTTGTCCTTCCAGCCTCTGAGCCATGCTTCATTGTTGATCATCTCTGCTTTCCTGCCTATCGCCTACATGTTCTTCATGTCCAGACATGCTAGACCGAGTTCTCGAGTAGACCGACAGAAGAAGGTACCTACGTAGGTCAGCATGATGCTCGAACAGCTCAACACAATTGTAGAGAGAAATACCCTTGTCCTTAGATGCCTCGCAGGTACTTCCAGGCGAACGACAAGACCCATACAGCAAACGCAGCGTTCGAAAGGAGGAACAGGATTGCCGCGATGCGCTTGGCAACTTCTATGGCCTGCAACAGCACAGGACTCGGGTTGTGCTCTCCCAGCAGGGCACTTCTCTTCGCTCCAGTAGCCTCCAGCACACGCAGCGCCTCCCAACCAGTAGTCCCACGCACCCCACCCGGCAGCCAAGCGATTGCTCCTGGGCCGATGAGCTGACATGTCTTCTCGGCCTTAAAGCGACGTCCTCCGAGGTGCAGACTATTCAGGAGGTCACCAAGACGGAATTTGCAAGGATTGAGGACTTTCAGGCTGCGAGAAGATTTCTGGAAGAATATCATTCCATCGAGCGGCAGGTCGGTCAGCGTCATCTTCTCCCAGAGCGGCCGAATCCTGGTACCACCACAAAGGCGGTTGTTGCGACGTTGGCGTGGAAGATTCTTCGAGATGGGCAGTTCTAGGAAGGCCACGGTGACGCTCGGAGCTTGTGGACTGTAGTGGCTGAGCCTGAGGGTGCTGGCCTTCGCGAGCTCATGGACACCTGGAGGAGCCGAGCACACAAACCTGAGAGCATTAGCTTGAGTTTCTCTCGAGGAGAAGCACAGCAACCTACCTCGCCAGGAACGGGTTCGCGATCGGCTTCATCGAGCCGTCGCCGGACTTCAAAACCCATCGGCTGCTGGAGGGAGACCACGAGACCATCGGTGCGGACGCTGGATGGAGAAAAAGCGCCTCCTGGATGGTTGGAGTAGTGTTGACCGCGGTATAGAAAGCATAGTTGACTTGCTGGGAGGGGATAACATCGCACAGCGGCAGTTCAAGAAGCACGCGCTCCAGCAAGTCTGGCCTGGCAAACACTTGAGCTGCAGCGATGCCGAGGACGGGAGGGGTGGTTGTGGAGGCGTCCATAGCGGCGGTGGGGCCTGAGCCAGTTTGGATTCGCAGAAGCTGAGATGGTTGCGGATGCTGTCGTGTGTCGAGAACATACGTTGGTGGGCGAAAAGAATAAGCGAAATTACAGGCAGATGCGCTCCTGACTCGTGAGGTCTTCCATGTGATTGCCAAGCTAGGCCGCTTGCGGACACGTCCACGTAGGCTCTAACACCATGCTGTACACAAACAGAGATTAGCACACGCACACCTCTCGGAATTATATCCAAAGCTTACCAGTTGTGATAGGAAGTCGAAGACTGCGTGTTGTCCATCCATACTTCGAACTCCCTCTCCAGTTCTCCAGCAGGATGAGCGTCGGCTACCATGTCCGGGTACCCAGCCATCCACAATCGTCCGATCACCGAGCGACAAACCAAGCCAGCCAGTTGCCAAGTCTTGACAAAACATCGGTGGTCATCGAGCAACCATGGACTCTTGCTTCGTACAATGCTTTGCCACCAGACCATGCCGCTCCTGCCTGTCGCTTCGCATGAGTCAAAGCATCTGCCATCCAGTCACGGTGTCGATGCCATAACAACAATCCAGTTGAAGCCATGACTCGGACCCGGTAATATCACAGATTATCACATCAGCCTGCGGACCGTCAGTTCACAGAAATCTCCAATCCTCCAGTCGGAAGCCAGGAGCACGCGAGTGCCTGCATTGTTCACAGGATATGTCGTCGGAAGGAAGTCTGCGTTCCATGTCGTACTCGAGGAGGGGAAACTCAATTGTCAATCATCAGCATACGGCGCCAACTCGGTGTGGCGGGAGGCCCGGTCTGTTCGCACTCTACGCATCCAATCATACCGCCACAAGAAAGGTGCGGATAGCAGTAAATGCTGTACTTCTTCAGTCCTGGTATGCAAGCGACGGCCAACATTGACGTCAGGAGGCACCCTTCTACCTGTGTGTGGTGCTGAGGGCCGCTCTTCCTGTAAGGCGGTGCGTGGCATTCGAACCTGTTCGAAGTTAGAGGGCTTTATCAAATGCAAGAGGGTAAGTACTTGCTGCCTCAGAAACGGACTGACCAAGGGCGTAGTTGAGGTGCGTTGGGGCCGGAGCAGCCAGGATCGGACGTCCTAGTGGTCCTCAGTTTCAGAAACACGGTTTGCTGAATCTTGTGACATGATCTCACCACGCTGCCAAAGGTACTGTCGATAAGCTGTGACAGCAGGAGATTGGGCAGGTGAAGATGAAGCAAGATATCCTCAAGAAGCTCACAAATGGCAAAGACCCGGGCGGGTGCGCCAGTGGTTGTCAACTTGGGCTCATGAAGAACCACATCTTAAAGTGAGGAAAGAGAGAACATTAAGACCTTGATGCGACAGAGAGTTCCTTAAATAGGCCTCATCTGAAGTTCAAACTCATCTTGTGTTATCATTTGCTACCTCCTAGTGAAAGGCAGCCGCATCACTGAAAGGACCTCAAGACATCGGCAAAGCTGCAACACCTCAGCAACACATCTCTTCAGCTTCAGCCGCTTGCTTGTTGGCCAATCTCAATCCTGGTGAGACATACGAAACTTCGAGAAGGCAACCAGCCTTGAAGAGTACTCATTTTTCTCGCCAGCATTGTTGTGCGTTGACATCAAAGAAATTGTGCTTGCATGGTGTTGTACCGTGGAAGGCACGAGAAGTCAATCTCTGGCTGGCAATGATAGGGTGTTGCAGCTACTGCATGAGATGGTACAGACGGAGGAAGAAAGGGGCTGGCATTGGAACTGGAGTAGAGTGGAGTCGGAGTTGAGCCATCCGACAATTTGGTAAGGTTGCCGGCCCGCTGCAGGGCCGCTCCTTTGGTGAATCTTGGCAACGTCATTTTGCCGATCTTCAAGAATTCTTGAGAGCTCTCCCCAACGCGACGGCTCTGAAGGTCACGACGAAGACACAACGAGGATATGGCTCGATTTGTTCCTCGGGAACGCAAGCACAGGAAACTGGCACGTACCAAATCACCGTTTTCCAACACCAAAACAGACACCAACACCGAAGAACTACCGCTGCAGTCGCGCACAGATCGAGAGGCGCGTCGAGAAGCGATCCGAGAGCAGCTTCGAGCAGCCCAGCCCGAATCTAAAGCCTCTTCGAAGAAGAGAAAGCGATTGGACAAATATATCGACACCAAACTCAAGAAGGATGAGAACGCTGAGTTATTAAAGAAGCTTGAGGCACAGAGGGTGGACACCAGTCTTCTCCGCAGCTCGAAGAAGCTAGGAAGGGTCACGGAGAGTAAGCGCGAGCGACTACACCGAGCTCTGCGTGAGAAGGATGCGGGGTTGGATGTGAATGGGCATAGCGATGGCATCCTTCTCGGAGAGAGGGCGGAGGCTAAGAGCTCTTCTAACGACGAAGAGCCTGCGCAGGGAGAGGCGGATCTTCGAGATGAGGTTGCACCCATGTCAGAAGTCTCGAAAAGCACAACACCCGTGGCAGCACCAGCTCTCTTTGGAAGTGGGCTTAAACGCCCTCTCGATTTAGGAGAAGATGGGAAGCCACTCATCCGCAAGCGCAAGCGACGGAAGAAGGCCAAGATAGACTTCGTCCCGTCCGAAGATGATGCCAGCGACATTACAGAGGAGTATACCGAAAACGGTATTATTGATGGTACGGACCAAGAGGAAGTGGCTTGGGAAGGGTTCAGCTCGGAGGAAGAGAATGAGGAGGCAGAACAGGATCTCACAGCACGGGAGTCTTCCGACGGCGACGACGAGAAGCTGGAAGACTACAGCGATTCAGCCGACTCTGAGAACTCCTCAGCAGCCTCAGATGAAGACAAGCCAGCACGGGTGTCGGCATTCAAAGCTTGGGCAGACACCCAGCGCAACAAAGCGCTGGACTTCACACCCTCTACTGCTGCTACCAACGATACCACCATGCAGACGGCGAAAGCGAACTTCAAGCCTCGAGTGCCGTCTCCAGACCCCATGCTCGATCAAGTGGTAACGGCCTCGCAACCAACCACAAAGCCAGCTGTTGCGGTAGCCATCTCGAGGACCAAAGCAGTTCAGCAGGCTCGATTAGAACTGCCGGTAGTTCGAGAAGAGCAGAGGATTATGGAGACGATCAACTCTCACCCGGTGTCGGTGGTTTGCGGTGCCACTGGGTCTGGCAAAACTACACAGGTGCCTCAAATGCTGCTTGAGAATGGCTACGGCACACTGGGTATGATCGGAGTCACGCAGCCTCGTCGAGTTGCGGCTACCAGTGTCGCCGCGCGTGTCTCGCATGAGCTAGGGTCAGAATACGGCAAAAAAGTGGCTCACCACGTCCGCTACGACACTTCAGTCAGAAAAGACACTGCGATCAAGTTCATGACGGACGGTATATTGCTACGAGAGATACAGAAGGACTTTATTCTTTCGAAGTACAGTGTTATCGTTCTCGACGAAGCGCACGAACGCAGCGTCAACACTGATCTGCTCATCGGCATGCTGTCTCGCATCGTGCCTTTGCGAGCAGACCTAGTAAAGGAGAAGCCGGAGAAGCATCGGCCACTGAAGCTCGTCATCATGTCTGCAACACTGTCACACGGCGTGGACTCATTCTTGCAGAATGGAAAGCTGTGGAACAGGATTAGTGGACCTCCACCAGTTGTAGAAGCAGAAGGAAGGCAGTTTCCGGTCACTGTGCACTTCGCGCGGCGGACAAGAAGAGACTTTCTGAGTGAGGTGGTAGAGAAGGTCGCGCGAGGACACCGAAAGCTGCCTTCTGGCGGCATGCTGGTGTTCTTGACTGGTCAGCAGGAGATTGCCACTGTTTCGAAGCAGCTGCGTGAGAGAATCGGTGGCAAAGGCGGGTTTGTTGCCGGTCCATCCAACTCTGGAGACGCAGATGATTACGAGGACGGTGTTGGCACGAGAAGCAAGGACGACTTCCTCGAAGGCGAAGAGGATCCCGGGTCTGACTCCGAAGCAGAGATCAAACTCAATGAAGACGAGAACGAGTTCGCAATCGAAGACGCAGCGCTGCCGTTCGGTGGCGGAACCAGCATGAAAGGTCCATTGAAGCCGCACATTCTTCCACTTTACGCAGCATTGCCAGCAGCGCAACAGCTCAAGGTCTTCCAGCCATCTTCGGAGGGCCACCGAGCGATCATTCTAGCAACAAACGTCGCAGAGACGTCACTCACCATCCCAGGAGTACGCTACGTTTTCGACGCTGGTCGTGTCAAGGAGAAGAGATACGACACCTCCACTGGCGTGCAAACCTTCGAAGTCGGCTGGATTAGCAAGGCATCGGCTGAACAACGAAAGGGTCGCGCAGGCCGTACCGGACCTGGGCACGTATGGCGGCTATATAGCTCCGCCGTGTATGAGGAGTTCTTCGCCGAAGAGACGGTGCCAGAAATACTGCGGACGCCGCTGGAGAGCACGGTGCTCCTGCTGAAATCTATGGACATCCAAAGCGTACTCACCTTTCCTTTTCCGACGCAGCCCGAACGACATCAACTGGAGATTGCCGAACGACTGCTTGTGAACTTAGGCGCGCTGGCCGGGAAGCCAGGCTCTGTTACCGACGTTGGCAAGGAGATTATCAAGCTCCCAGTCAGTCCGCGGTTCGGCAAGATGCTCATGCTTGCGCAAAGGAACGACGCGGTTGCCTGGGCGGCAGCAATAGTGGCCGCTTTGGCGGTCGGAGATTTGTTCATTCCTGAGGCGCAGGCCAACTTCCATGGCTTTGATAAGTCTGTGGATGGTCAGGAGAGCGATGAGGACGTGCGAGCTCAACTGAAGGCCGAGGCGGCAGGGCGAGATGCGTCGGAACAGCTACATCAGCGATATACCCGAGCGCAAGCGAAACTGGCGCGATGGGACGACCGGTCGGATGTCCAGAAGACCTTGATGGCTGTTGCGTTGCATGCCGAAGCTCAAGACGCTGGACCACGAGGCACCGGAGTGGATTCGCTGTGTCAGCAGTTCTTCTTGCGAGAGAAGAGCATGGCGGAAGCGCAGATGCTGCGACGACAGTTGCACGACCTCATCGGTGGCCTAGATCAGTATGCCACGACTTTATCGCTCCCAACCGAGAAGCAGAGAACGATACTCAACCAGATTGCTGCTTCCGGTTTCATCGACCAGGTCGCCATTCGGACAGACACACTAAAGGGCAGCACCGGCTTTGGACGAAACCCGAGCCGAGCTATCGAGGTAGCGTACCGAACACTATTCCCGTCTGCAGACGCTTCAACAGAAGACAAGAACGCCACTCCCGAAGAACAAGAACTCCACCGCGGAGTCTTCGTCCACCCCTCCAGCGTCCTCGCCAAGCTCAGCGTGAAGGAGATGCCACAGTTCATCGTCTACTCGCACCTCTCCCGCGCGACACCATCGGACATCTCGTCTACCAAGACCAAACGAACCCGAATGCACCCACTGACTTCAATCGGACCCAAAGCGCTCGCCGTGCTTGCTGAAGGGACGCCGTTGCTGCAGTTTGGCAAACCCATAGGCAAGATCGAAGACCTTCCACGTGGTGGAGACGGAAAGCAGCGGAGGCGGTGTTGGGTGGGTCTGGGTCTTAGAGCTCCCGGGGATGCTTCTGCCGCCGAATGGCCGCTTGGTGCTTGGAAGGTGGTGCAGAAGAGAGGGACGAGGGATTGGGAGATCGAGGAGGTTATTGCGAGATGAGTTATGCTGTTCAGAACCACCTTAACTACCTATGAACTGTACCATTGACTACTATTGACCAACGTTCTGTGTTCCGCACAATACACCATCTAGCCGACGAGCCGCAAATTATGCACGCTCCCCGGAATAATAGTAATCCTAAAACCCGGACCTCCTCCTCCCCCACCACCTCCTCTGGGGACTATTCCCGCAAAACACAAAATAGCTTCTGTGCGCCACCCCATACCAAGCCCCGAGACTAAGGAGTCTCCAGCAAATACTGCCTTGGCTGACGAGTGATTGGAGAACAACCGCGATAGCGGGGTTGATCGTCCCAGACTTCCACACGTGCCCGCCGCGTGCCATGACTAGATACCCGAGATGAGGGTAAGCGTTGTTGGCACTGCTTTTATTCTTTGATCGCCAGGTACGTATTGTGATTGTACCTTGTACTTAGTCGAATGTGTTGATTTCTCGTTACTTTTTATCAGTGTGAACAAAGGTCGTAAGACAAGACAGCTGCAACAATGGACAGTTCAAAAGAAGATGTCAAGACGGAGTTCGTCGACGAAAGAGCACAACAACCGGATGAGATATACGATAATGATCATGAAGATCCGAGGATCAAGCGGATCAAACGCAAAGTTGACCTTCGACTGTCGTTGATTCTGGCAGTGATGTATTGTGTCAATCAGATTGATCGGACGAACTTGGGCAATGCGTAGGTGTTGAACACCTAGACCTGGCGAAGAAAATATTGACGACGATGTAGATCGATTGCAGGCATGGACGTCGACTTGAACCTCATAGGGAACCGATATCAAATTATTGTAAGTCCGCCAATGATCAAAGCCCACCCAGGACGAGAATATACTGACCTGACTGCTTCTTGCAACCAGGTCCTAGTCTTCTTCCCATTCTACATCCTGGGTAACCCAATCGCAACGGTTCTTGCCCGAAAACTAGGCCCACGACCATTCCTCGCAGCCATCACCGCAGCTTTCGGCCTCGTCGTTGTTGGAATGGGCCTCTCGGACAACTGGCAGACTCTCATGGGCCTGCGAATGCTGCTGGGTATCTTCGAGAGCTGCTTCTTTCCCTCCGCCATCTTTCTGGTCTCGATGTGGTATCTGAGACGTGAGGTCGCGAAGAGGAATGCGTTCTTCTACTTGATCGGAAACTCCGTTGGTGGATTTGGAGGTGTGCTCGCATTCGGGCTTCAGCAGATGGACGGTATTGCTGGCCATGAGGGATGGCGCTGGATCTTTATCTGGGAAGGCATTATCACGGCCATCATCGCCATCATTGGGTGAGTACCAAGCTGAGAAAAACATATTCGCTTTGAGACCGGACACCGTGCTGATGCCGCCCTGTGTGCAGCTTCATCTTCCTTGTCGACTTCCCGGAGGAGGCGCACAAGTCCAAGTTCTTCTTGACCGATGAGGAGATCAAGCTCATGGTCGACCGTGTGGACAGGGACAGAGGAGACGCTCATGTTACTGAGTTCTCGATTTGGAAGTATCTGTCAGAGGCAAAGGATTGGAAGTGCTGGTGCTTTGCCGTACGTACCCTCCGAGCAAAGTCATATAAAATGTTCACTGACGGGACTACTTATCTGCAGGCCAACTTCGGCTTCGCTGGGCTGGTCACATACAGTGTCAGCTACTTCTTGCCAATCATCCTGCGAGAAAGCTTGGGCTTCAGCGTCGCCCTGTCACAATGCTTGACAGCGCCAGTGAGTGGAAGAGAGATCGGGCCATGAGATTCGATTGGGCTAATACGTATCCTCAGTGCTACGTCTTTAGCTTCCTTCTCGGCTTCGCTGAAGCCGTAGTGTCGGACAAGACGAACTGGCGCGGCCATATCATCGTATTCAACTCGGTCTTGATGATCATCGGTGTGTCGGTTCTGGGTTTCGCAGAGCAGCCATACGTGAGGTACTTTGGTGCATTCCTCGTGACGTCCGGCAAGTTTAATGCTTCTCTTTAGGTTTCGCAACTCAGGCTGACATCCATTATAGGCGCAAACTCGAACGTCACAGCATCCATGACCTATCAGCAAAACAACGTCGTCGGCCAATGGAAACGTGCATTCACATCAGCAAACATGGTCGCCATGGGTGGAGTTGGCGGCATTATCGGCGGATCTGTCTTCCGTGGCCAGGATGCACCTCAGTATGTTCCCGGTCTCATTACCTGCTTCTTAGCAGCAGGTTTAACGATCCTGAGCGTGATGGCCACGACCATCTACATGATCAATCAGAATCGGAAGCAAGCAAAGGGCCAGATCGTGATCGAAGGTGTCCCGGGCTTTCGATACACAATCTGAAGAAGGCGTTCATCGAAACGGACTTCTTGACGCTCCTTGCTTTGGCGGTGCGAAATTCCCAACGGGAGGAGTCTTAGTTGGGCTGCTGTGCCGCGAGAGCCTGGCTGGAGCCGCACTACCTGGTGCCAGACCGGAAGAGGGTGCGGCGGAGCCACGCGGCGATGGTGCGAAGTTTCCAACTGGCGGCAGCTTTAACTTCGGAGTGCCCGACAACTCCTCGAAGTTACTAGTGTCCATAGCATCACCATCCTCTTCCTCATTTCCAGCATCATCGCTCCAATCTGCTGTGCGCTGAAGTATGAGGTCCTGCACAGTCTTCTTGTGCGCCATCAACATGTCGGTGATGGAGTCGACATCGCTCTGACTCGCTCTTCCGAAGCGCTTCTTGGGCTTCTTTGAGATGTCGCTGTGCCAGAAGTTATGATCGTTGGCGACGAAGACAAGTGACTTGGTGTAGTACCACGACGCCAGCATGTCATTAGTCGCGGACTTGCAGGACTGAAGTGGGACATCTTCGACGAAGGAGATTGCGCTCGTGATCCGATCTTTAGCGCGGTCTTCATTCGCTTTGATGAAATTGATGATGGCACCATGGCCGGTGTTTGTGCCCATTAGGAAGACGTGCGATGAGTCGCTCAGCTCGACGTAGTTGTCCCACAAATAACTTAGGAGGAGGGTGGCTTCTTTGGTGCGGAAGTCGGTGGCGTCATTAGGTTCGTGCTGCTGTCCATCGTCCATGTCTGTCACATGTTTTAGAAGATTCACGTCGATCACGGCAAAGCCCTGCTTGACGGCCCAGTCGACGTAAGTCTTCACAATATCAGTCTTTGGCCATTGTCAGCAGGATGTCTGCAAACGGCAGTGTACGGATGTGAGAGCTTACCAGCCAGGTGTTGTGGAGCTCGATCTTGCCAGTCACTGGATCTGGTGAAGCTATGACTTCTGGCGGATCATGCAGAATGACCACAAGCGGGCGGGCAGAAGTGTAATTAGGTCTGTAATAATCAGTTCTGATCAACCATGGTGGAGGAGATCAACTCACGTAGCCAGGACTTGGTTCTTGAACGGCTGGGACAGAGGCTGGTGGAGAACCGCAAGCGGAATCATCTCGTACTCTTCCCACAGCGTCTCTGCCTGCCAGCGACGAACCACTTCGTGCATCCGCACACCATGAAGCGGTCCCGCGAGTTTCGCAGACATGTCCTTGGGGTAGAGCGACGACCAGAAGCGGCTTTGCTGGCGAAGGACTGTCTTGACGTCGTTGACAGCGGACAGGGTCGGATTGGTGTTGACCAGTCGTTCCGGGGGCTCGCCCATCATAGTTCTGGCGACGGCGGTAGCTGAGCGCGCAATGGAATCCAGGTTGTAGCCACCCTCTAAGCAAACAGCCAAACGCCCTTCGGCAAGCGACATGAGCATATGCGTCATGTGGGCGTATCCTGCGGGCGTCACTTTGCAGCCTCCGAGCATGTCGCCTTCGGCTGCGTCGAAGCCGGCAGCAATGATAACGAGGTCCGGTTTGAACTCGTGTGCTATAGGCATCACCACCTGCTGAAAGGCGTAGATGTAGTCCGCATCACCCATGCCTTTTCTGCTCCACGGTACGTTGACGTTCTTTCCTAGACCAGCACCTTCACCGCAGTGCACGTGGTCGCCGTAGGGTGGTCGCCTGTCGCGATAAGAAAGCTCTGGGTAGAAGCGCCCGCGCTCGTGCACGTGTAAAGAGATATAGAGCACATTTGGGTCATCGTAGTTCGCTTGCTGGATGCCATTGCCGTGGTGCACGTCCCAGTCAAGGATGAGCACCTTCCGGCATTGCTCACCGAACTCCCTCTGGCAGACCTTCGTGGCGATGCTGACATTGTCAAAAAAGCAGAAGCCCTTCGCATCCTCCCGTTCAGCATGATGGCCAGGGGGTCGGATCACAGCAAAGACATTCTTGACCTTTCCAAGCATGACTGCTCGACATGCCTCAATAGCACCACCTGCCGAGAGCGCGGCGCAGAAAGGAGTTTGTCGAGACAGATACACGGAGTCCATCCTATGGCCAGGGTGCTGCTGATGCTCGGCAAGCTCGTCGTCAGGTATCCGGACCAAGTTCTGAACCCAGTTCCAGTGCTCTTCCGTGTGGACAAGGCAGACCTCTTGCTTCAAGACGACGCGAGTGTCTATCCGGCCCATGTAGAAGTCGTTTGAGGGCTCAAGAGAACCTTGCTTCCATGCGAGACCCGCATCTGCGAATGATTCAAAGATAGCGTGAATGCGGCGAGGATCTTCCGGGTGGATGTCATCTTCGCTCTGCTCCGGCTCAACATGAAAGCGCATGCGCACATCGTAGACAAGTCCGGTTTGGGAGCTGGCATATGGCAATGGCGCGAATTTGGCTGGCCGCGGTGCTGGCTTGTCCTTCGTCAGGGTGTATTCAAAAACCGATGCTTCTCGCTTGAGACCTTCACCTTTTAAGACTGGCTCAGACCGCTTCTCCTCTCCAGGTTGTGTGTCAGTCAAGAAGGCATCGTCAAAGTTCGACTTAGGTGACAGGTTCGCCAGCGATTGCGAGAAGAGGTTGTGCGGTTCCGTCGAGGCAATAACATCGCCGTCACGCATGGCGATATCGTCGTCACCAGATGTGAGGTCCATTACTTACACGTGCGGTCCGTTTCAGAGCGGGTCGAAAGCACACGTGTTCATCTGCCCATCATGGGTTCGCCTAGACCCAGCAGGGAAAGACTACTGCGTTTAACGTTAGCGATATGTCGACGAAATGGCTACATGTGTAAATCAACCATCACTTGACAGTAGCAATGGCTAAGACGCCTCCCCAATCCTAGTAAAGGCATTCTTGCATTCTCTATACAAGGAGCATATGACTTGCTGTTGCCGCTGCTCATATGGCGTGCGTAGTAGAGGTAGAGAAAGCAAACGCGGCGCTGAAGCTTCACTTACCGTAATAACGCGCTTCAAGCGCGCTGTTAAGGCGAACGGTGTCCTTAAGTTGGAGGAAGTAGCAAAGAGCGTATTAGTGCTATTGTCGTCTCCTTCTAAGGCAGGGTAGTAGTGGATGTAGTAGTGGTCGTCGTGTAGTAGTAGAGGAGCAAGTAGTAGAGTTAATAGAAAGACTTCGAAACACAAGTCCGCTAAGCGTTAGTGAGCTAACTTCCGCGCCAAGACCGCGCTACTAGGTAGCTACGTATCTTTTCACTTAGCTCTATAAGAACAACAAGAAGACTTAAGAAAGTAATATTATTTTAGATTTATCTTTTAGGAAGTTAAGAGCTATTATAGTATATAATACTCTATAATAACTTTAAAATCTTACTCTTAGATCTAGAATATAGACTAAGTACTATCTAAGTATATTCTAGAGTATAGTTCTATTTCTTGAGTATAGGGTTTTTTCTCTTAATGTTATTTATCTATATTGTACCAATAATACCTTAGCTTTTAAATCTACAAGATAACAGCAAGATTAAAGATCTAGTTCGATAAAAGCTAGGAGTTTTAAGGAGAAAACCTACATGCATAATTACTAAGTCACGTGTTTGATTCAGATTGTTTCAACACGACAATTTGCTTGGCGGGATGGTGAAGTCCGGGCCAACGAGCGTAGTTTGACACAACAGCTCACCATACTCGAGATACATGGCGTGTTGGAGAAGACGCGATTTGTTCCTAGAATTACCAATTATTACCTGTGACTGGCCTCAATATGTCATTCCCTCTGGCATCTGCCTTGCTCCATCGTCTGCCTTGCTCCGTCGTCCTACTCCTTCTCCATGCGAACCCACCATCCTACCTGTGTGCTGAGCGCTGCCAGAACGCACGTATGGCTTCCCACGGGGAAGAGCCGCTGCTTGAGACCATTCATGTCCCTCTACGCCACATCCTCCACGCCATACTGAAGGACCCGGATTGGCAAGTCTCCCACGAGAGCCCTGCTTTTGATATTGTGAGACACCTTGGGTTCTTCATAATGCATGTGGTCTGGTCCAGGGAGGGGACATGCGCTACGTGGTGTGTTCCTGGGCAACATGCAGTTGCCTCATGTTGCAGGTGCTCGGCGCTCTTGTTTCGGCTTGTCGCTGACGCTAATCTTGACGTCAATGGACTTTCACGTGAAAAGGCTCCAGGATCCATGCGGCTGCATGTGACACTTGCATTGCCGTTCCGTTTCTGAATCCGTTCGAACCTCCATCACGCCTGCATAGCCTCCCCATCCATCCCATTCGCCTCTGCACCCTCCGCTCCAGGGAGATGCGCACTGCTCTGGCACCCGGGGCAGTTGTGCACCGCCTCGTGGCAAAACACATCGCAGTCAATGCAAAAGTGGTTCTCGCACGTCTCACACTCATACCTGCTCGACTCGCTGGCACCCTCTGCCCTTCTCGTCCGCCCGCCTGGTGCGCCTCCAGTACTCTCACGGTCTGCCGGCGGGACAGATGGGAAAGCGGCCAAGCAGCCAAAACATTGCGTGCTCCTTTTCTGCCTTGCGCGGGTCCAGGGCACTTCGACCCAGTTACGCAGTGGGAACAGGTGGTGGTATGACCGCGCCAGATGAGTGGAAAGAATGAGCGTGAGATCGCATGTCGGACATGTCGCGGGTAGGTTGCAGACTTTGGCCTTGCATCGACTGCACAGATAGCCTCCTCGGGTGAGATTGCCATGGCAGGCACAGAGTGTAGCCGCTTTCTCCACAATCCGAGATGGAAAACCCATCATCAGTAGAGCTGCTTGATTCCGCTTCTGCGCCTCGGTATCAGTAGCGCGGACTACCGGCGGCGTCGTGATGGACATCAGGATCTCCTGGAAGTCAACCTCGTCTACCGCGACATTGTAAGAGTTGTCGTCGCCAGAGTTGGTCTTGCGGCAGATTTCGGCGCAGATGTGCATCTGTGCTGCCAGACCGATGATGCTGACCCGGATGCGGTCTTTGATGCAGGACTTAATCGTGTCGTGGATGTCGCCAGGGTCGCTGCTGAGGAGTGCGCCGAGCACAATGACCACTTCCCGGGTGCCGTGAGAAGGCGTGTGGTACAAGGACCCTCGCGCCATCTCTAATGCGTTCTGAAGCGATGGGTTGCCCTTTGGATCCTGTCCGCGAAGAGTCTTCACGGCGTTGATGTGGTCGTTCGGATTGCCGCTCATGTCGCTTACCCTGACCGCCACGCCATCCCTCATCCCTAGAATGCCCAGCTGAGAGATCGGGTTCTGTTCAAAGAACTCGCGGATGAACATGATGGTGTAGTTGATGGTGAGCAGATAGCGAGTTGGTCGGAGGTCCTTCTCGGTCATGGCGATGGATAGATCTAGGATAAGCAGTGTGTGGCGAATGATGCCTCGCTGGAGAGGTGTGGTATCTTTGAGAAGCCTGTCTCACAGCTCAGCATACATCAAAACGTGGACAAGACCTCTTCGCATACCTCTTCCTCTTCCCCGCCTCCTCCAGTCCTCCCAGAAGCCCCTCGATACTGCCATCCGCCCCCTCCTGCAGCTCCCAGTTGCTAGATGCCGCTGCCTCCCACTTCGCCTGCGCTCGCCCCTTCGGTCTTGATGCCAGACTCTTGTCCTTCGCTTTTCCAGAAGGGCCAGCACCGTTCATGCCCAGGGCAATATCATCATCCGAGCCGGGGTACTCGCCATCTGAGTCAGCCATGGCTGTTGTGAGATCACAAGTGTTCGCGCGATGTCAAGGAGAGGACCAGGCGGTCTTTTTGTTGAACCCGATTTGGATGTCAGCGCGTTATCGAGCCGACTGCTGCTGGAGTTTCTAAGTGGTGGCGAAGTTGCAAGAATGTGTCCTATTCTCAGCTCCTGTGCCTGTGAAGCTTACGGACGGCTTGCACGAGATTTATTGGAGTGAAGCCTGTGGGGATGTCGAGAGGCTGCTCGCCTCTCGTTGGTGAACATCATAACATTATTGTTGCTGAAGAAGTGTAGAGAAGAAACGAAGTGTGGTTAGAGATATGCGGGACGGCACGTGACTCAAAACTCTCGAAGCGGATCCAGGCCAGATCCAGGGTCTTTGTTCACCACAACGGCCGACTTCCACCCACCGCTTACAGGCAACCAGCATAAAACCAAACCTCTCCTCCACGACTACGAGAGCGCGCAGACTCAATCAACTACAAGAGCCTCTCCAGTGCGCCATACCGAGCGGCGAACCGCCAAGATGGCCAACGACGAATACGACGTACGATAGTCCCACAAACGGCGATGTACCCTACTAACACCCTCTGCAGTTCCTCTTCAAGGTCGTCCTGATAGGCGACAGCGGCGTCGGCAAGTCCAACCTGCTCTCGCGATTCACCCGCAACGAATTCAACCTCGACAGCAAGTCCACCATCGGCGTCGAATTCGCGACCCGCAGCATCCAGGTCGACAGCAAGACGATCAAGGCGCAGATCTGGGATACCGCAGGACAAGAGCGCTACCGCGCCATCACCTCCGCATACTACCGTGGTGCGGTCGGTGCGCTGCTGGTCTACGACATCTCGAAGCATCAGACGTATGAGAATGTGACGCGGTGGCTGAAGGAGCTGCGGGATCATGCGGACACGAATATTGTGATTATGCTGGTGGGCAACAAGAGCGATTTGAGGCATCTGCGGGCGGTGCCGACGGAGGAGGCCAAGGAGTTTTCTAGTCAGAATGGGCTGAGCTTCATTGAGACGTCGGCGCTTGATGCGAGCAATGTGGAGTTGGCGTTCCAGAATGAATTGACGGGTGAGTATATTCTTCGTGGTGTCTTTGCGGTGCTTTGAAGCTGCAGAGGAAATGCCGAGCAGTATGACAACTGGCCACAGTGCTGACAGGACTACAGAAATCTACCGAATCGTATCCTCAAAAGCGCTCGACCAAGGCGAAGCCACCAACGCCCCAGCACCCGGCCAATCAGTGCCTCTCGGGCCTTCCAACCCACCAGGCGATGCGAAGAAGGGCCAGTGCTGTTAAGAGTTGGCAGGATTGGGTGAATGGCGATGATGACTATTTCTCCATGAGCGACGCGAATGCACACTAGTCCCTTGCGCGTGCACACGGCTGGTCTGACGTTGAAGTAATGCATGGGACGGGGTACGATGGTTCTACTGTGGCCGATGCTGGGCGTTTGCGGAGTCTGGCCGCGGTGGCCTGTTAGTTGAGTGTGTGGGCTCGCAGGTAGATGCAATGACCAACATGACTTTGATTGAAACCTCTCTGTTGTGCACGAGACCAGAGTGCTCTCAATGTCGCGGCGCTACTCCTTGAGATCCACGTTCGCCAGCTTGTACCTTCTGCTCAATGGTTTGTTAAAGTAGTTTTCTTGTGCCTCTTTACCTGTAGCACTATGATATGTCGATCGTCATATCTCATCAGTCTCATAAGGTCATCTCTGCATGCCTTTAGCTCACCAATGTAGAAGCCAAGCCATGATCCTCATGCCCTGTAGCAGGATATGCAAGTTGTCGCAGCTCAGTCGATCCAATGCAGCTCCTCATTCAGGCAGATATTACCGTTCCTGCCTCTAGTCCCTCTCCAGGCATTCGAGAGCTCCCTCAAGTCCCATTCATCGCAGCCCTTGCCAGCAAAGGTTGGACGAAAGTGCTCGCCTCAATCTCCATATGCAAGCTTCAGATCCTTCAGGTCTTTCTGGATAGCGGCGAACTTGACGTTACCGTCAATCAGGAACTCCTCAAGCGCGTCGCGGATCGGAATCTCTGGCTCCTCGAGCTTCTTGATAGTGATCGCGGACCGAAACTGCTGCTCAATCGTTCTGAGGACCTTCTGCAGCTTGGTTCGCAGGTCGCTCGTCTGCTCTTCAGCAGCGTCCGCGATCTCGTTCTTGAGCTTGGTGGCAAGGACGGCGAACGGTGAGCGCTGGCCCGTTAGGCTGAGATGAGTTTTGAAAGCGCCGAAGAAGCGGTGTTTAACACCCGTTCCTGAACTTGGTCAGTGCGAAACGCCAGAAACAGGGGGGTCGGTAGACGTGCCTTCATCCTCGACGCAAAGATCGTAGCATTCCCTCATTGCTTCGAAGAAGTGACCATCCTCACGGTCGTGTGTAGCATGGGTAACAATGAGCCTATCGAAATTTCAAAAATTAGCATATCTGTGGTGGAACGGCAGGGTTTCAAGGCCATACTTCCACCGTGCCTCCATCTCTTCTTGCGAGTCTCTGAAGATGTTCCTAATGCCACGCACATTAGCGGCGATGGCGTCTCTGAAGGTCCTCATCGGAAGGCCCACGGTTCCTGGCTTGCTGCGAAGGGTTTCAAGAACACCCTCCACCTTTGTTATCAAGTCTTCTTGCATCTCGTTGACGAGAGACGCCTGCTCCTCCTGGAAATCCTCCACGAGTTCTGCAATCGTCTCACAAGCTGCAGCAGAGAACTGCTGGTTCCAAGACTGATATGGCATAGCTGAAGTCTTGTGGGTGCCGTAGTTGCGGAGGAAGGCCTTCAACGTACCCCATGCGGCCGGTTTTAGTTTCTCCAGCACAGCTAGTGCGCCGGAGACGTACTCATCTTGACTCTCATTGAATGTGTCGACAATGTCAGTCTGGGCTGTATCAACAACGGTATCTTTGTATTTTCTCAGCAAGATGTCGACGGTCGCTTGAGGTTCTTGCACGACGGCGATGAGTTCTTGTCTACTTTCCACCCACTGTGGTTGATTCACCCAGATGTTCAGCCCCTGGAAGAAGACATCGAATTCATGATTGACGAAATCGTCGAGGGTTCGCATGGCATTTGGTGCTGCCATCCGCAAGGCCGCTTCTCGAAGGCGCGGAATGCCGGTGGCTTTCGGCTCCAGGAGAGCGCCAGTAACTTCTGCATCGCCTTTGTGTGCAGCATAGTGGAGATTCGAGACGCAATGAACATCGAGAGTCATGCCTTCATGTAGATGATGCTGCTTCTCTTTACGAAGACCATCCACAATATGCTGATTGCGCGCCTGCACCGTCAAGCTTAAGCATCGCGATTCCAGACTGGTCCAGGTGTCCGTAGCTGTATCGATTTGCAGTTGCAATTGCATTTTCTCAGCCGGCGTCTTCCGTCCTCGCCCTTTGGCTTTTACCAGCGCATCAAGGCCTTTTTTCACGTCGTCACTGGCGGCCTTCAAGCTCTCGTAGTCTTCCAGGGAGTACCCACGCCTGCTGAGCTCCGTTGCGACGTTGCGGTTCACGTTTTCGTCCGACTTTGTGACCACAACAGCGAGAGACCCTCTGTGCAGTTTGCCGTACCGTTGAAGAAGACCATCAAGGACGGTATCGGTAATGATGCGCCCTGCGCGGCTCAGGATCCAAATATAATCGCAATGATCGATCTGCTCGTAAGTTGCTCTCACACGGACTTGGTTCGTGTCTGATATTCCAGGCAAATCACAAACGGAGAATCGATCTGTGAAGCGAGATCCACGTATCCCGACTGAAACTTGCTTTACCAGCGGCCAAAGGGTTTTTTGGGTGACGTTGGATCCCGCAGAGATGAGAGGGTCGACCAGCTCGCGCAGCGCATCTTGGGTGTCTGTCTCGAAGTATTCAGCTACTTGTCATCCAGTTGTTTCTTGTCTCCAAGCTGCTTTGCGGCAAAGTTGACGTATACTTGCAACTCCTCCTGACGGTCGAGCCCGCTTTTGACAAGTGTATGAAGACTGTCAGTGGCTACATCCTCCGTCGCAAAGTGCTCACTTGTGCAGAAGATTGCACGGAAGATGCTGAGGCACGTCTTGGCTCGTAGCTGGTGCTGGTCGCGCTGCGCAGGATCCCACTCCGAATCGCGGTGGAAGTGCCAGATTTCCCAATCGTCGAGGGCGTTCGATAGCAACTTGGAAATAATGTCGAGTGGAAAATACTCCACTGTTGCTGAGAACTTCTTGACCTGTGTCGGTGCTGCTTTATGGTAAAGCATAGCAACGTAGGTGCAACTCTCGCCGAGGTCGATCTGTTCATAGTCAGTTGTAGGTAGCAGTACGTTTCTGCTTGGTACGTACAGCCTTGGCTAGGTTCGGAATGTCCACGATGGAATTGATGAGCGAGCTTTTGCCTGCTGTTGGTTAGGCGCTGTCCTCACTCAATCTTTCGTGGCTACTGGCCTTGGCCCGTGTCGGCTAGAAGTCCGATGACTGGGCGCTTCGCATCTGGGATCCTTGAGAGCGTCGTCGCCGCATCCCGCATTTCTGCCACAAATTCGGTATGGCACACTGATTGCCGCAGCACGCAGCCGACCTCTCGGGAAAAGCTCTCCATCCTTGCATGGATCTCTGCAGAGCGCTGGTCGTACGCTGCGCAATGGGGAAATGGCTCTTTGGTCTCGTTGTATGTATTGTCCGCATCGTCCACTTCAACACCTTCGTCAGCAACACCTTCGCTCAAGAACAGCGGGGATTCCTCGTCTTCGTCCTTGATGTCATCATCCCTCTTGCGCTTGCCTGAGTTCTCTGGACTAGACTGTTCCAAAGCCATTCTGACTCTAGGATGCTAGAGTTGTGCTTTGTGCTTGTAAGATTGTATTGTGTTTGTATCGAGAAAGCAGTATGTGGTGGGTTGTGCATGAAGAAGGTTTTTGAGGTGGAGGGAGTGGTGAGGATGAAAGTAATAGGTTCGGAGGAGAGGGAGGAAAGGATAATATAGCAGAGACGATACCGGGCTGCCCACGTGGTCTGACTCACGGCCGGCCCATGTGATGGGCCTAGATCTACGAGCAGTGAAGTTCAGGCTCGTTATGAAGCATGTGCGTCGCTGTAGTGAGTGGTGAAGTCCCGTCTGAGTGAAGGGGTGGGTGGGAGTCGGACAAGCACTTTCCGCATGTCAGCGACATTACCGCCAAAGCATCGCCTTCCAAGTCTCGAGAAGTAGAAGGCCATCATCCTCCACGATGTTCTTATGCCGGGTCATTATATTGGAGCAGAGAACGAACGAGCGCAGGAAGTCTACCTGAGGTCGAGAAGACCAGCGGCGAAGGCTCGGTGCGGGCCATCCCGCTACGGACGGATTGGAAGTTGCATGTCACATGTTTTGCCTTCCCTGATGATGCTGCTACTGCTAAGACTCCAGCTGGCCCAGCATCAAGCCATATGTCCTCAACTATGGGCCGTGACCCCCAAACTGCCCGACCGGACCGTGCAGCTCGACCCGTAAGCTGCTCAGCCTCCCAAAACTCCGCAGACGCCCATCATATGCACTCCCAAAGCAACGCTTTCCCCATCCCATCCTCTTGAAATCAAGCAACATACTTCTCCTTCACCCTCTCCAGATCCGCCAACGCCTTCTCGAATTTCGGCTTGGCCTCGTTGACATACTCCTTGAGAACCTTCTTCATCGGCTGCTCGCCTGCATTGGCTACTTCTGAGTCCACCATGCCATCGAAATGGTTGTAAATGTCCTCGAAGATGGCATCGAGAGTGTCTTGGAGCCCATTTGCCTGGGTTTGCGCGTTGTCGATAATGGATGCAGTTGCCATGCTTGCGGCTTGCGCGAATGGTGACTCTGGAGGCTTCTTATTGAGATGCTTCGTTAGCAAGTCGCTGCATCGTGCGGTTGTGCCGGGGCCTGGACACTGTTAGTAATGGACTGGTAAGGAAGCAGGTCGAGGGGACAGTAACGTGCCGCTATCAGCTCTGCAGTCCGCATATGCTGGCTCCATAGCTTGGTAGAAGAAGCCGGTGTGACGGTCTTGAGTGCAGTCGAGCTTGAGGTTGCTGTCGTTGTTGTTAGTGGCGTTCTCCACGTTCAGCGAAGATACAAACCTCATCTCATGAGCATATTTGATGTTGTGATCACGGAAAGCATTGGCAATACCGGTCTCTTCTCCTTTGAGCATTTGAGCGAAGTTGTCCATGTCAAGAACCTTGGTAGGCTTTCGCTCCTGTAGGGCGTCCAGCATGTCCCAGACTTGCTCGATCAGCTCTTTCTGCATCTTCTGCGTGCTCTCTGCCTGCCATTTGTTGATTTTGTTCCAGCGGGGCTTCATCGACCTGGTGGCGGTGTCGAGGAATTGCTCGTTCCAGCTCTCCTGGGGACAACTCGAGGTTTTGTACTTGCCGGACTTCCTCATGAACGCTTTGATGGTGGCGCCATGCTTCTCACGGCGCTTCTTCTCGAAAATCGCCACTGCTTGTTCCGCATGCTTGGATGCCAGGCGCGCACCCTGATTGTGGATCTGGCCTTGGACAAGATCTTGAAAATCGTCCAGATAGATCTTGATCTTTGCATTGACCGTTGCGTGGGGCTCTCCGACTATCTCCAGAAGCTCGTCCTTTCCTTCGACGTGGCGGCTGATGACCCAGAGTTCGATTGACTTTAGAAACACGGTCAGATGATGCTTGGCGTAGTCTTCGAGCGCCTGCAGCTCCCCAGGTGCAGCAAGCGACAGCACGTAGCTGCGGAGACCTGGTATTCCTGTTTCGTTTGGCTTTAGCTGGTCGACACCGCCTTCTCCTTCCTTCAAGTTCGCATAATGCTTGTTGGAAACGCAGAAGACCAAGAGTTCCGGCTTGTGTTCGAGGCGTCCGGCGAGCTCTCGCTTGAGACCTCCAATGACATGCTCGCTGCGGGCAGAAACCAACGTAGCGAAGGAACTCTGCTGTAGCGTGTTTCTCTTGAGTTCAAGTCTGCTCAACTCTGCTTTCAACGGCTTCACCTTCCGAGTGCGTTCTTTGGACGCTTGAGCAGACATGCGGCTTCGAATCTTGCCTTTGAGCTGAGAGATCTCGCCACCGGTGGATTTGACTTGTTGTCGGAGCTTGTTGTAAGCCTTCATGTCGACCTTGGCTTCTTCCAAGCCTCTGACCAGATCTCTGTCTGCGTTGGCGTCGGTCTGGGTGCAGATGATGCCGATCCTGCCGCGGAAGCGCTCTTCATACCTTGCGTACATGGCACTGACTGTTGTGTCCTCGATCGCACGGGTTATCTTGGCCACGAGCCAGAGGCCGTCACAGGTACGCAGGTGATCGTGTGTCGCGTTGACTTTGACTTGGTTGGTGTCCGTGATTCCGGGGAGGTCCGCAATTGTTAGAAATTTTAAGACCCTGCTTTCCTTGACGCCGATAGTGACCTGCTTGACGAGTGGCCACAAAGCCGGGGTCTTGTCCTGCGCCACTGGCGACAACAGAGGCCCGATCGTCCGGTGGTACTCCTTGTCGTCCGCTGCTTCACAATAGTCCATGCTTGGCTCTCCTTCCTCAGGCTTTGCCGTGAGCAATTCTTGAGCCCAGCCGTACATTCGGATGATCAAATCATCGGGAGATGCTTTGTGGGCATCGAGAAACTTTTCTGCGGCTTCCTCACTCTTGAAGCTGCTCTCACGGCAGAAGAGCGCAACGAATGTCTTCACAGCCGTGACAGCTTTTAGCTGCATCTCGAAGCGCTCGTCATCCGTCCAGCTGGAATCAAACTCATACCAGTAGCCGAAGTAGGAGATGACGTGCTCAGAAAGAAGCTCCCGGACCGCATCGAGATCGTAGTACTGCACTTTCGCGGCATACTTCTTCTTCTGGTGCGGGAATGCTGCACCGTATTCGGTTGCGACGCAGGTGCACGTATTTCCTGTCGCTCCCTGCGCAATGTTAGTGATTTTCAATGTTCCCAGCCTCAGCAAAACGTACCGATCTCGCCAGACCAGGAATGTCGACTAGCGCGTTGAGCAGTGAGCTCTGCAGAAACAGTCAGTCTGAGTTCACCACAGAATGAAAAAGTCCTCCGTACCTTGCCTTCGCCAGCACCGCCGAGAAACGCAATCTTCAGCGGCGGCGGCTTGGGAATGCTCTCCAGCGCTGCTGCTCGGCGCTTGAAAGACTCCATGCGATCGCTGTCGCATTGGCCAGCGCTTCGAAAGATGGCGAGAACTTCCTTCACCGTGGATGTGAGCGCGTTCTTGATGTCTGCGAGCTCGGGGTCGAACGCTGCATGTTTCGGAAACTGCTCCATGCTCCCATCGTAAGGCAGCCCATCGTCGCCATCGCCCTCCATCAACTCATCGTCGCCGTCTGCTACCTCGGAGCCGTCCTTCTCGTCGTCGTCGTCCTCAATCTTGATCTCCTTGCCGTCCTCAATCTTGATTTTCTTGTCGTGCTCGACGTCTATGTACTCGTCGTCGTCATCATCGTCCACCTTCTTTCTCTTATGGGGGATGAATAAGCTATCCATGGCTTTGGAAATCAATGTCGTGGTTGAGTAAAGAGGCGAAAGACAGAATTGGGTGAATGGAGGATGGAAAGAAATGTGTTATGAGTAGTCGAGTTGGGATGTGGGAAGAGAGGGGCTTGAAGGATTGGGAAAGGAGATATACGACTGTCCAGAGGCGGTGTCAAGTGAAGAGTAGCCAAAAGATGGCACGTCATAGCAATTGAAGGAGAGGGTGCCCTCAGTGACGGCCGAGTGAACGAGATCTAGTGAAGCAGTAGCAGTATAGCTTACCGTGGGCATGTGGTTCTCTCACTGTGCGAGTGAAGCGACCGCCATCGATATGATACCACCGAAGCTTTCGCCATGAATGTAGTATCAAGCATTTCGATGGCCGCTCGAGGTCACGATACGTTAAAAGTGAATGACATAGGAGCAGAAGGAGGAGACGTTGATGGAGTGAATCTGGAAATTGAACATGAAGTCTGGTCTGATCAGAATGTTTAGTCATCCCCCAACGTCACCTCTGTACAACAACACCAATTCTCCAACACTGCAGGCGACCTACAACGATGCAATAACGGAACCGCGGTCGACAATCCTCTCACCCAAGACCGCCGTCATGTTCTGCCTGCGAAACTTCGTCTCGCTCCTCTTCTTCCTGTACGCCCTCCATCTCAGCTAGATCACACGAGCAAGGCTAACAACACCTCCAGCACGAACGCCTCGCCCATCTACATCACCCTCTTCCTCTTCGGGCAAATATTCCTCGCGAGGCCCTGCGTGTACTGTAGCGTCCTATTACTCGTCCTGGTCGCCACCCTCTTCGACTTCAACGCCGACTGGTTCGAGCCTCGATGGCAGCCTTCCACCCACAGCATCACCGAGACGGCTAGCTCGCTCTTCTCCGGCGACGCTACGGTGACGGAACTCTTAAGTGAGACGGCGAGCTTTGCCGTCGCAGCGATCAACGGTACGGGCGGAAGTCTAGCGAGCGCGGCGCTGGATGGGCTGAAGAGACGGGGTGGTGGCGGGAATATGGGTCCGGGTTCGACGGCTGCGCAGGCGGGGAGTGGTGGGGTTGAGTGGCTGAGGAGTCTGGCGGAGAAGAAGCAGTTTCGTATACCTTGTGTGGATGTCTATGTGCGGTTATGAGGGAGCGTGGGTCATAGCATTTGCGGGCGTGGTATGGGTTTACGTGGGTTATTGTCAGGAAGTCACGGGGCAGCATGTCTCGTCGGGAGACCTACGGTATCAACAGCGTTTGGGGTCGCGGAAGATCTGAGACTAGGCACGATCTACGAGACGTGAACCACGATTTTGTACGAACTGTGCAGATGATGAGGAGCTGTACAATCTGTACTATGAATGTCCAGGGACATCTGCCTCATGACCTGTCGAAAATCTCCTGTGCACTCTGATTATTGACCACCGATGCCGGGCTGGAAGATATGGCTGTCGCTGAAGCGGACTTGTCTGCGGCCTTCCCTCCTCGCCGCAGACACTGGTCTGCATTCACCACCCTTCCTGGCCAAGATGTAGAAGCGCTGCCAGATCCATTCAGGAACACGAAAGGAGCGTGAGAGGACCTTCCGCAATTTGCTGTCAGGCCTTACTTCGCCGCGGGGGGTGAAAATATCGCTATGTTTCGCTGTCAGCCAGGGTATGTTAGGCCATCCTTTGGACGTCTGGTGTTCGGCAGGCGGCTCGCAGACGTCGCTGATCAGCTGAGGGATCTGAATTGCCCCAAACTTGGGCGGGTTCCTCTTAGCTTGGGCATAACGATCCTTCTCCTCCTTCGTCCACGGCTTCTTTAAGGGTCTTATCATGTAAATCTGATCGTGGTAGAAGCGCAGTCGAACTCTTTGAGTAGCTGATGTGGAGGGGATGGGTTCATAGTCCGAGTGGAATAGGTAGTTGGGGCCCGCTGGGCTCACATCAATGTCCTTGGTCTTTACAAGCTCTTCATCTCCGTCGTCTTCCTGAGAGGCAATGGATGCCGGGTGTCGACTGCTGGCCGCTGGTTCCGAGCCCGCTGAATCTGTCGACGGCGAGCGACGGCTTGGCTGATCTGCTGCTCTTGCGTCTGCCTTTTTTTTGTTTTTTGCGACGGGCGCGTTGGTCGTCATTCCTCTTCGCAGCCCTAGCTGCCTCCGTGTCATGCACCCTGGGTCGGCCAAGAGGTTTCTTCCGCTTCAGCGGCGTGGCGACATCGACTCCACCATCTTCCCCATCCTAAATCATTCATCACTAGTGCGTGAGCCATCGCTAGGTGAGCATGTCAAGAGAATGTGTGAAGTCGAAGAGTAGCGAAAGGTTAATGGAAGTTGAAGAATGAAGTCACAGCACGTGAAGCCTTAGCAGTTGTCACATGCTTCAGTGAAGAGAAAAAAGTGCGAAGGTAGAAGCTGGGTTGCCAACTGTAAGACTTACGGCTGCAACATGCACCAGTGCAGTAGAAGAGGCACAGACGGTGAACCAAATCCAGGGCATAGCAGCTGCCAGGGTCAGAAAGGGGTTCAGCGGGACCAGTTAGTCACCGTAAGCCTTACGGTCGACAAATCAGTGGGCATGTTGTCACCGTAACGCTTGCGGCTGACAACTTGACATGCAAGGCCCCAATACGCCCAGGAAGCGCATTCTATAGCCCGGTCTTGAAACCACGAGCGCTGAGCCTCTGCATGCTATGCGATGTCCCCAAAGTTGTCACCGTAGAGCTTACGGCCGACTAAACCGGCCTTAGACGAATCTGGTCGCTCTCCTCTGCGTGAGACCTCTTCGGCGGCGTGCGATGGTTTCCGTCATTCGCCTGCGTCGTTGTCATCCTCCTATTTGTCCGACCGCCTGATCCCCCCTAGCTCGCTGTCTCTTACAGCTTGCTGCCTCCCTCCTTCGCGTCCGGTCGCTTGCTGCGGATGGATCTGTCCCAGCTCACTATCTCTCTCCAGCCTATTCTCACCTTCCTATTCGTCCCACGGCTTGCCGCGCACCAATCTCCCCCTTTCTCTTCAATCTTCCGAAGTAGGCAGTCCGGATGCGCGGGTTCTGACAGTGCTAAAACAGGAAATGCTCCTCCCACTTGTTATCGTATTCGACTTGCTTGCTTCGAGCCTCGTGTTCCGTCAGACCGCAGTCCTCAAAGGCAGCCTTGCAAGGTAGTCGTCCCAGCGTTATGCCGACAAACCATTGGGCATGTTGTCACCGTAATGCTTACGGCTGACAACTTAACGTGCGCCCGGTCATGGCGTGTAGGAAGCTCTTCTTGTGGCTGGTTCATGAAGCCGTAAGCGCCATACCTTCGCATACTGTGTACCGTCGACAAGTTGTCGCCGTAACGCTTGCGGACGACTAAATCTCCTTGTGCAAGTTGCTCGATCGTTGCGATCGGCCTATCGCGTTCCTAATGAGCTGTGTGATGGATCTTCTCACAGACAGTAAGAACATACCGACGGGAGCGATGTAGCATTCTCGGGTGGGAGTGCGTTTGGGAGAAGACTGGCAGATATGCTGCCCGTGCCAAAGCGCCGCGCTTGGCCTGTCTCTGCCTCCGCTGCTATGCGACGGCCTTGACCAGCCAGCAGCTTCTCCGAGCAAGTGATAGGAGGTAGCAAAGCCGCCGATTGTGAACGCCCGACAGTGTTCTCCCAGACCCAAATGCATCGGAAAAGGCCACATGATCCTCGTTGGCGAGCTTTTATCCTCGGTGAAAAGATTCGTTGGGGCCACATTCACTGCAAATCGCTTACTCTTCTCCTCAATTTCGGACACTGCTTCTTCGTTCCCAGGCAGCGGCGCAATCATTCTTCTCCTACATCCTCTGGCCATATCCGGCTGTGAATCATGATCAAGCTTGTTCGCGTGTCCAGCCGCTAAGTCCAATGGATGCTATGGTGAAGAATCTCTCGTGGTTGTGGTTTCATCTCAACCTGTCCTTCGTCTTGACCCCTTCCCAGTCCCAGAGTCAGCCATGGGACATATGCAAGTGGCCATCGACTAGGAAGGCCAAATCTAGCAAGAAGAAGAATGGCGAAAAGCCTCCTGGAGGCAGTTGCGGCAGTTCCCAGACAAGTTGGCGCGCCCGTGAAGAAAAGCTTTGGCCGCGTGGTGTCAGCTGCAAGGGAACATTCACATGTGAATGAACATCCCCAGCATGTGATTCTTCATCCATCTACTTATCCCGCGGTTTGCTTGAAATCGCATCACCACACTCGAATGGTTCTCCAGCCATTGATAAGACGTGTATGCTTGACCCCCTTGCATGGGGCGCGGGGCAGTAGCACGAGTGGTGGGGCATTCGGCGTGCAATTGTTGTCGTCCTCGTCAAGCTCCTGCCTCTTTGGAGCAAGAGCATTTCTGTCCACATGCAACAGGCCGCTACAGACCGCGCGCGTGTCTTATGATTCCCACCACAGAACAAAGCTGGTATTTCCTAGACTTCTCCAACATTCCTACACTCGACATTGCTCGAGTCACGCTTCGAGCACTCTAGTCAAGATGGCCTCGGATCGGGATGTGCTGCCAGACAAGTATGCATTATACAACACCACCTGTACCTGATATGCTAACGACAACCCAGCGTCAAGCCGACCAACTACAATATCTCCCTCTTCGACCTCCAGACCTCCGCACCATGGACCTACCAAGGCAAGGTCGATCTCGACCTCCAAATCAACAAGCCCACCACGAGCGTGATCCTCAACACCCACCAGCTCAAACTCCACTCGGCCTCAATTACGGTAGAAAGCGGCAAGCATGGCTCCGCAATCAAGAGCAGCGACATCTCCTACGACACCAAGAACCAACGCTGCACCATCTCGTTCGACCAAGAGCTGCCCCAGGCGAAGAAGGCCGTGCTGTCAATCGAGTTTGAGGGGACGATGAACAACCACATGGCAGGCTTCTACCGGTCAAAGTACAAGCCCGCTGTTGAGCCTGCGAAGGGCGTGGCCAAAGATGAAGACGGCCACTACATGTTCTCCACCCAATTCGAGAGCTCAGACGCCCGTCGCGCCTTCCCCTGCTTTGACGAGCCCAACCTCAAAGCCACGTTCGACTTCAGCATAGAGATTCCAGACGACCTTTGTGCGCTGAGCAACATGCCGGAGAAGGAGACTCGCAAGAGCAAAGACGGTCATAAGATCGTTTCTTTTGAAAAGTCGCCGGTCATGTCGACGTACCTGCTGGCCTGGGGCTTTGGCGACTTCGAGTATGTTGAGGACTTCACGAGGCGCAAGTATAATGGCAAGGCTCTGCCGGTGCGAGTGTACACGACACGAGGGTTGAAGCAGCAGGGGATGCTGGCTCTTGAAAGTGCACATCAGATCGTTGATTACTTCTCAGAGGTCAGTATCTTAAACATCCCGAGTATATTGGCAGCTACTAACGGCCGAGCAGATCTTCGGGATAGACTACCCGCTGCCCAAGGTCGACTTGCTGGCTGTTCATGAATTTGTAAGTGTCGGGTGATCTCTTTTCGTCCTGTGCGTGTTTTGCTTTCGCTGACGGGCTTCGTCGACAGCCCATCATAAGTCTCCCTCTCTTTCCCGCTTCTTGCGAGTTTGCAGAAAGACTGACTGGCTTTGCCGACAGCTGATATGCTTCCCTGATTTTCACAATGAGCGGAGCAAGTTGTTAACGACAATGACCCAAGCTGACAGACGCTTTCTAGTCACACGGCGCCATGGAGAACTGGGGTCTCATCACCTACCGTACCACCGCTGTCCTCTTCGACGAGTATGCTTCCGATCAGAAGTACCGCAATCGCGTGGTATATGTTGTCGCACACGAGCTTGCCCACCAGTGGTTCGGTAAGGCATTTATGGACGATTTCGTACTATGTTGAAGATGATTGCTAACCGGTGTCTTTCGTATACAGGCAACCTCGTCACGATGGACTGGTGGAATGAACTCTGGCTCAACGAGGGCTTCGCAACTTGGGTCGGCTGGTACGCTGTCGATCACCTTCATCCGGACTGGAACGTTTGGGGACAATTCGTTACAGAAAGCATGCAGATGGCCTTCCAGCTCGACTCGCTACGAACAAGCCATCCAATCGAAGTGCCTGTACGGAATGCACTCGAGGTGGACCAGATCTTTGACCACATCTCGTATCTGAAAGGCAGCTCCGTCATCCGCATGCTGGCGAGTCATTTGGGTGTTGAGACGTTCTTAAAGGGTGTGTCGGACTACCTGAAGGCGCATACGTACGGCAATGCGAAGACGAACGATCTTTGGGCGGCCCTGAGCAAGGCCTCTGGCATGGATGTGACGACTTTCATGGACCCATGGATCCAGAAGATCGGCTTCCCTGTTGTTACCGTGGCTGAAGAACCTGGCCAGATCAGCGTCAAGCAGTCCCGTTTCTTGACTTCTGGTGAAGTGAAGCCTGATGAGGACCAGACGGTGTGGTGGATTCCGATGGGTCTGAAGACTGGCGCACAAGCAACTGATGCGAAGCGCGAGGCTCTTACCGAGAAGGAAGATACCTACCGAGACATCGATACGAGCTTCTACAAACTCAACGCAGACCAGACAGGCTTCTACCGCACCAACATGCCGCCGCAGCGACTCGTGCAGCTCAGCAAATCGCTGGACAAGCTTTCCGTGACGGACAAGATTGGTCTGATCGGCGATGCTGGAGCCATGGCTACTGCTGGCGAAGGTACTACAACGGGTTTGCTCTCTTTCCTGGAAGCCTTTCCGGCTGAGGACAACTACTTGGTGTGGTCTGAAGTTCTGTCAAGTCTGGCCAAAGTCCGCTCGACGTTCTCCTCCGACGAGCAGGTGTCCGAAGGTCTTCGCAAGTATTCCTTGAAGCTCACCACAGATGCAGTTGAGAAGATTGGCTGGGACTTCCAAGCCAAGGACGACTACCTGACCGGCCAGCTGCGCGCATTGCTCCTCTCCTCAGCTGGTCTCGCCGGCCACGAGAAGACCGTCGCCGAAGCCCAGAAGCGCTTCAAATCGTTCATGGACGGCGACAAGAAGGCCATTCACCCTTCGCTCCGCGCAGCAGTCTTCAAGATCGCCATCAAAAACGGTGGCAAGGAAGCCTACCAAGCGGTACAAAACGAATACCTTACCACCACCTCGGTCGACGGCAAAGAGATCACCCTGCAATCTATGGGTCAGGTCCAAACGCCCGAGCTCGCACGCGACTATCTCGACTTCGGTTTCGCGAAGGTCGCTACACAAGACCTGCACTCCGTCGGCATGAGCTTATCCAACAACGCCAAAACCCGCCTCACAGTCTGGGAGTACACGAAGGCCAACTGGCCGATGATCCGCGAGCGCATGGGCGGCAACATGGTCGTGCTGGAGCGTTTCCTGCGCACGTGTCTGCAGAAGCATGCGAGTTTCGAGGTGGAGAAAGATATTGAGTCGTTCTTTAAGGATAAGGATAATGAGGGGTATGATCGGGGTTTGGCGGTGGTTAGTGATACGATTAAGGGGAATGCGCGGTATAGGGAGAGGGATTTGGAGGTTGTGCGGGAGTGGTTGGGGGCGAATGGGTATGTGAAATGAAGGTTAGAGGATTTAAGGGGAGGAGATGTGGTCAATGACTTCGGAAAGATCTATAACGTAGAGTGGTCATAGCTTTGGAAAGTCGAGCATCATCAATTACATCTTCCTTCAACAACATTCGACTTCCTCTCTCACAGCACTACCCCGGTATAGATCACTTCGCGAACATGAACGCTGTACGCCCACCGCTGCTCGAAGCGGCATTGAAGTCGTGTACCAAATCACCGCGTTCCGCAACATACAGAGCTTCCCTCCATCAGTCGAGACGGACCATCCAGAGACCGCAGCGAAGATGGGTATCGGATGGGTCGAAGCCGCCAACACCGCCTGGTACGGCGGAGAAGGTCACCGTCTTCGCGCCCAAGACTCGGATAGCGGTCGGCGTGGTCTTTGTAGGCACGCTCGCCTACTCAATGGTCCGCCCCAACTGCATCTCAGGCTCTCATACCTACAGCTAACGAGTATGTACAGATCACCGGCAATCGCGAAATCGCCGCCGCAGAACAAGACTCCGCCCAACAATACCCACCCCCACCGCCTCCCTCCGGCAGCGGCGGCCACCAGCTCGAAGCCCCCTCCATCGCCGAGCGCGACGCGCTAAGTAAACGCGAATCCGGCATCTCCCCCACCTCGCCCATGCGCTTACGGATGGAACAGTTCATCAAGCAGAAGCAGCAAGAAATCGTTAAATCGCTCGAGTCCGTCGACGGGTCGCGCTTCACTATCGACTCCTGGGATCGTCCGAGAGGAGGAGGTGGGATTACGTGTGTATTGCAGGATGGGCAGGTGTTCGAGAAGGCGGGCGTGAATACGAGTGTGGTGTATGGGACTCTACCGAGAGAGGCGATTAGTAAGATGAGGGTGAATCATAAGGCGTTGGATGCTGGGGTCGAGAGTCTGGAGTTCTTTGCCGCCGGGTTGAGTCTGGTGCTGCATCCGATTAACCCCATGGCGCCGACGGTGCATCTGAACTATCGGTACTTCGAGACGGCGAACCACGACGGGAGCACGAATGCGTGGTGGTTCGGGGGCGGGACGGATTTGACGCCGAGTTATCTGTTCGATGAGGATGTGATTGCGTTCCACCGCGGGATCAAAGAGGCGTGCGATAAGCATGACAAGAACTACTACCCGCGGTTTAAGAAATGGTGCGACGACTACTTCTACGTCAAACACCGCGGCGAGTGTCGCGGCGTCGGCGGGATCTTCTTCGACGACCTGGACGAAACGGAGAAGGATCAGGAGTCGCTGTTCGCATTCATCCAGTCCTGTCTGGGTGCTTTCCTGCCCAGCTACCTGCCGATCATCGAGAAGAGGAAGGAGATGCCGTTTTCCGAGCACGAGAAGCGCTGGCAGCAGTTGCGGAGGGGACGGTATGTGGAGTTTAACCTGGTGCATGATCGGGGCACGGCTTTTGGGCTGAACACGCCGGGCGCGAGGATCGAGAGTATTTTGATGAGCTTGCCTTTGACGGCGCGGTGGCAGTATCAGCATGAGCCGGAGAAGGGGAGTCGGGAGGAGAGGTTGGTGAATATTCTGAAGAAGCCTGTGGAGTGGGTGTGAGATCACTCTAAACAAGGTTGTAGCATCTATTGTACATTACTAGACGCTGTATACCACCAAGCGTTGCTCGACATTCACTTCATACCATACATATATCTTCCTTCAGCGCCAACTGCTCAAAACGGTCATTACAAGCGAATCCAACCGCCAAGCGGCTCCAGAGCGCGATCGATTCCGCCAACGCTTACGAGAAATCGCTGATAACGAGACGAGCCTCCTCCGCGCTACTAGACGGTCAGCTCTTCTTATCGAGATTGTTCGTCTGAGGTGGAGGCGGAGCGCAGTTCAACCTGTTAAACTTCAAGGGACCTCGTGGTTTCTAAGTTTGAAGCTCTTGCTTGTTGTTCCATCTTGACTTGCGTTCTCGAACTTCATCCGGGTTGCTGGGAGCCATTGGAACAGCGCTGTACAATACGGACTACTGTAGGATCACTGGACGAGGAACTATACCACTACCACAGACGACAACACACCACCACCGCAACCATGGACAAAGTGCGCCGCCTCTCCGCCACCGCGGCCGGCGGGCCCAAACGCAACAACTCCATCAACCACGCCGCCGACGCCGACCTAGCGAAAATGGGCTATGAGTCCAAACTCCCGCGCTCCCTCTCCATGCTGTCGATCCTCGGCCTCTCCTTCGCCATCATGGCCGTGCCCTACGGCTACTCCACCACCATGACCATCTCCCTGACCAACGGACAAGCTGTCACCTTACTCTGGGGCTGGGTGCTCGTCTCGCTCATCTCCCTATGCATCGCCGCTTCGCTCGCTGAGATCTGCGCCGTCTATCCAACGGCGGGCGGGGTGTACTACTGGAGCGCGCAGCTGTCGAGTCGCGAGTGGGCGCCCATTGTGAGCTGGATCGTGGGCTGGTTGAACCTCATCGGGAACTGGACCGTCACGCTGAGTATCAACTTCGGCGGCGCGCAGCTCATCCTTAGCGCTATTACGCTGTGGAGGGAGGACTATGTGCCGAATGCCTGGCAGACTGTTCTGATGTTCTGGGCGGTGATGCTTGTTTGTTTTCTGGTTAATGCTTTTTGCGCGCCGTATTTGGATTTTATCAATAAGTTGTGCATTTACTGGACGGCGGCGAGCGTGCTGATTATTTTCGTCACGCTGTTTGCTATGGCGGATAATTACCGCGATGGAGCATATGTGTTTGGACACTTCGACGCCAGCGCTTCGGGATGGATGCCTGGGTGGAGCTTCTTCGTCGGATTACTACAGGCTGCCTATGTCCTCACGGGATACGGACTTGTGGCATCGATGTGCGAGGAAGTGCAGAACCCCTCGCGCGAGGTGCCGAGAGCCATGGTCTGGTCCGTGGCCGCCGCAGGCTTGACAGGTGTGGTCTACATCCTGCCTCTCCTGTTCACGCTCCCGAGCGTCAAGGCTTTACTGGGCGCCGCCAACGGCCAGCCCATCGGTCTCCTGTTCAAAACCGTCACTGGCTCCGCCGCCGGTGGCTTCGGCTTACTATTCCTCATCCTCGGGATCATGTTCTTCGCCGGCATAGGCGCCCTCACAGCCTCCAGCCGCTGCGCCTACGCCTTCGCTCGCGACGGCGCCATCCCGGGCTACAAATGGTTCGGCGCGACCAACGACCGTCTCGGCATCCCGCTCTGGGGGCTCGTCCTCTCCACCGTCGTCGACTGCCTCCTCGGTCTCATCTACTTCGGCTCCTCCACAGCCTTCACCTCCTTCACCGGCGTCGCCACCATCAACCTCTCCTGCGCCTACGGAGGCCCGATCCTCGTGTCCATGATCCGCGGCCGGAAACTGGTCGAGCATTCTTCGTACTCGCTGGGCAAGTTCGGGTTCGTGATCAATGGGATTTGCATCAGTTGGATCTTCCTCGCCGTGGTGATTTTCTGTATGCCGGTTGCTTTGCCGGTTACGCCGGCGACGATGAATTATGCGAGTGTGGTGTGGGCTGGGTACGTTCTACTCCGTTCCGCGATTGCTCTTGACACGTTCGCTGACAGTTTGGATAGCTTCGCCGCTATAAGCATGATATGGTACTTTGTCCATGGCCGACGGAACTTCACCGGCCCTCCGGTACCCAAAGACGACAATCAGGTGCTTCAAGGCGCTGTCGCGGACGATAGTGAAAGGAATCTTGCGAGTGAGACGGAAGTTCAGCCGAAGGCGGAGTAGTTTTTGTGCAGATAGCTATATTGTGATCAAGTCGTTCTCTCATCGCCTCATCGCCAACGGGAGGCGTAGTGCTCCATCTCTGCCGAGGCCAAGGCGTCTTCTTCCTCTTCGCCTTCCAAGCCAGCGGGCGACACTCTCGACAGCGCGGCGTCTTTGCTTGTTCCTGCTGAACCGGGCCCCTTCCTGACCAACTCGTACCCAAGCACCCCAGCCCTCCAAGTCTTCTCACAATAGTCGCAAGTAATGCTCGACGCATTCCGCGAGATAAAAGCCGGCATACCGCACCTGAAGCACGCAAAGCTGCACCGCGCGCACAACTTCGAACCCGCCTGCTCAGTAGGTGGGCGGATGGGCGAAGCGCAAACATCGCACGAAGCCGTGTAACCCATCGCTTTCCGAACACAGCTTGCGCACTTCGCCATCTTGCCAGCCTTCGGTTTCGCTGCTGGGCCAAGGCATGTCATGCACTTGCTCGTCAGACCCGGGTCAACAAGGTCGCCAGGCGTAGCATTGACGACATCGATCTCATTCGACTGCCACAGCGCAGTCGGGATGCGATCTCGCGAGCGCTCGGAGTCCGGGACCCCGTAGTCGTCGTCGGCGTGGTTGGGGAGGTAATTGCACATCAGCCTGCATTTATAGTGCCTTTCTGCCTCCGGTAGAGGCTCGAGCATATCTTTGCGCTCCTTCCTGGCTTCCATGAACGACTGCTGAAGTTCTATCGCTTTCGGCTCCAAGATTTTGGCATCTATCGCTCTGCGTTGTAGATTGAGAAACTTGTCGTATGCGTCTTCGACTTTCTTGTCCGCAGCTCGGAGAGTGTTGTCGGACTCGCTGCTCACGGCGGAGACCGCTGCTTTACGTGTGTGGATCTCGTACTGCTCGTCCCGAGCATCCTTCAGCTCCTTCTTTGCGGCTTTGCGGTCGTCTTTCGATGGCGCCAGGTAAGGCCCGCTGTAGTTCGATCCCTGCACTGCCTGGCGGACGGGCAGTGTACCCATGCGCTTGATCATGACTTGGCCGCTATCAACCAGAGACTTTGCAGCTTCGTGACCCTCGGGGAGCGAGTTGTAATCCTTCTTCGGGGCAGGCGCAGGATGGAAGTCGAACCGCTCCACAGTTCGGACGGTCTTCTCGCCATAGCCGACACTGAGTAAGTTGATTCGACCCTGGTCTTCTCCAATGAGCAGCTCCCTATAATCCGGGCTGAAGGCACCAGACATCAAAGCCGAGGTGAAGGTCGCCACGTCCTTCACATGCGCGTTCTGCGACGACATGTACGGATTCCAGATCTTGACGACGCCGTCGGAAGAGCCGCTGTAGAGTCTTGAGCCAGTTGCGCCCCAAGATAAGAACCGAATGCCAGTGTCCGCGATCTCCCGTTCGCGGTCGTGGTCCAGGACGCTGAGTGACGCCTCGTGCTCTAGCACGTGAAGAGGCTTCTGATTCCCTGCCGCATATCGCTGGTCCCAGAGATAGACCTTCCCATCGGTTGCGCCGACGGCGATGAGATTATCATCGTAAGGACAGTAGACGACGTCGTTGATGTCGAACGCCGGACATTCGAGCTCCAACACTCGCGCAGCCCTGTTCTGTCTCGGAGCAAAGCATTGCACCACACTTCTAGTGCGCTTGTTCACTTTACTCGTTCCTGGCGTGCTCGCTACCGCAAAGATCTGCGAAGCGGCGCTCGGTGAAGGGTTCCAAGCGACGTCGAACACGTTGCGTGTGACAGCATGAACTTCGATGGGTCGGCCGGCGGCGATGTCCCACAAGCATGTCTCCCCTGCCATGTCGCGTTCTTCGTCGTAGCTATCGATCGAGAACCCTGCCAGGAGGAAATTGCTGTGGTGTGCTGCGGTGCCCCATCTTAGTGCCGAAGGGTATATCGCTCGCTCGACTTGGGAATCTTGTCGACCCGGTGACAATGCCGCCATCGCCGTCTTGCCGTTGTAAACGTTGATGCATTTGTCTGAAGTCTGGTGACATGCTGTAGCGACGACGTTGTTGTTGCTGACAGACAGGAGATCAAGAGGAGCTGAGTGTTCCAGTTCGTACTGACAGCTAGCACGATCGACACCCTCGTCGAAACGGTAAGCTCGAACTTTGCGGTCACTTCCAGCTGAGTACAACGTAGAGCTGTCGGGCGAGAATTGCACGCTCGCAACAGTCATGAACAGCCGAGAATCTTGACTCTGCCGCATCGAATGCAGACCGTTGGCGTTACCGCTATCGATCACATGAGGTCGTGGCAGGTGGTGTTCCGGTAGCTCAGCGAGCAGCGATCGCTCGTTATCACCTAAGACGAGGTTGTTCGGCTTGTTGTACTGCATACTCCGATCGTCCGTGATGGCGATAGATCCAGCGGCAAAGTGTCGTCCATCCGGGGCCCAAGCTATATGGGTAACATCGCTAGACGTGCCTTTGAGGTATTTTCGAGGCCCAACATCATCGAACACGTGCTCCTTCAGCTCATTCGGAATTGCTCTTGAGGACGGTGCCCAGCTCCTTCCCGAATTGGTTCCAAGCTCGCGCTGGCGCAATATTCGTGAGACAAGCTTGCGGTATGCCCGCTCTCCTACAAACTGTAGACTTGGGTCTGTAGGACCGCTCACCACCTGAGACGTCGCAGCTGACTCGTCTTCTTGTGTATCAAGCAAGCGCTGCTTCTTGACATCAGCCCACGAGATGAAGCCGTTGACCGCGGACGCGTCGTTGTTACGCTTCTTGCGTGGACGGCGTCCGGCTTCACTGTCCTCGGCCGAGTCGATCGCAACCTCGGAGATGCGTGTCGGCCTGCGGGACGCAATGGCAATCCCAGCAAAACCAGGTGCCTTGCCCATAACTCGATTCTTTAGCTTGCTCGAGTAGCGCACCTGAATGGAGCCAAGAGTCCGCCCGGGCAGATGCTGAGCTATAGCATCCCAGGATAGGTTCTGCTCCTCCTTCAGCTTGACGATGTAGGCATCTTCCTCAGGCGTATAAGGGGTGCCGTGTACGCCAGTTATCGTATTGCTGGAAGGAATCGGAGCTGCAGGCGGACCGGTGGCCTGACTAGTGCTTGCCCGCTGGAGCCGCGGACGTGGTAGAGACTCCAAAGAATCGCGTTGCTGTTGGACGGCACTCGCCGACAATTCTTTTGCTCGATCGATGAACTCCCTGTCCACTTGTGACTGAAGATCCTGCTTAGGGGACGCAGGGACGCCGCGATGCTTCCGAAGCTGTTCTTGAAGACCGGTGACATTCTCCACCCTAGTCTTTTGAGATCGAACGAGATCTGGGGCCGCATTCACCACCATTTCGACGTCACCCTTAAGTGTATCGACGGCTTTTGACGCGTTCAAGCTGTCTGGTGTGACAGGCTTCCCAACAAGGTCTCCGGCCATGGACCCAGCCTTCCAGACGTTGGACATAATCGTCGGAGTGGACGAACGAGACTCAGTGGCCTGCTTCGCCTCTGTAAAATCACGAGTGCTGGAGTCTTTACGAGCGCTGTGATCTTGCGCCGGGACGTCCGGATCCAGCAGCAGACTAGCGGCCGCACTTTTACGCTTCTTCGCGCGTCTCTTGACCGCATGAGGAGGAGCCGCCGAGCCGGACGTAGCTGGTTTCGGAAGCTGCGAATCGTGTTGTGCACTGTTCACTGATCTTGGCCGCTGCTCGAAAGTACTGTGCGTCATCGCAGCCGGTGTCGAAACTCTTTCAGGTGCTCCAGTCGCCGTTGCCGGCAAGGCAGGCTGCGATCCGTGTGGAGATGACGGCAGTGCTGGCTTCGTGGCATCTCTGATGGCAGTATGGGCTGGTGAGTCCAAACTAGGAGCAGCCGTTACATATTTTCTGGGCTTCTCTGATGTCTTTGGTGCAGGAGATGCAGGTTCCAGGTTACCGGCGGATGCTGATTTCGGCCTTGGAGGATGCGACTCTGTAACAGCTTTGAACGGCGACACTAGCGTTTTGACAGTCGGTGACACTGCAGGCTGCTGAGGACTGTCTCTAGCCTTAAACGGCGAAGATGGGTGTTTGATGCGTGCCCAGTCCGGTGATCGAGAGTTGATGGTGTTGATATCAGCCGAGACCTTGGCCAAAATGTCGTCGAAGGGAGCCTCAGCGTTCCGCAAAGCATTCGAGCGAGGCGCAGATGATTCGTCTACTCTCGGTCGCTTCGGTGGACGGGGGTTGATGTCAGTGTTGGCATCAGTAGAAACACCAGCGTTGGTGGACTGGCTAGGAGACTGCACATCACCCAGGCCAAATCTACCGCGCGGCGGCGGTGGTATTCCTAGAGCGGCTGTACGCCGTGCAGCTTCTTGCCACATCAACTCCTTTTCCTTGCGAAGTGTGCCTGGACTGATCATACCTCGAGGCGGGCTCCTGGCGTTGTGGATCTTTGCTGGCACGCCAGGACGTTCGGTTGGTAAGGATAAGCGAGCGTTCTTATGATGAGAGTTTGACCTGATTGGTGCGATGCCACTGGCAGAATTTCTCTTGGTGCCGTTTGCAGAGCGCTGCTCTGTAGACTGGCGGTGCTGCTGCTGCTGCTGTCCTTGCCCGTGACCAATCTTCGCTGTGCCGCCCATCTGCTGAGCCCTGGGCGAGGAAGCTGCGGTGTGTCCATTGGTACCGTTCACACCATTCGTCCTCTTGTCCGTCGTAAACGTCCTATATCCCGGCACCTCATATTCCACACCCCGCGTCTGGTCACCAAAACCCTTCCCGCCACTGCCAGAGACCCTCCGCTCACTCCCAGCAGGACTCCACGCCTCTGCCCTCATCTTCCTCAACTCCGCCCTCGCATCCCCGTGCTGCCCCTCCTGCCTCTCCCGGACATCCTCACTCGGAAGTTTGAATGGCCGAATGCCCAAGCTCGCCCAATCAAATACTCCTTGCTTAGCCTCTCCGGAGCTGGGTGACGCAGCTCCACGAGTGCCATTTTGTCCGTTCTGTCCCTGTCCCTTCACCTTAGGTATCGCATGCCCATTCTTCCTCTCCCGCCGCGGCTGGAAGCTCTGCAACGCCGACGCCGCGGCTCTCCCAGGCGACTCTTCTGGCTCGGGGGAACCGGTGAGGTCGATCACTGCGGGCGCCATGTACACCGGTGAAAATTGGAGGGTCCGGTCATTTAGTGGGTGTAGAGGTCGACTATGTTGGGTGCTTGTGGCATTCGTGTCGTCGGTTTAGGTGACTCTTTTCATGACTGCCATGGTGTGATATTGGCGAAAATGGCCACGTGTCCCTACGATGGCTCTAGTGAGATTGACATGTGATTGTGGTGTTGCAGGGTGTTTGGTCAATGAGGGAATATTGAGAGTGCAGTCGAGGGCCACTATACGCGTGACGCGGGAACATCGCGCAGCCGCTAACCAATTCTATCTAGAACATCGGCTAATCTTATCGACACAGAAGCCGAGGCGCGTTTCCAGCCTCTATCTCCCATCTCATCGTCACATGCACCTGCAACACCTCACCTCCCTCTATCACCCTTGGCCCTCTACCTACCACGCGCACCCTCCCCAATGAGGCGGCAACAATGATGGATCACCTCCGCAACCTCTCCACCACCACCGCGCACTCCACGCACACCATTCTCACCCTCCCCCACACCTACCTGCAAAAATACAGCGCCTTCATCACCCAAAACTCCTCCGCTGTCGGACAAGTCGAAGGCGCCTTGCGCAGCCTCACATACCTCCTGCCCGGGCGTTTCCGCGAGTCCGAGATCGCGTCCGAGTCGCTGAATAGCGGGGTACAGTTACTTGGGCTATGGCACGATGAATTGCTGTCGCAAGCTGTACGTGAGCGTGGACCGGTGAAGGGACAGCAGCAGAGCGCGCATGGACGGTATACGCGCTTCTACTGCCGGAAGAGCCCGGTGTATCGGCGGACGGCGACGGTCTTGGCTTGTGTGCAGTATACGGAGCTGTTGATCGAGATGGCGGCAAAGCGGAAAGGGGAGAGGGTGCGGTGGAGGGTGGTGGTGTTGGTGGAGTTTGTGAAGGCGGTGTGTCGGCTTATACTTATGAGACTGACGAACTCGAGGCCGTTGTTGAGTCCGCCGTTGCCGGAGAGGGAGGCGATTCCCGAGCCGGCGCAACCGGTGGATGAGGAGATCCATAGTCCGCCGAGCGAGAGGAGTGGGGTTAGTGAGGCGGGGAGTGAGGTGTGGACGATGCCACGGACGAGTCTGACGCTGCCGCCGCTGCCGACAAGTGAGGATATCTCGGGGTATCTGATGAGTAAGGTGTTGACGGCGGACGATATCAAGCCGCCCAAAGCACTGATGCATCGGGTTGGAGGGCTGGGAGAGGCGGCAGAGATCATGTACATTCTGCGACCTGTCATCTACGCGGCTGCGATGTCCTACTGGTGCCGAAGGAAGAGTGGCAGAGGCAAGGCGGACTGGAGACCATGGCTGCTGGGCTTGAGCATCGAGTATGGAGCACGACAGCTTGCGAAGAAGGACTTGGAGATGCGGAGACCGGGTGGTGCGAGAGGGCTGTCGCAGCTCGAGAAGGAGGAGCTGAAGAAGAGAGGATGGGCGATGGCGTGGTGGGCAATGCGTGGAGCGTTCTACGAGAACGTGACGAAGGGTGTTGTTCAAGGGGTGGCAGGCAAGCTGAAGGGCAAGCCTTTGCTCGATATGGTGGGCAGCTTCATCGAGGACTACGACTACCTCTGGCAGGAGTACTATTTCCCGACGGCGACGATGTGAGGGGAAAGCCGCTGTTGGTATGGGCTTCGAAGGCGTTGGGAGTACGATCTACCAGCGATATCCAGATTCCTATGTACATGACGATTCGTTTAGCTGTAGCTCGCGGCTTTGTTGGCTATTGAGCTTCTCAAAGCGCTTATTCACAGTCTTTGTGTTTTCGTGGCCACGTGCCTCACCCTCGATTCACTGTGGTCCTCATCACATGTAGCACAGTTCTGCAGTCAAGATTCACCGTGGCATCTGACTAAGTCCAATCACATGATAGCGAGTCATCATCCGCGCTAGCGCAGCGGAAGGTCACCCCGCCATCTCCAAGGCTGCAAGCACCACGACTCTTCGTCCTTGACTAACACTACCACCTCCGACTTCACCACTTCACACGACCCGCTACACGCACACCTGAGTAGACAGTACATACCACAACACCCACGACAACAGCCAAAATGAGGAGCAAGTTCAAGGACGAGGTACGTCAGCGCGACCGCGAGATGCTTGGTGTGACATGACAGCTTGCTAACACCCGCCGCAGCAGTAAGATTCACCCACCACCTCGCGTCGCCACTACTCCCCAGCTAACACGATGACAGCCCGTTCGAGAAGAGGCGAGCAGAGGCCGAGCGCATCCGCCAGAAATACGCCGACCGCATCCCCGTACGTCGCATCTCCCCCCAACCCCACCTTCACCGCTACATACAACCCTCAAGAAGCTGGCCCCTAACACTCACGAACAACAGGTCATCTGCGAGAAAGTCGAGAAATCCGACATCGCCACCATCGACAAGAAGAAGTACCTCGTCCCCGCCGACCTGACCGTCGGCCAGTTCGTCTACGTCATCCGCAAGCGCATCAAGCTCTCCCCGGAGAAGGCCATCTTCATCTTCGTCGACGAGGTCCTGCCGCCGACCGCCGCGCTGATGAGCAGTATCTACGAGGAGCATAAGGATGAGGATGGGTTTTTGTACATCACGTGAGTTGTCTCCCGTGGACTAGAAGAGGGTGATGTGGATTGGTGTCAGAGAGATACTGATATGGCGTACAGCTACTCCGGCGAGAACACCTTCGGCGAGGCGATCTAAGTACCTTCATTTCCTGGGAGGGAGGGATGAGGAGGGATGAACACCTGCGACGGACAAACGATGATGATTGCGTATTGGAACTAGGCACGGGATGACATGACATGAGAGCTGCGGCGTGAAGGACACCATCACCATTATCATCACAAATCACAAGCAGGGAAGTATGGCTCGGAGTATCAGGAGGCGAGCGCAAGCTTATCTAAGAGACATCTTCCTTGATACCACCCCAAGTAGCCGAGCCATTCTAGCTGCCATTATCCCCCCTTGCCTTGCTTTATCTCGACTTCAATGAACTGGCGATGTCTGCCTAGTAGACGAAACGGCTTACGTAGCTTCGCAGTGTCCATAGGCTAGGTGGCATCCGAGACTGCTGTACCCGCCCGCCAAGTCGAATTATTCAAATGGCTCGAGGGATGAAAAGAACATGATAGAGCAACCACTGCTTTGATCAAGGGCGAAGCAAAAAGGAAGCAGCCAAACCATGTTTCGTACCGCATCCCAAAGACGTATCGAACTCACGACCTCCTCCAGGAACCAATGTCAGCAAAAGGAGAAGCAAAATGGAAGGGAGTCCGGGTAGTCAGTCCGGGCCCGGGGGGCCATATAAGTTTTGACTCAGCTACTTCCCTGAGATGACATTTTTTTCTTGGAAAAAGCATATGTAGGTTGAGGGACTGGCGGAGGGAAAATGGGAGGGAAGGAGGGAAAGAGGGATGGCGCTGTGGCCGCAGCCGTGGGCGATGGGATGGGTCCGTATGTACTACTACCTGCCATCCTGGGCGCCGTCCACTGGCGATGATGCAGATGCAGATGGAGCGGTGCATAAGGTATGAGCTTCCATCGGCATACGTGTTTATGTTTTCGAGCGAGGAAGGTCACTTATGCAGCCCTTTTCCGCCAGCACTGAATGGAACGGCTACTGACAGAGACAGAGCATGCGAGCTTGTGATGGAGGTACGCTTGAGAAGCAAAAGGAACGGGTACAGAGCGGTTCTTGTTGCTGTTATACGGTGTGTTTGCATGCGAGAACTTCAGGGCATGGTAGACAGTTTATTCTTCTATCACGGTCTTGCTGTGCGTTTGGGGCGGTGGGAAGCTGCAACAATCAGGACGGCAAAAGAACTATGAAGCAGATACTCATCCGTCCAAAATCAATCCGTCTCTCAGTCGTCGTAAAGCCATAGTAGGAGCCCTCAGCATCGCACTCGCAGATCGCAACCCCCAAAACAACACTCTCGAACCTTCGCCTCTGCACGGCTCAGCACCAGAGCAAAAGGGAAGAGAGGCTGCAACCGCCATAACAGCGGGATCCTCGGTAGGAAATATCCCGAAGGAAGGTATTTGTTATCGCTACTTCCCTGGAATGCTCGATTGTTGAAATAAAATATGATAGCTGCGTTTGAGGGGGGGCGGTGACTGGGTTGAGTCACCGGGTGCTGGGTGGTTTGCGGGAGGCTGCAGGCTGTGTGGCTTACCGGCTTGGACGGGAGGACGGCCATAGTGAGCGACGAACACTGCAAAGGAGAAGGGGGAATGGTTGATGGACATTAGAGTAGATTTAACGAATTGCGTAGAGGAGTGCAGTCCAGTCGTCGTTTGGACTGCATTTTGTGTTCCAAAATCCTTGACCGGCAACAAGTTCATCCCGACTCAGCACACTGAGCAAGCACAGATAGCGGCAAGGTATTGAGTAGAAGTACACATATCTTTGAACCGGACATGTAACAGACAGCGTAGAGCAAAAGCGTCGAACAAAAAGGGGAAACGAACAAAAAGCAGAAATTCGAACGCCCGACCTTGCCGCACCAATCCTTAGCAAAAAGCAAAGGGGAAGGGAGACCGAAGTCTCGAGCTGAATGCTTTCCTGATTCAAATCTGTTGGTTGTGGCTACTTCCCTGAGAGCATAACTTTGGAAAGGGAAATATAATAGGTGGCGGAGAGGGAGCCGAGACGCCGCCGGTCCAGTTAGGGCGGGGGGTGAGGTAATCAGACCCAGAGGAAAAGTGAAGCAAGAGGAACCGGACGACTGGACGAAGAAGATTAAAAGAAAGAGCGGATTGCCTGAAAACAGGCACTGCAACCGAAAGGGAATTGTTTATGGAAAGAGAGACTGAAAGACTGGGTCAGATGGTACTTACCTGTAGGACAGGACGACTGTCGTGATACTGCCAACAAAAAGAAAGACTTGTGCTTCTCGAATGCAGAGTAATACAGAGAATCGAACGCACGACCTCACAGTCTTCGGAGACGCAAAAGGGAAGGGAGACCGGAGTCTCTAGTGTAAAAGCCCTTGCTGATGTTCGATTGTAGCTACTTACCTGGTAGGCAGCAATCCTCGAATTGAATATGACTGTTCATCCAAGCATGCCCGAGGAACGAGCAAGGCATAGACCCGTGGAGACGACAGTGCAGTCGTCCATGCGTCGACGAGACCGCACGGTCGAGAAGGCAAGAGGGCACGTGATTTGTAAATGGAAGCGATAGCAAAAGAGACAACCCACCGCTGCGGCCCCGTTTAGCAGACACGAACTCACGCCCTCCAGGCCAGCGAAAGGGAAGAGAGGTAGATCCTCTAGTGCAATGGCATGCCGAAGCTGATTGGTGTAGCTAATTCCCTGGTGAACAGCGTTTGCAGCCTGATATATAATAGCTGCATGCTGTGGCCGAAGAAGAGGCGAGCGGGATGGGGCTGAGATGGTGAGTCACTCCTTTGGTGGACCGGTGTACATGAGCAAAGCGGCTGGCTGGACGGATGCCTGGCAAGGCGACCATATCTGGAGCATGCCTTTCTAACCTCCAAGGGCAGGAGGACCTGGAGCGATGCTAGTAGAATACCTGTGGTGGTAGGTGATAATGCGTTTTGCCCGAGTCCTGTGGAATGCATGTGATAGCAGCTTTTCAGACCGGAGAGGGAAGGAGTGGGCAATGCCCTGCTGCTGTGGTCATTGACCAACGTGCGCTGGCCTCGATTCTACTCTCCTCTTCCTTTTAATCCTTCTCAGGAGCTATTGTTGATACCGTCAAGTCTTCGGGAGTCTGACGATGTCTCCGCAAATAGTTCTTCAATAGACTTCCGGGCACTGCCGAGGTGCATGGAACCGGCAGGGGCTTTGGACGTTTTTTGAGAACGTGAAAGCTGGCGTTGGGCTCTCGATCAACACTTCTCGCGCCCAAGCACAGCAAAACCACTGAACTCCAAACAAATCTCGAAGCGAATCGCCGACTGGCCCTCGACAGGGCCACCCAATGCCCGCCATGAATATCTTCCGGATAGCAGGTAGCGACCGCAATGCCTTGCAACGTACAGGGCATTGACAGGCTAACCACACAACAGGCGACCTGTCGCATGCCGCCTCGATCTTCATACTGCTGGCTAAGATGCGGACGTCGAGTGTAAGTCTGCTCCTCCAAGAATTTCGCTCACGCGACAGCTGCTAACGGTACAACTGGGCAGAGCGCAGCAGGCATCTCCTTCAAATCCCAATTCCTCTACCTCGCCGTCTACATCACGCGATACCTCGATCTCTTCTGGACCGACCCGACGAAATACGTCTACAACACCATCTTCAAGCTCATCTTCATCTCCGCGCAGACGTACATCGTGTATTTGATGCTCAACGATTACAAACCCACGCATGATCCAAACCAGGATACGTTCAAGGTGCAATATTTGGTCGGAGGGGCGGCGGTGTTGGCGATACTGTTTCCGTATAGGTATACGCCGCCTGAGGTGGGTCATACTTGAGGGCCGGCTGGTCTCAGTGGAGGACGAGACGGAATGAACGACGCTGACTATGTTTAGATGCTATGGGCCTTCTCCATCTGGCTCGAGTCCGTCGCGATCCTACCACAGCTGTTCATGCTGCAAAGAACGGGCGAGGCAGAAACAATCACCACGCACTATCTCTTTGCGCTGGGCGCGTATCGCGCGCTGTACATTCCCAACTGGGTCTGGCGATACTTCACCGAGACGACTTCTACAGGGGGCGGTCATTTCGATGTGATTGCTGTCCTTGCTGGGATCGTGCAGACGGTGCTGTATTCGGACTTCTTCTGGATTTACTATACCAAGTATGTACTGCGTTGAGTCTCCGCTTGGAGGTGGATTTCCATGCTGACATGTTATGAACAGGGTTCTGCAGGGCAAGAAGTTCAACCTCCCGGTATAGGCGGAACGCGTCAACAGCGTCTGCTCTGATGTTGTTCGAGCCAGATGGCGTAAGAGGGAGAAGGCACATCTCTCAGATATCTTCTGATGCTTGGTTTATGCATAGCACTCGGCGTTGCAAGGCTACGATAGAGAAAGATTCGGTCTGGTTGGGTGGAAGGAGCGCATGCTACGGCTCCGCCTGGCTGGGCGTTGGAGGTCTGGAATGTATGAGATACCGATCAGAGCATGTGTAACAGTTCACAGTCTTCAATCGCATATTAAAACAAGAGACCTCAAGCTATACAAGCACGGCAAGCCCACTCAAGCCCCCTGCCCCTTGTGGGCATCCGGCACGTTTTGCGGGGCAGGAAGCTTGGAAGCTCCGACATCACCAAAACTGCAACTGCAACGCAACTCCACCATCCGATCCGATCGTCATTTTGCTGTGCTCGCGTGTTGCGTCGATCTCTCGCTGATGCCAGCCCGCTGCGCGCTCCGTGAAGTGTTGCCGTTGATCAGCGGGGACATACAAGACGTAGGTCAAGACTTTTGTTGGAGTTCTTAGGGTCTTGTTGTTTCTTACTTCTTCTCGTCCACTTCATCTTCTGATTCTGCTCTGTTCCTGCACTGCTTCCTTCCTATAGAATCGCTACACTGGCTCGCTTGAGCCTGCTCGCACGCGCCGCTCCCGTCCTGGACAAATAGGAAGACTCCAGAAGCACCAGCAGCAGCTTCCAACATGGCCGCAGACGAAGAAAAACACGAGTCCGTCGACCACATCGACCTCGACGCTGAGAAAAAACACCACGCCCTCCCCACCGACTACGTCGAAGACCCCGCCCTCGAGCGCCGCATCACCCGCAAATGCGACTTCCACATCCTACCCTGGATCTTTGCGCTCTGGCTGCTAGCTTTTATCGACAGGTCCAACATCGGCAATGCCCGCATTGACGGGATGGAGGAGGATCTAGACTTGGAAGGCAATGATTTCAACATCGCGCTGACGGTGTTTTATATTCTGTATGTGTTGCTGGATGTGCCGTCGAATTGGCTGTTGAAGATTGTGGGTGGGGGGAGGTATCTGCCTATGTTGGCTATGGTATGGTTTCTTTCTGTTCTTGCTGGCTTGTGATTTGCGGCTGATTGGTTGTGTGGTAGGCATGGGGTATTGTTGGGACCTGTATGGGCGCTGTCAAGAGCTTTGGCGGTTTGGTGGCTTGTAGAATGCTGCTGGGTGCTTGCGAGGGCGGCATGTTTGGGGGGATAATCCTCTACCTCAGCATGTTTTATAAGCGGCACAACTTGATGTTTCGCCTCGGAATATTTTACTGCGCGGCGCCGCTGAGTGGAGCTTTCGGTGGATTGCTGGCGACTGGGCTGTCCCAGATTGACTACCATGGCTACAATGGTTGGGTGAGTGACTGCGCGCCACTACTGACTCGGGAATCTTAAGACTGATTTTGTTTGGCAGCCGTGGATCTTCTTCATTGAAGGCGCGATCACCATTGTAGTGGCAGCCGTCGCCTTCTTCTTCCTGCCTAACACTCCTGGCTCTGCGAGCTTCTTGAGCGAAGACGAGCGTTTGATCGCCGTGCACCGACTGCATGCGGACTTGCAAGGCGGGACGAGCAGGGAGAAGGTCGAAGAGGAGAAGTTCAGCTGGGCTGCGGTAAGCGTGTATCCGTCTTTCTGCTACCACGACAATGGCTAACACGACATTGCAGGTCCGCTTCGCCCTGCTGAACGTCAACACCCTACTCATGTCGTTCAACTTCTTCCTCATCCTCATCCCGATCTACTCCTACTCGCTGTTCTTACCGAGCATCATCGAGGGAATGGGCTACTCCAACGTCACCGCACAGCTGTTCACCGTCCCACCGAACTTCCTGGCCTTCCTCGTGGTCATCGGTAGCTCCTACCTCAGCGACCGAATCAAGATGCGTGGCCCGCTGATCGTGGTCGGGTTCACCATCGCAGCGGTCGGGTACATCATGCAGCTCGCCTCCGACTCCAACGCCGTCCGCTACGCCGGCACATTTTTCATCGCCGTCGGCGCCTTCCCCTGCTCCCCTTTGATCCTCGCCTGGCTCTCCAACAATCTCGCTCCTCATTATACCAAGGCCACGGGCGTTGGCTTTCAGGTCGCCATCGGCAACTGCGGTGCCTTCGTAGCGACCTTCACGTACCTGCCTGGCGACGCACCGGACTATCGCACTGGACACAGCATCAACCTCGGCGCTATCGGGTTGACGCTCATTGGTGTAATTGCGAATATCCTGTACATCCGATGGGAGAATGCGGCGCGAAGGGCAGGGAAGCGGGAGTATAGGTTTGAGCAGCAGAGGGAGGGGGAAGGCGAGCTGGGGTATAGGCATCCCGAGTTTAGGTATACCACTTAGCTTTGTAGATAAAGTAGATACACTACCAATTGAGGCCTAAGCTGCCTCTTTACCAACAAGCCGACGATTTGGTATAGCAGTACATCAACGCCAGCTAGGCGATACTGGAGTTGATGTTGCTCGCACGTGACCATTTCTGATTTAGCCGCGAGCGAGACGTCCTCGAATTTCCTCCCACGTTTCACCTCTCGCCATCCAGCATTGTGCGACACCCATTCGAAACATCGCATCGAGGTATAGACATTCTGGACTCCGGAGAATGCCTGCCGCCAGATCTCGCCAGCCATGGTAGCCGGAAGGAGCGACGAACGCCTCTATTGCAACGCCAAGGTCATCTCGTCTCGTGTATATTGGTCTTCTAGGCGCGCGATCTGCCTCAGATGTGCTCATCTGAAGATAATAAAAGGGAGTCCACCTTCCCGATCGTGGAGTCTGGAGGTGGTCGAAGAAGAACATCGTCAGCGCAGAGCGAAGTCGCCGGCCCACGATAGTTCTATGGAAGTATGCTGAAGCTCACTTGGACGAGCAACGTTTGCAAACTGTCTCTGGCAGGGAGGAGTCTCGCCCGCCGGCTCTGGCCCCGCCTGCTCCGGCCAAGGTCACTCCTACGTCTCAGGTTTAGAGTATCGAGCAACACAGCAATTCTCCGTGATACCAAGGCAATCTACACCAGCGTCTAGATGTCTAGACGACGTTTGGGCGTGATCGCTTCGCCTACAGGACGATTCATGCGCTCAAGCGATAGTGGAAGGTAGGGAGAAGGGTATATGAGCATGGCTTCCACCACTCTTCCACGATCTTTCTGTTTGCAAGCTCATCTTCAGTGTTCCATCCAGACCTTTCTGTCGTTTCATTTGAGACCGTTGACCGGCTCTTCCATTCGTTTCTCCAAAGTCTTAGTGACAATACGCTCTCTTCTACCACTCACAAATCACAGAACATCTTGAAGATGCACTCGGTCACCATTTCGAGCATTGCCGTGGCGGCGATCGCTGCCCTGCCAGCTGTGTCTGCCCACGGGTTCGTCTCGGGCATCGTCAGTGGAGGCAAGTGGTACAAGGGTAGCGACCCCAACTGGTTTTACGGCTCCAGCAAGCCTCCCACGGCTGGCTGGTATGCCCTGAACCAAGACAATGGCTTTGTCGCGCCCGATGCATATGGCACGCAAGTAAGTCGTCATATCTCTTACGACATGCTGGTCCGACCTCTGACCATCGATAACAGGACATCGCCTGCCACATCGGCGCCACGCCCGGCACTCAATCCATTCCAGTGAAAGCTGGATCATCCATCGACCTCCAGTGGAACACCTGGCCCGACAGCCACCACGGCCCAGTCATCGACTACCTCGCCAAATGCTCCGGCAGCTGCTCAAAAGTCGACAAGAAGTCCCTGAGCTGGGGCAAGATCCACCAAGGCGGCCTCCTCAACGACGCTGTCGTACCCGGCAAATGGGCCTCTGACAAGCTGCTCGGTAAGCGCCTTCCTCTATCAACAGCAACACAAACCAGTCTTGCTAATGTATACGAACAGCCAACAACATCACCCACACCGTCAAGATCCCCGCCTCCGTCGCCCCAGGCAACTACGTCCTGCGCCACGAAATCATCGCCCTGCACGGCGCCGGCAGCACCAACGGCGCCCAGAACTACCCGCAATGCATCAACCTCAAGATCTCGGGCTCGGGAAGCGGCGTCCCGTCCGGCACTCCGTCGACGAAGCTGTACAAGGCGACGGACCCGGGTATTCTGGTTAGCATCTACCAGACTCTGAAGAGCTACAAGATCCCGGGCCCGGCGCTGTGGAAGGGGGCGAAGAAGGCGAAGAGGTTTGCTGCATAGGTGTTGAGCGTTGGTGAGAGGTTGAGAAGGGGAGGTTAGATGGTGGATTCTCGTGCTGGATAGATGACGGTTTGGTTCACTCATCACGAGATGTCATGACGATTGCATTTTTACACATCCAAAACATTTCATTCAACTTTGTAGTTTCTCATCTGACTTCAACTATAGCCCTTTGCAAAAGGAAGCAGACCCGCCCCGTACGATGATTGCGCGAGTAAAATAGCAAAAGGGAAGGCAAGCCCCAGCAAAGGGACTCGAACAGCATTAAGGTATGCAATCACCATAGGTGAGAGGGACCTGAGCGAACCAGACGCCGCACTCTCGAAATCTCTTTTTGGTACAGCTACTTCCCTGATTGCACGGTTTTTCGAAAAGAAATATAACGGTTCACTCTTGTCCGTCGCCGCTGTCCCGATCAAGATGGCGGTGTCGTCGGAGTTTGCTCGGCATCCTTCGAGGACGTCTCCAGTCTCCCTCGACCAGCGCATGGGATCAAGTGAACCGTCCATAACCATGTACAAAATGAATCCAGAGCGAGAGGACAAAGGCCAAAAAGGGAAGGGAGCCTCCCAAGAGAGACTCGAACAGCGCTAAGGTGCACTGCAGACCTTACAGCGTTAAGGTACGCCGCAGGACCTCCAGGAACCTGGCGAGCCAGGCTCCCATTTGCCAATGCAGTTTGTCACAGCTACTTCCCTGGTTTGCAGCTTTTGTTGGAACAGTACATGACTGTTGAGAGGACGCGAGTCCGAGCTGCAGGAAGGGGATGAGCTGACCTCGGAAGCCTGCGAGCCTGTCTTCTTATTTGCTGGATGGAGTTGAGGTCGGAATAGAGCTCATATGCTTTGAGCGGTGTTTTCAGAAAACCATCCCATCTCTCGCATGCCGGGGGGGGTCGAGTCGAATACTGTCCTGATAGATGGAGGCAACGGCGTCGTCGGACCTTGCTCAGATTCTTAGAACCAATTTCTCTCATTTCTCGCTCCAGTACCACCAGAAGTTGCATACTCGCACAAAAAGAATCCCAGACCAAAGAAAAAGGGAAGGAAGTCTCCCCAAAGAGACTCGAACAGCGCTTAAAGGTGCGCTGACAACCACACAGCGTCAGGTACGCTGCCAACCTTTAGGAACCTGGCGAGCCAGATCCCCATATAAGCGGCTCTTTTTGGGAAAAGAGGCAAGAGAGGTTGTTACAGCTGACTTCCCTGATTGCGGCTTTTTGGGGGAAGGTATGTGATTGTTGGGTGTAAGCCGGTTGCGGTGGGAGCGTAAGCTGACGTTGGGCGCTGGGATGGGCTGCGAGGCCGTTTTCTTCTTTGTTTTATGGAATTGGAGTCGGAACATATCTCAGGCGCTTTCAGCAGTGTGTTGAGAATGTCTTTCGTCTCTCATGTGATATGAGACGTCGGATACTGTCCCGGTAGAGGCAGTGGTGCCGGCGGAATCTGCTCGCATCCTTTGAAGCAGCCACTCCAGTTTTCTTTCATTGCTTGCTAAAGTTGAAATAGACCAGATATCCGATCAAAAGAGTCCAAAGGCCAAACCATCAAAGGTCCAGCAAAAGACCAAAAAGGGAAGAAAGTCACCCGCAGGGACTCGAACAGCGTTAAGGTACACCGCAAGACCTTCAGGAACCTGGCGAAAAGCCAGGCTCCCATCACCGAAGTGGTGGCTTTTAAGAGCCCAATTTCAGCTACTTCCCTAGATGCAGCTTTTGTTTGGACAGTATATGACTGTTCGTTCGGACAAGCGAGGTGCAGTGGGTTGGCGAGCTGTGCCGCATGCTGGACGCCTGAACCGGGCTGGACACTTCGGCTTTTTCCTTCGCTGGGATGGATCAAAGTCGAAATGTATGGGAAGATTGGTGTCGAGACACTGTTTGCCGCTCAGGTGCTATGAGATGTCGGATACCTCGACCTCGAGTAGAGCTGCGCCGGACAGAAGAAGCCGATTTGGTTCCACTCCTTCTTCTTCTCATCATCGGATTCCTCTGGAACGTCCCATTCGCCTTTGAACACTATCGTCTTTCCTCGCTGGACGTACTCTGTGTGCGCGCTGACGGTCTTGACGATGTTGTCCGTCAAGCCCACGGTCGCCAGTTCCTTCAGCATTCGGAAGATGTTGTGGGCAGTCTCCGGGAAGGTGTCCGGAGAGTAATCGTCATGGAACGATACTTGAACCGACAACTGGTTGATGCGGTACAGGTTGTCGCCGTCTGGATTGCAGGTCAAAGATGGCCCGTTGTGCAAGAGCGTATTCAGGATCCAAAGCAGATCCCTGAAAGCAGTACCCGGCTGTCTCGGCCATCCATCATTGGAGCGAAACGCCTCTGTGCTGAAGATCCGTAGCGTCACGTCCAGATCAAACGGTTTCTCTCGCGGCAGCAGCGGCGGAAGATAAGTCCACGTCGGCCAGGAGAGGTAGCCCTTGAAGATTATGTCCAGCTCGGCTTTCAACGGCCGGCCTGCTGTGCGGCCTGACACCTTTTCGAAGCATTCGTTCCGCAGCTGTCGACAGACCCAGACCCAGGATGGGTATCGAAAGGGGACGTAAGGTGGGTAGTGGATGTCGTGGAGTTTCGTTCTTCGTCCCACGGTCGGAGGATATCGCGGTGGTTCATTGCGGGCTTCCAGTATATGACAGAGGATCTCGTCTCGTAGTTCTCGAGGGAGATTGAGTAGTGGTGAGTTCTGAACGATCTTCGTCCGGTCAATGGGCTTGTTGTTCTCGTCGAGCTCGCGGTAGCGGAACATGCGCGAGTAGATGGACATCCTCGATTGGTGATTTCGTGTTTGATTGATGTCAATCCTGGTACACTGTGATTCAGTTCGATTGTGGCATTGTTTTTCTAGATCTCAATGGCATGAGATCTGTCGACATCATCGTTGGATGCTGCTGGAGCTAGTCAGCGGAATCTTCCGTTCTCGAAGTCAACCTGCCTTTGTAGTATTGCGAGGAGCCAGATATCAGCACAACAACAAACTGCCCGACGACTTCAAGATCACCATGTTGCTCACGCTGCTATCGAGTCTCCTCTTGAGCGCAGTCAGCGCCTCCGCCGCCCGCCTGACCATCTCCATCCCACCATCACCACCACAACTGCCTAATCCAGCGACCCTCACATCCTCTACCCACGCCGTCCTGCTAGGACCACCCGGAGTACGATACGACGTCCCCTTGCGACGAGACAACATCTTTCTCTTCCCAGACATCGACGCGGCAAGCTACCTCCTCACCATCCACAGCCGCGATCACCAATTCCCACCACTACGAGTCGACGTAGAGAAAACAGACAGCGCGCAGACGATCTCGGCATGGCAGACTTTCAGAGGGAACGAATGGAGCAACAAGGGGCCTTCGTATGGATCTGCGCAGAACGAGGCTACGTTTGAAGTGCGGCCTTTCGCGCAGAAGGAGTTTTATATGGAGAGGGGAGGGTTCAACATTTTGAGCTTCTTAAAGAGCCCGATGATTCTGATGTCGTTGGTGTCGGTGGTTATGATCTTTGGGCTGCCGAAGATGATGGAGAATAGTATGTTGCACGCTGGGTGTGGTTCTGCTGCGGGAGGCTATGTGTTGACATGTTGCAGTGGACCCGGAGATGAAGGCAGAAATGGAGCAGATGTCCAGCAAAGGGCCTATCTCTGGCTCAGAAGGGGCTGCCAGTCAGAGTATGAACGTTCGTTTCCAATCAATCTACCTTATACTGACGGTGTGCTACAGTCCAGAACTTCGATTTGGCAGGCTGGATGGCCGGCTCGGGCGGCGGAGGTGCTTCTGGAGGAAGTGGAAGCAAGAAACGATGAGCCCCATGCAAAGCATATCATTACACCAGTTCTTGTGCCAGCCTTTTCACATATGAGCACTTCTGTGTCTGGTGAGTACAACTTATTTGTGGGTACTCTGCCCCGCTTCCACCTATTCCTCCCGAACCAGCTCCTCTTGGGAAGGTGTTTACAATGATCCGCAGCCGGCATGTTCAACTGCCTTCTACTGCCTTTACCACGCCCACACTCGTCATGTCTTATTCCTGACAGGCATTCAGCCTAAATTGGTAGGTCCGATACATTTTGAGCTTCTACCGAGCTCTGTTTACCTACTTACACCTCTGACTTCATCCTATCCATCTGTCTCGTGATACTACCAAAACCGTCTCATATATTCCTCTTGGCACACCTTCACAATGGCTCCAATCAAAGTCGGCCTCATGGGCTACGGCTTCTCAACCAAATGCTTCCATCTCCCATTCATCACGCCCAATTCAGACTACGAAGTCGTCGCCTTCCTGCAGCGTGCAGAGGCGCCAAGTGATCCCTCCAAGGTCGAGTCGGGAAAGCATTGTACTGTCGACTACCCGAAGGCGAAGCACTACCGAACGGCGGAGGAGTTCTTCAAGGATGGGGATGTGGAGCTGGTGATTGTGTGTACGAGCTCTGATACGCATTGTGAGTTTGGAGAGCAGGCGCTTAATGCTGGGAAGCATGGTATGTTATCTTCCATCACATCTTTTAATGAAGGGTGGCGCTGATGTGTGTGCGAAGTCGTGATCGAGAAGCCCTTCACCGCCACAACAGCAGAGGCGGACAAGCTCATCGCCCTGGCCAAGCAGAAGGGCAAAATCCTCACCGTCTACCAGAACCGCCGTTACGACTCCGACTTCCGGACGCTGCGGCATCTGATGAGCATTGAGCCGAATCCGTTTGGCAAGATCACCGAGTTTGCGAATCATTATGATCTCGACAGTCCGCCGTGGGCGAACTGGGGGAGTACGGTACGTCAGCCCTCATACACTTCTCTATGTTTTACATATTGATATTGTAATCCAGACACCAGCCGACTCCCCCGCCGGCGGCATGATGTACGGTCTCGGCACGCACTCGCTCGACCAAACGCTCCTCCTCTTCGGCAAGCCGAAAAGCGTAACAGCTTTCCTGCGCGTGCTGAGAGAAGGCGGCACGGACGATGCGGTCGATGACTCCTTCACCATTATTCTGCAGTACGGCGGCGAGCAGAAGAACCTCATCGCCACGGTCAAGACGACGGTCGTGAGTCCGCAGACTAAGCAGTTGAAGTATTGGGTGAGAGGCACGAATGGGAGTTTTGTCAAGGTACGTCTCCGCCTACCCACCCAACTAAACTGTCCCTCTTAGAGCCGCGTGCTCACGTACGAACAGGAAGGCGAAGATGTGCAAATGGACCACCTCCTCGACTCCCACATGAAGGCAGACAACCCCGGCTTCGGCATCGAACCCGACCGCTACCACGGCACGCTGCACACCAAGACCCCGCTCGACGAGAGCAAATTCGAAAAAGACAAAACCGGCGTGCTGTTCACGGGCAAAATCCCGAGTAAGGTGGGTTCGTATATGGACTACTACCGGGACCTGGCGGCTGCGATAAGGGGGGAGAGGGATGTGGAGGTGAAGGCTGAGGAGAGTCGGATGGGGATTAGGGTGATTGAGTTGGCGAAGGAGAGTGCGCGGAGGGGGGTTAGTGTTGAGTGGAGTGAGGGGCCGTGAGTGATTTGTCAGTAATGGACGTGAGACTGGCGGGACGTGGTAGATTCGATTGTGCTGCTTCGATGGACCCGTGGTGTCAACGCTCGTACCGCTCGATGTTCAAAGCCCTCACATGCTCGCTCATACTAAACTCCATTCCTTGGCCATTTTTTATGCTGTCTTGGTATCTTGGTATATGTCTCCAATGCCACGCTTGTACCATGCATGCCCTTCAGATCCTGCTTCGCTTCCATGCCATGCCGTCTCTCCAACGCTATATCCCATCTTCTCCAAACCAAACACAAACATATCAAACCCCTGCTAGTATTTGAGTATCCTTTGATCATCACCATCCGCACACAGAAATCACACCGTTGCCAAAATCCTCGTCCCAACATTCCTAGACACGCCCGCCCGGCGACCACTCTACGCCTGCGCCTTCACAGTCTGCGGCCACACACTCGACGACAGCGGAATCCCGGGATACCCCACTGCACTCTCACACACCCAATTCGCCGGCACATACCCCGGGGGACATCCGGCCTGCTGCAGAGCGCGCTTCACCTCCGCCGCGCGCTTCGCCGCCTCCGCGGCATCCATCCGTTGTATTTCGGCCGTGAGGTGGTATGCGAGCGAGCGTTCGAGGTCTGGGGTTGAGACGGGAGGCGGGGTGATGAGGTCGACGGTTGGTACGGTGCCGGTGGTGGGGGTGAGGCTGAGGTTGCGCTTGTTGTTGTTGATTTGGTTTGTCCGGGTGCCCATGTTGAGGAGGGCGGTGAGGTCTCGCCATTCGTGAGATGCTACCGTTTCGTTGACGTTTGAGACTTGCGTCGACTGCGAGGCTGGTGGCGCGGCGACTTGGGTGATTGGGGTCGTGTTGGTCTGGTTTGGCCTGGCACCCATGCTGAGGCCAGCAAGGAGTTTTTTGCCTTCTTCGCATGCTAGGTTCTCCCTGAGATTTTGGATTTGTGTGGAGGTCTTCTGTTTCTTCACCGCCGGCTGCGGCAGCGGCTGCTCTGCGGCGCGCTTGCATCCCTTCTTCGCAGTCGCAACAGGCGCCATCTGGCGCTGGGGGACGGGTTGGGAGATCGTCTGGCGGGGGAGGGACTGGTCGACTCGAGCTGGCGTCGGGCTCTCCGACTGAGGGACGGGCATTTTCTGGCGCTGGGAGACGGCGGGGGCGTTCTTGTTCAGGCGGGGAATGGGCGTGTAGCGGGGAATGGGCGTAGGCAGGTTTGCTGGTGGCCTGTTCTCCATTCGGGGAATGGGTACCGGGTGGCGCTGGGAGACTGGTGGTGAGTACATCGTCTGGCGGGGAAGGGGCTGGCCGACCCCAGCTGGCGTCGGGCTCTCCGACTGAGGGACGGACCCCATCTGGCGCTGGGAAACGGGCGGGGAGCATATCTGGCGGCGGAGAAGAGGTGGGCTGGGTCCGGGGGGTAGCACGTTCTCCGTCTGGTGGAGGGGTCCGATCTGGCGCTGGGAGACGGGTGAGGAGTACATCTGGTGGTGGAGAAGAGGCGGGCATGGTCTCGCCGGCGACCAGCTCTCCGACTGGCGAAGAAGGCCCGTCTGGTGCTGGTAGGCGGCTGGGTAGGTCGTCGGCTCGCGGAGAAGAGGCTGATTTGCTCGAGCTGGTGTGATGTTCTCCGACTGGTGGGCGGGGCGCATGTTGTATTGAGGAGTGCTTGGGCAGCCCATCCGATTTTGGAGAGGACGCTGGTAGACGGGACGCAGGTTGTATTGCGGAGAGGGATCGTAGCATGCCGTCTGGCGGAGAGGAGATGGGTTCGCTTGAGCCGGTGTCATGTTCTGCAGCTGGTAGCCGTGGCCCATGTTGTGTTGAGGAGTGCTCTGGTAGCCCATCTGATTTTGAACATGAGTCTGGCTCGGTCGAGCCGGTGTCATGTTCACCTGCTGCTGGAGTGTATTCGTGTAGTGTTGAGGAGTGCTTTGGTAGCACGCACGATTCTGGTGAAGCGACGGGGTGAATTCATCAGGAGGTGTCGGGTATGGGTGTTTGTTTGTTTGTTGCTGCGCGACAAAGGGTTGCGGCTGCTGCTGTATCGGCGTGGCAGGCGCAGGCGCAGGGGCGGAGGAAGGCGTCGAGAAGTTGCCGGCGCTGATATCTGGCGCCCAGCTGTCGAACCAACCAGTGTTGTCGTCGAGTTCGAAGTTGTAGCCGCCAAGGAGCATACTTTCGAAGCCGTCCATGGTGGCGTGATCGGTGGGATGAATGATAAGAGGTGGAAATGTAAGGTGGTTGAGATGGTGAAGAAGTTGCAGGAGATTACGAAGAAGAGGACGAGGAGGGAAGTAGTGCAAAGAGGATGGCTGGCAGATGAGGTAAGGTCGCGAGCGGTGTAACGCAGCGCTCGATGAGGTGAGGTCGTGGGAAGCCGAGAGTGTCGGAAGATCGCTGGACGATTTGATTACCTACCCACTGCTTTCGGAGCGCAACAATTGGTAGACCACAGGCTATGATCTCACAGCTAGGTTGCAAAGCGTTCATGGAGTCAGAGGGGTATGCGCCTTGTCTTAGAGGACCTTCGAATGTTTGCCGTTGCTGAGCGAGGACGCGTGACGCAGTGACTCGAACGCCGGGCGTATGTGCGGCCTGTTCGAAGGACGAGAGGCCGGCGCACCAGGTTGAAGACAGACGGACGAGGCAAGAGAAGGTCTGAAACGAATGTCTTCGGTCTTAGCTGGACCGGTAGAAAGCCATTGTGGCGGAAGGGATTCACGTGCTGAAGCAGGTCATTCCAGCCTCGCCATGCGTCGGCCGGTCTAATTCAACGTCGATGGTCCGTGTAGTTGATACCTCGATCCGAACGGAGAATGACAAGGACCTTGACCAGCGTACACGAGGCCTTTCTCGACACTCTTCCCGGTTCTCGGCGGATTCATGGCACTCTGGTCACGACTTCACGGCATTCTCTTCTTCAGCTTTCAGCTTTGCCTCCCACATACACTGCTTTTCAACACCCATGGCCCCTCAGGCTCTTCGATACACTCAGTACTCTTTTTTCGTCATTCTTTCAGCACTGGGTTCAGCTGAGCTTTGGGACATTTCAATCTTTTCATCTTGACCCAGGCAGGCAGGCGCCGGCCATTCTTGAGTTGTTGAGCCGCGACCGCCATCATGACAGCTTTGATCTTGATGCGTCACGCAAGGGAATTATTTCATTCATACATATGGACTGAGTAATACGGAGATGGAGGAGATGTATATTTCTTCAAGCTTGTGATACCTTAATTGAAGTGAAGTGAAGTCGTGAAGAAGGTGCGCCCGTGCTACGTGCTACTGCCGGATTGAGTAACGATCAGCTTTTATGGAAGGACATAGGACAGCATGATCATTGTTCACAAAGAGCAGTACGATATTGACAGAGAGGTGAATAGAAACGTGGAGGCAGCTTTGGGCTGTAAGTTGCAGTAGTATTACATGTCTACCGTGCCGCACGCTCATGCTCATGCGTTCGCCTGGAACGCCACGCCATGCACAATCATCTCATGCCTTCCGCATCGCATGCACCGTCGCCATCCTTTGTCTTTACGAGTCCAATTCCATTCCCTCTCCACTGCCTTCCGCTGCTTGCCCGCCCTCCTGCTTATTCTCAAACGTCGTCTCCAACCACCCAGCAATATCCTGGCCCTCGTACATCTTGAAGTTCTCCTCCATCCCACCCACTCCTAAGCTGGTATTATCCACCGTCAACTCCTTGTCCTGGCTCAAACTATCCTTCAACGCCCTTAGCGCATGCTTGATCAGCTCCTCCCTCGAGCAATTCTCAAACTCGTCCAGATTCCGCTCCAAATACGTCCTCGCCATCTGACTCCGCGCCCCGATCCCCCCAGCCACACACTCCACCGTCACCCCGCTCGGCTGGAACTCGAACAGATGCGGTCCCCGCGCGTCCACCCCGGCAATCAGCAACCCCACACCGTACGGTCGCTTGCCATAGTGCTGGGTGTTGGTCTGCGCGCGGTCGCCGATGCGCGAGGTGATGTCGGAGAGCAGGATGGGGCGGCCGTAGGTCAGGCGGGAGGCGAGGGACTGCTGCTTCATGAAGTTGGAGAGGACACGGGCGTCGGAGGCGAGGCCGGCGAGGGCGATGCCGTAGTGCGTGTCGATGGGGATGATTTTGCGCTGGTAGGAGGAGAGCTCTTCTGCGTTGCGCTAGGACATCTTATATCAGTATACTGGACACTGAAGGTCGTGGATGGAGGTGGTATGGGGTACCTTCAGTGCTGCCAGGACGGCGTGTGTTTTGCTGACGATGCCGACGACCACTGAGCCCTGCTTCACTGCTTCTTGCGCATACTCGACTTGGAAGATGCGGCCTTGGGGTGAGCTGTGGCCATGTTAGCGATCGCTACGTCTTAATTGCTCGTTTGATGGCTGCTCACAAGGTGACCGAGTCGTTGTCGTAGTTGTTCCGGAACATCCTGGCGACTATTCGAGGATATGAGAGTTGGTATGGAGTAGGCACGCAGTGTGTTGGTGGACGGAGAGTGGATGGTAGATGGAGGTATATCTTCGAGCAAGCAGGCGACCAAAGACGCGAACCTCATCGGCCTAAGTCCAAGCTCCAGATTCCGCCAAGCTTTCCGAGCAACGGCCGACGTCCAACAAGGCAGTCGCGCGTGTGAGCTTCAACCTCACTTCATCTTCACTTTGCCTATATTCATATCATTGCGGCTGCTGTACGATACCGGAATTACTGAGTCTACTACGAAGACACAAAGCGCACTGCCAGCTCGATTTGCGCACACCCACCACCACCGCCGCCTCCCCCCGCCGCTCACGGCTCATCCGCCCGTCATGGCGATGGCAGGCATTAAGACCATCATAGTCCTATCCTTCGTAAGCTTTTCCCAGTCGCCCCTTGCCTGTCGCTATCGCAAATACTGATGTTCCCAGATCCTCGCCATCGGCTTCCTCCTCGTCATCCTCTCCTCCGCCCTGTTCAACAACTTCCTGCCCCTCCTCGTCGTCGCAACCTACTGCCTCGCCCCGATCCCCAACTGGCTATGCGGAAAAGCGAGCAATCCGGATGACTTTATGGATAGTGGGAGTGGGAACAGTATCGTTGAATTGGGAAGGTTTATTACTGGGTTCTTGGTTGTGATGGGCATTGGTATGTACCTCTTACCCTGGAGCGATAAGGGAGCGTGGGTATGGAGAACGGTCGCTAATGTTTCATACAGCACTGCCAGTAGTATTGGCACATTGCGACATGATCCGGATCGAAGCGATGGTGATGAGCATAATCGGAGGATTGTTGATTTACGGGACGATTATAAGTTTTACCATGTTCTTCCGAGAACAGGAGGAGTTTTGAGCAATGAGAGTTGAGCGCATGTAACATGGTTGTCCTTGGTATGTACAGCAATACTCACGATCAAGCAAAAGGACCCACTGTACAAAGTGTCGACATCTCATGGTTCACGGTAATGTACTGCAAAAGGTAAAGTACCCCACCTCCAACATCACCTCACCGCGAATCCCCCCTCGAACCCCCGACCTCCCACAACCCATCAAAACTACAAAAAGAACGACCTCACCAACCCAAACCCCCAAAGGCAGCTCGGTCATGAGAAACCCGGCGAACGGATTTTTACTTTTGCATCCCCCCGAATGCCGATTGATTTGTTTCATAAGATTCTAATGAATATCGCATAGCCCTAACGACCGAATTCAAGCCACTGAGCCCGATGGGGGCGCTCAGACCGATTGCCATTTGCCGTTTGCCATTTGTCATTGATTGCCACGAGCCAGCCGTTGAAGGCTTCCCATTTGCCAGATGGGTGAGGGGGGTTTTTGGGGGAGGTATTTAATTGCTGGATTGGGGGGTGGTGATGGGATGGGAGCACTTGCACGGAATGCGCGTACGCCCTTTAGATGCTGCTGCTGCTGCTGCTGCTGGATCACCATGCTGACGCGGGGTTGCCGCAATACCGCCTTCACGAGCGCCTGCTGCTGCACGATTACGCTGGTGCGGAGGTGGAAGAGGTACAGCGCTTTCACATGTTATCGGACCACTACCTTTGCAAGCCGCGGCTGTCATCACCATCCTCGCGCTGAGGGGTGAGCGAAGAACGGCGCGACCTCGGGCAGGCTCTCACATGTCGCCCTTCCTCTTCCGGCTCTGCTTGTATCTTGCGAGCTCTTGCGTATTGTGTTCTCACCGACAGCTTTATTGCTGCAAGACAGCGCGCGATGTGAAAGAAATTGTGAGCGATGAGGAGCTACATACGTTGAAGGTATTCTGATGTAGGACAGTACATTCTATGTCTACACAGCAATGCATTTCTGCGTACAACACTCCCGCGACTCACGCTGCACAGGCGCCTGTTGTCCGCCTCAGTCGTTGTTGTGCGAGCAAGAGCCAGCGCGACTAAGAGTCAACACGACCATGCCGCACATCCCCAAACAGCCTCGCAACGCCCTGCTCCACATGCCAAAGCAAACCCCAACAGATCGCCACAGCGCTATGCAACAAACCCAAATGTCCCGCCATAGAAGTCATACACCCCGCCACATCTTCCTTCTTCCCCCTCCTATACGACCGCTCAACCCCCCATCATACTCATCAACCCATTATTCGCATACGCCATCGGCTTGACATCCGGATGCGGCACGGCGTCAAACTGCCGATACTGCAATTTCAAATCGTGCTCCACATCGATATACGCCCCTTTGTTCTCCGTCGAATCGCAGTACTTCGGCGCCGAGAACACCGTAATACATCGTCCGTCGTGCTCGACTTCATAACCCTCCATGCGCACTTCGTGCGAGCGGATGATGGCGTCGAGCCCGTTCTTCTCGCAGAAGCGCTTCGTGACGTCCGGGCCGAACTGGAGCCCGACGCCGCGTTTGGATGGTCCGCGACCCGGGAGCGTTTGTGGGTCCGTCCAGAGCATTTCCATCATCAGCCCGGACTGGCCTGGTTGGCGCTGCGCGTGGCGGTCGAGTTTGCGGATGTTGTCGAGGGTGATGTCGTCGTCGGAGAACAGGCCGCCGTGCAGCACGAAGTACTTGTCCCCCACCAGCGTGGCGAGGGGAAGCGCGGAGAAGGACTCGGAGAAGAGCTTGAACACGCGCTCGGAGTATTTCGCTTTGCACTCGCCCTCGAAGCCGTACATGCGGTTCATGTCGTCCGTCTCGTGGTTGCCGCGGTTGAGGAAGATGTTGCGGGGGAGCAGCCATTTGTAGGCGTAGAGCAGGAGGGCGATCTCGGTGGACCAGCTGCCGCGGTCGACGAAGTCGCCGTTGAAGAGGAAGCTGTGGGCGGTGCTCGGGGCACCGGCGAGTTTGAAGATGTTGAGCAGGTCGAAGTATTGGCCGTGCGTGTCGCCGCAGATGGTGAGGCGTTGGTCTTTCTGCACTTGCATCTCGACCATGGTGGGTTCGGCGCGGACAAGCTCGGTGACTGCGAGGATGATTTGGTAGACGTATTTGCGGTGTAACTTTTTCCCGGTCTTGAACCGCTCGATCATGTCTTGCAGAAACTCCTCCGTCATCTCGTCTTTTAACCTCACCCCGTCGTACGAGTCCTCCACTACCATATTCTCCACCTCCAACCCCTCGGCCGCACTCGGCGCATCTGCCACCTCGATCGCCTTGAGGAAAGCATCCCGCTTCACCAGCTTCTGGCACGCCTCATACTGCGCCTTCGCGACCTTGTCTCCGGGGTTCTTCCTCACCACAATTTTCCAGTCGTGTATCGCGTCCCCATGCTTCAGGATCGCCGTATTCGCTACTGCTCTTCTGTAGTAAGCTTTCACAAAGTCGGCGTTGATCTCGATGGCTTTGGAGGCGTCGGCGATGGCGTAGCCGTAGGCTTCGAGCTTGATGTTGGCTTGCGCGCGGTTGGAGTAGAAGGAGGGCTCGGAGGGTTTGGCGTCGATGGCTTGGGTGTAGAAGTCGATTGCGGTCGGCCAGTCGTGGTTCTTGAAGGCGTCGTTGCCCTTGTTCTTGAGGGCGACGGCGTCTGCCATGGTTGTGGTGGGTGGCTCCGACTGGAGTGCCTTCCTAAGTTGTCTACGGACTCGAGGATTAGGACTGCGCACGTTTGAAGGGACAGGCAAAGGAGTGCTGTACAATTGTGAAGGTGAAGTGATCTTCGAGTCTAGATCGCTCGTGTGCTCCGCCGGAAATTTGTGGGAGGATGACGTTCGGCGATACTCGAATGCGGATCGAGCTAAACCGAACATGGCAGGAGTGAGAGTTTGGAGGGACGCCTCGGATTGCCAATACCTCTATTGTGAGTGGCTAATCACGGTGAGATGCTTAAAACTGATTGGTGTACTCGAGAAGACGACACAAGGTCAGCAGAACTTCGCCAGATGGCAATGGTCTACGTCTAAACTCTAGCCAAGGCATATCGACTCTCAGTCAGTGGCATCAACAGCCTGTAAAAGCCATACGCTCCCACAAAGATCAGACTGTAATACACCACCGTCCACGTCAACCCTAGATTCTTCGGCCCAACCTGCTGAGATGTCGTCCCATTCAGTTGCACACTCTCCTGCTCCCCCACATCTATTGAGCCATCCCCCACCCTCACCGGCGCCCCAGCATCTCCATCCTCATCCCGCTTCCCCTGCCCCAGCGCAGTAGGCTTCTTCATCTCCGCCGGGATATAATCGTAATCAGCGAACTGCCCGACTTTCCCCCACACCCGCGGCAGCCCCATGCGGTTGCAGAAGCTGTGCGCAACGATGGCAGCCCAGATGTTGCCGGTGCGGAGGAAGACAAAGGCGGCGAAGAAGCCGAAGAGGCTGGTGTAGGCGAACTGGAAGACGCTGCGCAGGATGCCGGAGAGCCAGGCTTGGAAGGGTGGGAAGCGGTTGCCTTTGGGTGTCCGGGCTTGGAGGTATTCAGTCAGGTGGTGCAGGTGTGCGAGGCCGAAGACGAGGGGTGTGGTGAAGACGATGCGGATGGGGTCGGTTTTGGCGAGGAGGAAGAGCGGGATGGTGAAGGAGCGGAAGACGAATTCTTCGCTGAAGGGGGCGGCGACGAGGTTGCGGTAGCCGACCCAGCTGTCGAAGATGGATTGGCGGAAGTTTGACCAGCTCCAGTCTCGCCACTCGCTGTCGACGATGAGCTCTTCGTAGAGGGAGCAGGTGAATAGAACCAGCACCAATGCCAGCACTTTCAGGATGTCTAGTGGGTCGAAAGGCCAGACTCCCAGCAAGCGTAGCACTTCCCTGGGCGTGGCGTGCCCTTCCATTGCGAGTACGTAGATGGTCACGACCATGCAGGCGATGCAGGTAAGGCCGACCGCCCGCATGCGAGCGCGGATGACTATCGGTGCATCTCGAGAGTTTAGAGGCGTCGATCGGAGCGTTGGTGACAGGTAGAACGGAGCCACGTAGAATGCGGTGAAGAGTAGTTCACAGAGCAGGGCCGTTTGCTCAGATATGGCTGGCGTGGGCGGGTCTGGAGGCATGGGGATGTCAGCTGGTACCTATACCTTTGCGACTGCGTCGATGAAAGGTGTGCGACATTGGGACCTCCTTGCTAGTATCGAGAGGGACGCAAGACACGGTCCACTTACCGTCGGCTTGAGGGTAGTAGTAGTCTTTCATTCTGCTAAAGAAGCTCGAACTCTGCTGCCACAGCTCGGCGGGATGTGGCGGCATGGTGAAGGGAGCAAGACGATGTTGGGATGGCTCGCGGCGGCATGAAGTCACGGGAAGACATCCTCACCTGGAGCTCCCGCGAAGCTTTGGAGATGGAATGGAAACATGGCGTGGCTGTATTCTTCTTCGCATGCCGCTGGGTCACGAGGCGAGCTTCATCCGCTTGGACCATTCCCGGAACATTCCCGGGTGGTCTTTGTTTGGCAGATTCTCGTAACTTCAGCTCCATTTTCCTCATCTTGCACTAACCATATCTTTCAACATCCGCGGCCGCCGACGGAAAGACACAATGTCTCGACATCGGCCGCGATGGAAGTACAACGGCTTCCGCGGCTGGGACTGCCGACTGACCTGATATAAATGCGACCAGTCATGAAGATGCTTCGAGGCTCGCCAGCTGTTGTCCTGGCCGCCTCCATATCGCCTCAGTATATCAACACACCAAGTCGCAATGGCAGTCCTCCTCCCAACGGTCCTGGCCGTCTACAGCGCCCTACTCTTCGCCGGGAGCGCCAACGCCAACAACGCCCTGGACGTCAACGACAACACGCAAAACAACAAGCACGTGGAGATCGCAATCACGGTATGGGGTTCAGACTGGTATTATACCGTCTGCGCGGTCATGGGCGCCACGGCGCTCACCATTATCGCAATGTCGTACAAGAAGCCGCGCACCGACCGCATCTTCTTCTACATGTGCGCCGCCATCTGTACCACCGCTTCGATTGCCTACTTTGCCATGGGCTCTAATCTGGGCTGGACTCCGATCGACGTCGAGTGGGTTCGTATGGTTGCTGGCGGCGAGGGTCGCAACAGAGAAATCTTCTATGTCCGCTACATTGACTGGTCAGTTCTGCACTGTTTGCGGTCCATGTGTCAGAAAAGCCATCTAACGTTTGCCAACAGGTTCATCACGACACCGCTGCTGCTGATGGATCTCACCTTAACGGCTGGTCTGCCTTGGCCAACAGTCCTCTGGGTCCTTTTTCTTGACGTCGGCATGGTCGTCACCGGACTGGTTGGCGCGCTCGTCAAGTCGAGATACAAGTGGGGTACGTATCAACGGATTGAAATATCTACTTCCACCGCACAGCTGACGGATCACATGCCAGGCTTCTTCGCGTTTGGATGCGCCTGCATGTTCGGCGTCTTTTGGGAACTGGCCTTTGTGGGCAGGCGAAACGCAAAGCGCCTGGGCGACGATGTCCACCGTGTCTACGTTCGCTGCGGTGTGCTAACCCTGGTCATCTGGCTCCTGTACCCCGTTGCCTGGGGAGTGTGCGAAGGGGGCAACGTCATCAGCCCCAACTATGAGGCGATTTTCTACGGCATACTGGACGTGATCGCCAAGCCGGTCTTCAGTCTGGCTCTGCTGTTTGGACACTGGAATATCAATCCGGAAAGGTTGGGACTTAAGATGGGCGGTCCCGAGCATCAAGCTGCAGAGGCCGAGAAAAGCGACCTGCTTCGCCACGACGACGGTGGCAGTGCTGGGCCGAATGGCACCAACGGTACTGCGCAGCTGTCGCACGAGGCCTAGTAGCCTGGCGGGTGCTGAATGCAAGAACTATGGCTTGGTGGGATTGGTCTTGCGCCTGGTCTTTGGCTCTAGCAGCCACGGAATGGCAGACGGCTTGATGGGTCGATGTGGACTTCGAAGGGCCCATTGAAAGCGAGATGCATGTAGAAGACAGTTGTACATTTTATGTTCATCGGCGCGAGCTCCGCAAGCCGCAGCATGCGCCTGGGTTGAACCGAATTGTCTATTTCCTGACTTCCGACTGCGAGCGGGAGAGCGGAGGCATTGTAGACGTGTAGATAGAATCCACATAGTAGGATGTAAGTTTGATTGGTGGAAATGTTCTTCTCTTTCTGCTGGCATGGTGGCGACTCCTGCTGTACATCTACTCGCATGCCCGTACCTGGATGTTATCTACATGCATGTTGCGCATGTAGGGAGGTTGACGCGGCGTGACGTAGAATTGAAGCTTATATGAGTTCGTGGTTGGAATCTACAAATTTGCCATCAACAGTGCATGTTCACACTGATCTCACATGGAGGGCACGCTTCAATTCGGAGCGCCGACGACGAGGCAAGCTCGTGTACAAAGAGCGTGCGTCAATTGCCGTAGACGGAAGGGGAAGTGTGATGGACGCTATCCGTGTCAGCCGTGCAACATACACAAGCTCGGTCGGGCCAACCAATCTGCCTGCGTCTTTTGAAAAGTCTTGCTGACGGAGCACAGAATGTCACTACGAAGCGCACCAGACCCGGATGGGTACGATTGCGTACACCAGCTCGCTAGAGGCGAAGGTGCGCGAGCTGGAACGCCTCCTGCGCCGCTCCAATGCATCACCGGGGGACTCCGCGGAACCCTCGGAGCAGGCGGAGGACTACATCGAAACGATGGTCGACGCCCCGAGCAACGGCGGCTCACCGGACGGCCCCTCGAGTGCTTCAGACGAGCACTCGGGGTTCGGTGGGCAAAGCCTCCTCCGCCGACTGCACGCCTTGTGTGAGCACGCGCGGGAGAACGTCGTCTTCAGCGACCCGCCGGACAGCCGTCCACGGTCCAGCAACGACGACCTCACCGCCGCGTTCGACGTCGCCCCGCCGGAGACCCGCTCCTCCATATCCTGGGACGCCTACGCGATGCTGCCATCGCCGCAGAACATCTCTCATGCCATTGGGACCGTCACGCGCTCGGCCTGCTGTAGCATGCAGTTCCTGGACGGCGGGGCTCTGCAAGGGCTGACCGACAAGGCTTACGAGGCCGTGGATTCCGGATCGCTGGAGCCGTGTCGCAAGGAGCTCGGCTTGCTGTTCGCCGTCCTGGCTCTGGCGCGCCGCTTCGACACGAGCTGGTCCGCTCCGGTCAGGGAAAACGATGTCGCCACGGCATATGGGTATGTTGCAGACCGCATTTCATGACCACGCCCGGCTTGCGCGCGCTGACGCATCTGCAGTGCCCGGTATTTCCGCGCCAGTCGAGCGCTCCTCAACCCCTCCGACTGCCAGGACTTGGTGTCGATCCGCACTCTGCTCTGCATGGTCATCTACACGCAGAGCTGTTCCATGCTGTCGGCGTGCTATTCCTACATCTGCATGGCCGTCGCGGCTACCCTGCAGATGGGTCTGCTCGACGCCCCTCTTTCCGCGGACTCGCAGGACCGAGCGCAGGCAAGCACCCTCATTCCTGTTCTCGCGACCATGGACACGTCCGTGACCGAGTCTCTGGGCCTTCCGCGCACGCTCAGGGACATTGACACGGTCGCGTTGATCTCGTTGGGCCGCGGAGACCAATTCGAGAGTGCGACGGATGGGCACGCCCAGCTAATGCGCATACTCGCGGAGATAGTGGAGACGAACCACCCGCCGTGCAAGCGCGTCCCGTACAACAATGGCTTCTACGGCGTCCGGCACAGCAACATTGTCGAGGCCGAGAAGAAGTTGACCGCGTGGTCTGAGTGCATGGAGCGGTCTTACGCTTCCGTTGTCATCGTTGACGAGGGATTCCTACGGTCAGACTGAACTCCACCATATTCCGTACGCACCTGAACGTCGTCAACTGACAGCTCCCAGGTGCCAATCGCTGCTGCGGCTCTACCACGCACATGTGCAACTAGTGCTCTACCGGCCCTTTCTACACCACGCCTTGAAGCGCGCGCGGCAGAACGACGACCTCAGTCAGAAGGCCTACGCGTGCGGCGACGCCTGCATCAAAGCCGCTCTGCAGGTGGTGGCGCTGGTCGAGAAGATGGAGGCGGACGGCGTCATGAATACCGCCCACTGGTAACAAACTCGCGAGCACAACCGTGCCACGTCTGAGACATTCGCTGACAACCTGTGTCTGCAGGTACCTCAACCTGATCGTCGCCCACGCCGCCGCGTGCCTCGTCCTCTTCACCACCAGCGCCTCGCAATCGCCCACAGTGTACGAGACAGGCGACGCCGTCCGCCGGCTCAAGGAATTCTGCAGCCGCCACGCCAGCAGCGAGTCCTCCCTCCAGCGCTGTCTGACCTTTCTCGAGGTGGGTCTATGAATGAGTATCGAACCGCTTTGCAAAGCGCCAGCTAACGTCTGCTAGGCCTACTCCCCGGGCGAGCCGTCCATGGATCTCGCGAACTTGAACGAGCTGCAGAGCGGCTTCGAGCCGAACCTATCTCTGTTCAGCAGCGCGTTCAATGGCCTGGACGATTTCATGCTGAATGGTGGCAGCGGCGGCATGGGCGGCGGCGGGATGGCGTATGAGGACCACGTGCAAGCGCTTTCGCTGCCGGGGTTCCACTCGTTCGTGCACTCCCACTTCTAGCATTTGTGCCGACGTCAGCCAGCCGGCCAGCACAAGGTGAGCCACGCACATCCAACGGTCACATCGCTGCAGAGATGGAGAGAAGAAGTACTGCGCTATCGCTCGAGAGATGGTAAAGCGGGATCTGTGAGCTACATACAAGCAACCCTAGAACAGTTGGACCCCAGGCCGGGAGGAGCGCAAACTCAGAGCATCATTGTTGCGCCTGTGGTGTCACAAGCAGCCTCATACCGGGGCAGCTGATCGAAGAGCGCAGGCGCAGGAAGCGGCGCGTTGGCCGAACTGTAGGTGGATCGCCTTCGCCGTGGCGTTGAGAAGAGACTACATTCGTCGTGTACCACGGCAGCGCGGTCCTGTAGGCCTGGCCTCGAGGCAGCAGCAGCGTGGCCCGTCGACGCTCGCTGCACGGGCATGGCGTACCGGCCGGCGGTGGTGGGTTGGTGGACCGACGGGATGGGCGTGGATATGGCGAAGAGGACTTCAAATGCGTCCTGAACTGGCTGGCGGTGGGGAAGAGGGCGGCGGGGTTTGCTGCGGTGTGCGTCGGCGGTTCGTATCGTGGTGGCGGTGGGGTTGATCATAGTTGATGTGTTTGCGGCAGATGCCTCAGCGTGCTAGAGAAGAGGAGGGCAGGAGGCATACCAAAGACTGGATTCGCTGTCTTAAGTCCTCGTCATCCGCGCCGGCCTGCTCGACCTGCTTCTTGCTGGTGGATGGCATGAAGCCGGGCACACTGCCACAGGCCGACGGGCGAAACATGGCCGCTGGGGCATCGTAGGCACGTGAAATGTATATACTAGCTTGCAGGAGGGTGAGTTGGGTCTGCCCCGGGCAGTGTGGTAGTATGTATCCGTTTTCAGATGCAAGTCGGTGTAACAATAACAAGCTAGCCCACTGGAACGACATGTATCTCTATAGGTCGTTGTGAGCAAGGCATAATGCCTTGGATCCTTGTCGGTTGTAAAGCCTGATCTCACGTGCCAGCCTTGCCCCTCGGGTTCCCTTGCGACGACGTCTGCAACAGATGATCGTGTCGAAGAAGGATGACAAGCACCGACAGCCACTCGTCAGCATCTTCTTTCTCCAAACGGGAGGAGAAGGGAGTGCAGGCCACTAGTGGCTGCCAGCGCGCGCCGGAGATTATGAGACGCGATCTGGCCCGAGCACATCTCCCCCAATCAATCCAGCGATGGCGGCAGCCACAACGGTACTGAAGGGAGAAAAGTATTGACAGACACAGGCGCAAGGTTGGAATTGTATTTCCATCTTATTCTTCTTCTCCATCAATTCTTGTCGTTCTTTTGCTTCTCGTACACCTTTCCCGACTTCCACCACCGCGAACGCCGGTCAAAAAAGTTCATCTGCGCACGGCTCCAAACGATCTCATCTGTCCGCGGGCTCCCTGCAGCATGCATACCGCTTGAAAGTCTCCTGAGACATTTCAAAAGCGCCTCTCGAGCATCAAGAACGACTGCGATTCAGCAAGAGCGCGCTTCTGCGCTTTCACCACTCTCATTCATGTCACTCGTTTGAACACCATTTCCGGCATATATACTTCCTTTATCCCGGCGCGCAGTTCACATCTCAGCACCACCATTCCCCATGTTTCTCGATCCGGATCCGAAACGAGCAAAGCAGCAGGCCAACCGCAACTCCGGCTTCTTCTCTTCGCAAAAGCCAATTGAGTCACCCCGAGACCTTCGTGCGACAGCAAGGCGAAAAGCACAGCCGCTGGGCGAACGCTCAAAATCGCAAATCAACGAACTCCCGTCCTGGCGAGATGCGGCTATTTCGACTGTCCGCTTAGTCAAGCATTCACCACCACAGTCGGCGCAAGTTCACAGCGATGCCGAAGAAGGTCAGACATTGGGAAACGAAGACGATGTCCAAGGACGGGACGTGTCCGTGGTGAAGCCCGCTAGTGCGTCGGATGCAGGCTTTCCAGCCAAAAGTGTTTCAGACGTGGACGCTTCAGCAAATGAGGTGCAGAAGCTCGAACAGCCTGATACGCATTCCCTGTTGCATACAACCCCAATCCATGCTCAACTCGCGACCCATGGCGTTCCGAAAAAAGAATGGCATCGTCGCAGTACGAGCACCGGCAACTACTCTACCTCTTCAACCCTCAAAGGGACGGAGGAGAGTCTGCTTCTTCGACGCAGCGATATCAGGTTGAGCCAGGGCACCACCTTGCGAGGCACACCGACGCCGACAGAGGAGGAACTTCGACAGCGCATTGACGCAGACGACTCTCTACACAGCCTACAGACCCTACACGAGGCCTCGCCCGAGCGATCGACACTGCGCGTCGTTGCCGCGTCCGAGGACAACGGATCGTCGGTAGATGATCTGTCGCATTCAGACTCATCCGCGTCAGCCATAATCCAGGTGTTCGCATCACCTACTCCCAGTCCAGAGCGACGGCCGGCTGCACCGTATCGAGAGAGTTCATGGCAGACGCTTTCCAGAGCTTCTCCCCAGACAGTGTACATTACGCGACGGAATAGCGATACACGAACACCCACACAACAACCCAGCCAGGAATCTGTTGCACAGTCGAAATCTACTAATCCACCAGTATCATCACCTAATTACGTTGCATTCAGCAGTCCAGCGCGGCCACGGTCTGGTACCTACCCGCTGCACCATACCTATTCGTTCGAGTCGATTCAATCGCGTCTCCAGAATAATAATACAGCCACCCGCCCACAGACCGGCCGCAGTCTTGCAACCGCTAGCTCTTGGGCTTCGCTGCGTCCGTCCTCTTCGCACGACACTCTTCCGCCGCTGCAAGTGCCGAAAAAGCGACTACGGCATAAGCAGGGTTCACTGTCACTCAACGCAGCGACGAGTGGTTCCTTCACTTCGGGCTACGGCATGGACGAGGACATTGATACACTGCCCTATCCGCGGGAGCAGTTCAGCAGCCATCTCAGCACGATCGCGAGTGAAAGCGAACGAACCGACAGTCGGCAGCTCAGCCACTTCTCACTGGGCAGTGGGGTTCTGACTGGAGATGACAGCAGCAGTATACCACTGTCAGGCACCTGGCCTCGGAGAAGAGGAAGTGCGCCAATCAGCTCATCGTTCATGTCAGATGCACCGCGGATGAGCAGTGAAGAGGAACAAGAGCCGGGAGATATGACTTTGGGCATCTTCCGCGAAGGCAGCGCAAAGCCACAGCCTCTGCAACCACGCGCAGGAGCAGTGCCAGGCGAGAGAAGATATGACGGACCTCTGCCTCCTCTCCCACCTATCCCGCGAAGTCGAGACAGCGAAGAGAACGTGGACATGCTTGGCGAACTGCAGCGCCCTCAACTGCGCGAGAAGAGGTCGGGATACTCCCTCCGACACCGAAGCAACAGCACCCCCAGCCGCAGCCACTCCAGACACCTCAGCCAAATCTCCCGCAGCGACACCGACCGCTGGAGCCAAGCGAGCAGCCTCTTCCCCACCTGGGCGAAGAACTTCTACGGCAACGGCGCAGCCCTCATGTCCCCCAGCAAAGTCTCCCTCGCCGCCCCCGGCACCCCTCGCCGCGACAACAGCCACGCCCGCAACGACAGCCAATGGACCGAACGCAGCATCACCTCCCGTCTCGGAACCGGCTACACCGACCTCGACAACCCCAGCCCCACGAGCTCCCACTTCCTGCCCTCCATCTTCCGCCCTCGCACGCGGGGACGCAAGGACACCGACCACAGCTCCAAGAAGCGCAAAAGCAAACGCCTCGCTCGCCCCTCCAACTCCATCTCCCGCCCTGCCTCGCAACCGGACTCCCTGCAAATCTTCTCCGCCCCGCTTCCCCCACCCGCCGACGCCGACGTCCTCCCCTCCGGCCACCCGAAATACGGTTCCCTCAAAGACGCCTCACCCGACCCCCAACACCACCAGCACCGGCCTTTGCCGCGCAAGTACTCGAAGCAGAAACACTGGGACTCGATGCAATTCCCGCGTCCGATGACGAAAGACCGTCTTTCCGACTTCAACACGCGTCTCGAGACGCCCCCTCACTTAGAACGGACGAAGAGGTCGAGTTACAGGCTAAGCACCTGGCGCGCGCCGAGTTTCGTCGAGTCCCTCGATACGCTTGTGCGGAAGCGCGGGAATCGCCAGATTCTGCTTTTTGCGCTCGGGTTCGTGTGTCCGCTGCTCTGGATGGTTGGGGCGGTGTTGCCGGTGCCTGAAAGGCCAGCGGAAGACGACGGGGAGGTGGGATTAGCGAGTGTAGGAGCTAGTGAAGAGGACCTGGCGGCGGCGATGATGAAGCATGAGGCTGGCGACGGGGAGAGGAGGTGGCGGGAGGAGAAGGTTTGGCGGAAGGCGAGGTGGTGGAGGGGACTGAATCGGGTCATGAGTGTGGTTGGGGTTTTGGTGATTGGGGCTGTGGTGAGTACTATCGTCATCCTGAGGGAGAGGGGGAGGTGAGGGTGTGAGATGTGCTGACGCTGGGAATGGCAGATTGCGCTTGCTGTTATTGCTACGACTTGAAGTATAGTCGTGCGTGACCTGGATGGAGTGGGCTCGGGGGGGCATTGTCGCGTTTTGGCGATCCACTGCTGCATACGAGCGATGTGTTTTCTTTTGTCGTTTTCTGGAGATGTGGTCGAAGATGATGGAACGATACCCACGGATGCGATCTTTGATGGTGTGTAATGTTTTAGACAATCTACATAGTGTTTTGAGATGAATACATAGATATGTACATCTACCAACGGATACTCCTGTGTGACAATTCTCGCGAAGCACGACCGCCTTCTATCTGCTAGTGCTTCTTTTACACTCCTGGTCGATGGCTTTTCCTGCAACGTCTGGCTCAAAATTGCTGCTGTTGCTCTACGGGCTGCTGCTGCTGCGAACTTACGCCACGCTTTGGAGGCGCCCAGAGTGGTAGCTAGCAGGCTGCTGTTGGGCGCCAACGAGCTGGTAAGAACGAGGGGAGCCAGACAATGATCTTGCAGAGCTCGAACTGACCGTGTGGAAGCGGGCAAAGCCCTTTGGTATTCCGAACATGGCACGGAATGGGTCCAACCTCGCATTGGCGTTTTGTCTTCGCCATCTGCTCATGGCAGCGAGGCCGTCGATCTCGTATCCAGTCCTGTTTGAGGGGGAGTGGCTGGTCCTTCGTCAGGCTGCCAGGCGGGCCCCGTGCATTTCAACACTTGAGATGGCTCCCACGATAGCTCGGAAGGGTTCAGATAGATACAGTCGTCACTTCAGCTCATCCAGCTCGGCTTCTGCTCGTCCGCACCACCCTCCGTGGCCTTCTCCCACGGCTTCCTGCGTTTCTCGGTTTGGCTCTCGCTCGCTTGCCCTTCGAGCACCGTGTCCGGGATCTCTTTGATTCCAGGTATGGGCTTGCCTTCCTGGATGAGCGCGCAGATCTCCGCGAAAGAAGCAGGCTTAGGCGCGTCGCTCATACCGCCAGACGCATCGCCACCAGCACTCTCTCCGGCGGCCTGCGGTTGAGCTTCGAACAAAGTGTCGTAGGTTCCGTTCGCCGATGCAACCCCTCGTTGAGTCTCAATCCAGGCCTTGTAGCCGTCAAAGTCCACGGGCGTCCCGGATTTCCGCGCGAAGTAGTAGCATTTTGCTCGTAGGGTTAGATGCTCGACTTGAGCGGGATCCTGAACGCTGCCGAGGATGGCGCTGAGACCGCCTTGGAATTCTTCATCGGTATCCCAGGGGTACTCGTCTAGTTGGTGGTAGAGGTAGGTGTTGCCCAAGTCGATCTCGGAGTCCATGGCGTTGTGTTGACGGTGGAGGAATAGAGATGAAGTGTGTCGACACCTGAGATGGCCTTATACCGTGCCAAGGCCAGAAAGTCTAAATCGCGGACTTCTTTCGACCTCACAGAACAGCCTTGAACAGACACGAACTTCACCAACCACATCCTCACCACTACAAACACTTCTTACCCCCACCTCAACCGCCCTCACCGCCTCGCACCCTACCCTACCCTCCCCACCACCGCGACCATGTCCGAGTTCATCGGCAGCCGCATCAGCCTCATCTCGAAATCCGACATCAAATACATCGGCACGCTCCACGAGATCAACAGCGAAAACCACACCGTCGCCCTCGAATCTGTCACATCCCACGGCACCGAGGGAAGAAAGGGCACTCCTGCAGAAGAGATCCCGGGCAGCGACCAGGTCTACGAGTACATTGTCTTTCGCGGCAGCGATGTCAAGGAATTGACCATTGTTGCGCCGCCGGGCGAGAAAGAGAAGCAGCCTACTCCGCCACAGGTGCCGAATGATCCTGCTATCCTTGGTGTAAGTCGAATCGTGTACATTGTCGAAGGGCTGTACGCCTGTTCACCTGATGAAACACTTTGGATATAAAACACTACTTCTAAGTGCGCAAAACCATGCGGATAATCTTCCATGTTGCCTTCCTTCTGATCGAACACCCTCCGTCCGCTGTCTAGCAAGGATGAATATCCTTATCAGAATCTGTACTAACGAGGGTCACAGTCTGCTCGACCTCATCCACAACAACAGCAACAACCACCTCCACAACACCAGCAAGAACAACAACAGCCGCCGCCAAACCAGAACCAGAACCAATTCCGCGGCGGTCCTCCACCTTTTGGCCAACAGCCTCCTCAATTCGGTTACGGAGGGCCTCCTCCTCCTCCCAACCAGTTCCAAGGCCAGCCTCGCTTCCAGGGCCCCGGCGGTCCACATGGCTTTCCAGGCAGCCCAGGTGCTGTCCCTGGTTACGGCTATGGACCACCTCCACCCCCAGGATACGGAATGGGCTTCAACGGTCCTCCGCCACCAGGCCACGGCTTTCCGCATCATTTCCCACCAGGACAAGGACCACCGCATCAGCAGTATCCTGGTCCGCCAGGCCCGCCCATGAACCAACAGCGGCCGCCCCAGCATATGCAAAATCAGCAACAACAGCAGCAACCGCCGGCCGGTAGCAGGCAAGGAACTCCGCAAGCCCAGCAAAACCAAGCTCCACGGCCACCCCAGGCCCCACTCCAGCCTGGCCCAAAACCCGTCGAGATGTCGGCCACGCCGGGTCCAACTGCTGATTCGCCAGCTGGTCCGCCTCCACCCGTCGAGTCGAAGCCATCTGTCGCGTCGGCCACTGCACCGTCTGCCGCACCGGCGCCGTCCAGACAGCCTCAGCAACCACCGCAAGCTAACAAGACAGCGCAACGAGCACCTAACAACCGCGTGGCGGTCCCTCTTCAGCCTCAACAGCGCGCTGCACCACCAGCACAGCCTGCTCCGGCCGAACCACGATCATTCCAAGACGCGACACAGGCTGCGACCGCTGCTGTTGCAGCCGCAATGGCCAAGCTTGGTCCGGGCAAAGCGCAACAGCAGACCGACGGTGCCACCGACAACCTCGCGCAGCAGGTCAATCAGATGCGCATCCAGGACCAGCAACAGCGTGGCGGCCGCGGGAACCGCTCACGCGGCAGTGGCGCTCCGAGGGGCGGGAACAGGTCCAGAGCTGTCGAGGTGCCCAAGGAAGACTACGACTTTGAGACGGCGAACGCCAAGTTCAACAAGCAGGAACTTGTGAAGGAGGCGATTGCTACTGGTTCTCCCGGCCAGCTTGGCAGTCCGAACGGCGACGGCGCTGCAGATCCCATGGCTGCGGCTGGCGCGAACGGGCACACTGGTGAGGCAGAGAAGGAAGACGCAGAGGTCGTCATCCCGCCGGCCGAGAAGAGCTACGACAAGAAGAGCTCTTTCTTCGACAACATTTCTTCGGACCTCAAGGATCGTGTGGAGATGTCGCAGCAGGCGCAGGATGGCACTAGCGGTGGCTTCGATGGACGTGCGATGCGGACTCAGGAGAGGTCCAAGAATTTTGAGACATTTGGGCAAAGCAATGTCGACGGCGGTGGGTATCGAGGCGGTTACAGGGGTAGAGGACGGGGTTACGGGTACCGTGGTGACCGGGGAAGGGGAGGATATCGAGGACGTGGCGGATATGAGTCGAGAGGCGGGAGTGGGTATCGCGGCAGAGGGAATTTGGGAGATGGGGCTGCGATCGCTTCTTAGGGAGGTAGCGAGAGGGATGCAATGCTGACGGTGGAAGAAGAAAAGCGTGTCGAGACTTCAATGGCGGAAAGATGGGAGACTCAGCGGGCCTTGCTGCAGCTAAAGCTCGCGCTGTGGAGATGGCCTCCGCTGTCTGGTCCGTCGGCGGGGTCCACATTGGATTCTTGAAGAGAGAAGAAGAACGAAAGATTTGTCGGGTGGAGCTACGTGGCGAGACGGACGAGGGAGGACCGTGTTGTATCATGTTAGAAAAGTCGAATGAGTGTCTGAATAGGATGACTGTCTTGGTCTACGCATTATGACTGCTTCACGTAACGTTCCACAGCCCCTCAATTGGGCAGCTGTTGATGTCGTTCAACTACCGCTGGCAGTATCATGCTGTTAATTAGGGGAGACATGAAATGGTCCTCTCATGACATGACATGGTGAATAGTAAGGTATTGAAGATTGAAGGCGGAGTTAGGGTTAGACTTTTTCGAACGGACCTCACTCCATCCGTCTCATATGCCATACCCCAAACCGCCTTTCTTTGCAATTCTACATTAAGTACAACAACAATGCATACCAGACCAGCCGTCCAGACCAGCAGAAGGCTCCTCGCCACCTTCAACACCACCAGACCCTTCTCCACCACCCCACCTCTCCACGCCAAAAACCGCATCTACCCCTCCCCCATCCGCCGCGAATCCGACCTCGAAACCCTCACCCTCCTCTCCGCCAGCACCCGCACCCCGCTCATCACCCTCTGGACCACCACCTGGTGCGGGCACTGCGCAACCCTCTCCCCGCTGCTCCACCGCCTCCTCGCCGAAGAAAAAATCGGCGAGGCGGAAGGCGGCGTCGCGTTCGCGGAGGTCGAGATGGATTCCCCTGATGCTAGGGGAGTGGCCGGGTTGGCGATGAAGTATGGTGTCACGACTGTGCCGACGCTGTTGGCTTTTGATCGCGCGGAGCCGCAGGTTGAGACGAGGGTGGGGCGGGTGGAGGATTTGAAGAGGAGGGAGTTTTTGGTTGGGTGGATTCAAACAGAGGCGAAGAGGCGGGGAGGGGGTGGGGCGGGGGGCACGGGGTTGCTGGGGGGGTTGTTTGGGCGGTGAGGGGTGAGGGGTGTCAACTGCTGGTGTGGGCGGAATGGCTACATCAGGAACTGCAACCGTGCTAACGACAACTGGACCTCGACTGGAATGATGGTGAAATAATGAGGATGTTGCTAAGACTGGTTTGCTATATTCATTCGAGCATTATCACTACTCGACCCCAGCGGCGCTATCAATGACAATCCACGCACGACCATGCCGCTCCGAACGAGACCCCACACAGCGCTCTGCATCCGGCTCTAGAAGATCTCCATCGATCGTGCTATATGTCAAGGTACCAAGCTTTGAGTCCGCACACCCGGCAGTAAGTGGGCATCTCCAGCTCTGGCACGAAACGGTCGCTTTCCTCCTTAGGGAGCTCGAAATAGCAATCCTCATGGGGCTGATGCGCCCAACAGCTACGTCTACGCTCTTTTGCCGTGACGATCCGGAGTACACACCCAAGTACAGGTCCGTGACGCTCGCTCTCCTTAATCCGAAACATGCGCAACGGATTCTCGAGGTTGTACGGTTGCGACAGCTCTTCTTCCACCAGACCGGCGATGTCACACCTGCACAACGTAGCCTGGGACGGACCCGAAAGCGACACGAGGAGTTTGCCCTGCTGCGATCTGATGTCCATGGTGCCGCACTGCACGCCACCAATCGACCTCCCTCCTTGCGAACGTTCGTCGTAGTGTAAGTACCGCACGCCCTGCAGCGCGAGGTGGCGGAGGTTCTGCTCGAAGATCGTGTTGCCATGGACCAACCACACCTCGGCGATGTCCCACCAATTGAGATCCTTCATCTCACCGATGGTGAAAGCGTTGTGCTGATAATGAGCCTCAAGGATCTCGGCGTGCAACAGTGGGAAGGCGTGATAGATTCGCGGAAGTTGCTCTTTGGGTACCAAGTTGTACGACTCCTCGCCTTCGATCATTGCCTTCTTCTTTTTGCACTTGAGTTTGATTGGGCTCGGACGGGCGAGGAGGTGGCGATATACTTCATCTCGCAGCTCACGCGGAAGGCGGAGCAGGCCCTCAGGCTTCATCGTGTCGGTGTCGGGTTGGCGAGCACGGATCGGCCTTGTTCGCGGGCGGCTGGATCCTGCATCCACGAATATCTCCTCGATCTCAGACGCGAGTGGGAAGGCTTCTTCGATCACTGCTGCGGCCCTGCCATCGTCTGTGTGATTACGCACATCACCACCTGCGATATCTGCGCTTGTGGTCAGGCTTGTGAGTGGATCATGAGCACTGGGTATTGCGCTATCGCTGATCTCGGTACTGCATTCCATCGTTGCGTCCCAGACGGAGTTGGAGAGGCTCCTTACGTCGAAGATGCCTTGCGGGGTGACGATTGTAAAGCTGCCCTTAGTGTGGTGGACTTGCAGAGAAGCCTGTCTTGGATCTTCGCCTTGGGTAGGGGGTGCTGGAGCCGAAAATGGTGATTGCACGCTGCTTGGTGCACCGGTGTTCGGATGCTGAAGAGGTTTACTGGCAAAGAAACAAGGAGGCTTGCCGTGCTTTATAGCGAAGACTTGATGTGACTCTTCACTGAGTCACCACAACGCCGGCATCCTTCAATGACAGCCAGTACACGTCTGGCCATGGTGAATGTCGAAAGCCGCAAACCATGGACCACAGTGAATAAAATCTTCTCGCTTCATCCTCAGATGGGTACGACAGGGTGTTACGCGCCACGGGTACCCAGTGACCAGACATCGTTCTGCCATCATGAGTCCGTCGTCAACTATCCCGGGCTTTTGAAGATGGGCGGGAGCAATTCTCGCCATCACAACGTTCACGGGCTGAACGTCGCACGGGTGTAAGACCACGTTATGGATCGGCGGTACCTCCGGTGCAACGATAAGCTGGCACGACGCTACGGATCCATCGCCCGCATCTCTCGATCACGAGCTATCCGCAGAAACTCGGTGTTATTCGAGAACGCCATTCTCTCGTTTGCTCGACGCTGGAGATCCGCTCGCGCGAGGTCAATAATCGGAAGTCCTGTTCCGAAACGAGCAGTTTTGCATCGTCACTTGCATGGATGATCTGCCAAACGCTCGAAGGAAGAACAGCTTCGCCAATTGCACAACAGATACCTGGCTACGTCGCTTCCATATGTGTGGAGGATGCATGCGGAGAACCCTGTTCAGTGCGGAGTGCATAACGAGGGTTGAGCTGTGTAGAGCTCGGCCAGGTATTTAGGTGCCCTTGAATGTGTTGCTCAAAGAACTTAAGCACTTCCAAGAACCAACCTTTACAATTTGCAAAAAAACGAAGGCACAATGACTGATGCGCAGGATGACAGCATGCTTGCCACCGATAAGGTGAAGACTGAAATGATCAATCCTAAACTGCGGACGAAGCTAAGTGAGTATGGTCGCCGAAGCCGAACGGATGGCCCATACAGAGACAACCTTGAATGCGAAGCTCTTGTAGTCGGAGGCGGGTTCGCCGGTGTATTCATGTTCTGGTCTCTGAAGCAGCAAGGACTGGATGTGATCATGTATGAAGCTGGAACGGATCTAGGAGGTACCTGGAGATGGAATTGCTACCGTGAGCCTCAGTTGCCTGCAGCCCTCCACAGTATGCTAAAACTATGCAGCTGGAGCCATGGTGGACTCAGAGGTTCCAGAGTACCAGCTCTCCATACCTGAAGTCATGAAGGAGTACGCATTCTCATCGGAGTAAATGAGATGAACGCTGACAATCGCAGACACAACTGGCCAAACAACTACCCGAACTACCACGATCTGAGAGACTACTTTGACACCTGTGACCGAGTATTGAACATCAAGGAGCGCACAGCTTTCGAGAGCGTTGTCACCGAAGCTCAGTTCGACACAGACGAAGGCCGCTGGCACGTAAAGACCGCTGATGGCAGGAACGCTAAGGCCAAGTATCTTGTAGTCTGCGCAGGCTTCGCAGCGAAGCGATACGTCCCGGACTGGCCCGGAGTTGACAAGTTCAAAGGGGTCATCCATCACTCATCCTTCTGGCCGGATGACGACGTTGATGTCAAGGGTAAGAAATGTGCCATCATCGGGACAGGTGCAACCGGCGTGCAAGTCACCCAGGCCTGGGGTCCTCAAGCCGGAGAAGTGAAGGTCTTTCAACGCACTCCGAACTTGACAGTGCCTATGCGCCAGCGAGATCTCACCGTCGAAGAACAGGAGCAGAACAAGAAATGGTATCCCGAGCTCCTCCGCTACCGCGAACACTGCTTCGGTGGTTTCCTGTACACCTTCTCGGAGAAGAACACCTTCGATGACACTCGTGAGGAGCGAGAGGCCTTCTATGAGAAGCTGTGGCAGGATGGAGGCTTCCGCTTCTGGCTTGGCAACTACAAAGACTACCTCTTCAGCAAGGAAGCGAACCAGGAGGCCTACAACTTCTGGGCCAAGAAGCAGCGTGCCAGGATTAATGATGAGAGGAAGAAGGACATCCTCGCGCCACTTCAAATGCCGCACTACTGGGGTATCAAGCGGCCTTGCCTTGAATACGCTTATCTTGAGCAGTTCAATCGACCGAACGTGGACATTGTCAATATCAAGAATAATGCCATTGTTGGGTTTGATGAGACCGGTATCAAGTTTGAAGACGGATCGCATGAGGACTTCGGTGTCATTTGCATCGCTACTGGCTTCGACGTCGTTACTGGTGAGTTCATGCTGTCCTCATCAAACGCCTGCTAATGCTTTGAAGGGGGTATGACGGCCATGGGTCTGAAAGACATCTACGGCAACACTTTGGACGACCAGTGGAAGAAGGCTGCGTACACTTACCTGGGCACTACTATCGCCGATTATCCCAACATGTTCCACCTTTACGGCCCGCAGGGTCCGACTTTGCTCTCGAATGGCCCTACCACGATCGAAGTACAAGGCAGGTGGATCAACGATGTGATCAAGTACTGCGAAAGGAACGGCGTCAAGTACATCAACCCGACGCAGGAGGCTCAGGCGGAGTGGAAGAAGAAGATCAATCATCTGAGCGATATTACGTTGTTCCCGACGGTGAAGAGCACGTATGTCTAAGCCTCCAGACACCCTTATGTGACACGTACTGATCACTCAATTGCAGGTACATGGGTGGCAGCAAGCCGGACAAGGCATTCGAGCAGACGAACTATGCTGGCGGGTTGCACAACTACGGAGAGGACATCAGGAGCGTGCTTCCGAAGTTTGATGGCTTTAATGTTGTGAACAATGTTGCGGCGGCTGCGTAAGGACAAGTGAGGGGAGGCTTGAGACGAACCAACAGCTTCTTAATGCATGCAACTGACGCTGACATGTTCGTATCAAGTAGGGTCCTCACCGGAGTCACTACTCAAAGCACCGTCTCCATGAATTTCCTGGGCATTCCATTCATGCCAACGAAGCACGGCCGCCGAACCTCTCGCAGTGTCGTGTCGATTTTCCACAGATCTCCTATCTCCTTGCCTTCGTATGTCCTCGAGTGCACCAGAATCCTCACGCAAATCACTCCCACCACTTACGAACGGACTTCATTGGCAGCTTTCTTATATAATTACCGCACTCAGGACAGCACTCCGCCTCACTGCTCGCCGACCCTCGTGCCATCCACTTCCTCCACGGCAAAATGGGCTCCTTCTGCGTCATGTCTATCCGGACGAGCTCCTGCACTTGCAGCGCAAACTTCAAGACTGGCCCGCACGAAGCATACTGCTTCAGCCGTTGCTGGCAGTCACTGTCGTAGACAATGTCACCAGTCATCCGTAACTCTTTTTCCACCACAGCGGGAAGGTCGCAGAAGCAGGGTGAAGGGTTCCAGTACAGCGAGGGGCAAAAGTGCATAATGTCGGCGAATGGTCTCGAATTCGTATGTAGGAGCCGTCGGCGGTGGGAGCTTTAGTCTTGGTGTGGTGGATGTTTGTGATAGACCTCTTGACGAATGCGTAGTGGTACACCGCATCGCGTAGTTCGCGTGGTAAGTCCAAGAAGCTGGTTTGTCGTCGTTGTAAAATCATGTCGCCGTCAACTTCAGCAGGAGCAGGTCCTCTGCCCATATTTGCCGTCGTCTCCACTGAACTCGTTGATGCAAAACAGAAAGCGTCGAATCGTTCTCGTTGCAAGCGCAGTTGTATAGTTTTATCATCAGTGCAATGACGGCAGCATGGAAGGCATATCATCAGGAGAACAAGCAGGAAGAAGTACAAGTGCTGCACAATGTTGAAAAGGAGAAGCAGGCAGTGAAGCTGCAATAATGCGAGGTGCTGGTAGCTGCTACGCCCTCGCTTCCAGCTGACTCATTCGCTTGACTGTTTCGAGTAGTTATGCGGGTGGCCTGACATGGGGCCAACAGTCACTGCGTCTCTCTTGGTTCTCTTGACAATACAGATCGTCGAACAGAGATCCATTCCTTGCCCAACAACCCTCCCCTCATCCTCCCCTTCCTCCCTCAATCCTCCTCTAAACCAACTTCGTCCGTATCAACCAACACAATCTCATCATCAATCCAGTGCCTGATCTCATAATCCTTCTTCACCCTCTTGACCCTATCCCCCTCATGCAACGGCAACAACCTGAACTCGCCCAGCGGACATCCGTCATCCCCCCACCCACCCGTACACACGAACGTAAAACACGGCCGGCCCAGCTTCACGCACTCCTTACACGCAAACATGCCCTCCCCGCCGCGCCACGTCGTGCGTAAGCCCTGGCACTTCTGGCTGACGCAGAGGTGCTTCTGTTGATTCGCCGCTTTTCCGCTGTCGACTTTGAACTGCTCTGACCACGCTTCGCCCTTCTTCGCTTCCCACATCGTGCGCGCGCAGAGCTCGATGCGCTCCCAGAGTTCGCCCATTGGCAGCAATTCATTGCATCTGTAGAATTCGAAGACTTCGCCTTCGGCGTCGTAGCTGACGATTGCGCGGAAGTCGAACTGGTATTCCTTTGAGCCGCCATCTGGGACCACCTTGGACGACTTCTGCTTCTTCGCGGGCCGAGCGGAACCATTCGTCGCGGTGCGCTCTCCCAGTGCTTCTAGGTCTCCGGCGTAGATGGGTCGGTTTCTCCTGCGCGAGCCGGTCGGTGCATCGTACACTGTCAGCGTGGCAAGCTCTTCTGCTGCCTCTGTCTCTGCGCTGCTCTTGCGCTTCTTGCTAGATGGAGGTGCTCTTGTCGGTGTCTGCTTTTGCGCTGGAGATTGAGGTGGTGGAGGCTTGGGCCGCTTGAAAGGTGTGGGCGGCGGACTACTCAACGCCGTTTGGTGAACGGGCAGAGAGGACGATCCGAGCTTTTCGGCTTTGATAGCTGCTTGGGACCTGAGATCTCTGCAATGTAGTCAGTATGGAGAAGGCCTACATGGGAGCTTGAAGAGTACTTACGGCAATTCCTCCTCATCATCCTCATCCTCCATCTCTTTCTCCGGATCACTGGTCATGAACGCATGTCTCTTCATGTTGGCCGCCTTTTCCGCCTGTAGCTGGTTGGCGAGGCTCTGTCTGACCTTCAATGAGTCCGCGAGTTCTCCTCGGATCCGCTGGCTCTCCGCCTGAAGCGTCTGCTTGTCCTTCTTCAGCGCCACAACCTCATTGCGAAGCTTGCGTTCCCCGTCGCTAATACTGCCTTTCGGTCTCGCTTTTGCTTTCTCCTCCTCGAGCTCCTCCTCCAACCCTTGGATCTTCCGGTGCATCTCTTGAACGTGCGTGTCGACCTTTTGCTCAATCTCACCAAAGTCCGTCAAGATCTTGTCCTCATTCTGAGCCGCCTCTTTCGACAATCTAGCAATGGCTTCATCCTTGGCTTTGATGATGTCGACAAGCTCACCGACTTGCGCGACACTGCCGGTACTGACATCCCGACGAGCCTTGCCGGACAAGGTGGCGACAAGTTCTTCCTCTCGTTCTGCAAGGCGGTATCGTAGTTGAGCGACCAGGTCTTGTTCTTTCTTCAAGTCGATGGCGATTGCTGCGGAGTGCTCTTTCCAACCCATGATGACTGACAGTGGAGGTGAAGGTGACACAGAGCGAATAGCGAAGAGGTGTTGGTAGAGGTGTAGGAAAGTCGACAAAGGAAACGCAAGCGAGCAACTTCTATGTAGCAAGTGTAGCCAAACAAGGAAGGAAATTTGTCGTCAAAAAGTCATTATGAGGTTGTGACAGAGCCTTCTTCGAAGAAAGATTCACTTAGGCCGTGTCCTTCTCAAGTTGTCGATATGGACGACACACTGTGGACAGTGGAGAAGGTTGCTGAAATAGCAGGTGAGCGCCCTGAAGAGGTGAGCAAAGCTGGACTTCACCTGAGTTTTGAGTCTTCACGTGGTCGATGATGTCCGACTGTGCCAATCTTAGCGAGTGTAGCGGATCCGGACAGAGCTGCTAGAGCAAAAGTTGTTATGTCGAAGAAGTGGCTCAAGGAGGACCGAGTTTCAAGTCCTGACATGTGATTAGTCTGGAGCGCGAACGTGAGTAGATTGAGCAAAGCAAATTTCACTAGCAGAGCAAATCTCGCTAGCGCCGGTCGGCATATAGCTATCTGCATATCAGCTGTCATACAGCAAGCAAGGTCTCGTACCTTCCCAGCCGTACAGCCCGCAGCCAGTACAGTCAATGCGATGAGGCCAGCCAGGTATCAATATCCCGTCCAAACACCAATATCCCATACATCCTTGGCGTTCACATGACCGCGCATCTTCCGTCTGTACATCGTCGTTCTCATCACCTGCGCAGACCCTCTCGCACCCCCTCCGGCAACTCCCCAAACATCCCTCTCCCCTCCCTCCGCGCAATCTCCGCCTCCTCAAGCTTCCCACACCTCTCCTTGATATCCCCAAACATCCCATCCGCCACACAAGTCCACAGCTTGTTCTTCCCCTGCTTCGCCAGCGTCCTCGCCGCATGCGCGCTCTTCTCCGCCTGGTCCCCGACGATGGCTTGACTGAAGAAGCGGCTGGTCATGATGTTCATGACGACGCTCATGAGCAGGTTGTTGGAAGCTTCTTTTGATGCTTGTACGGCGAGATGGAGGAATTGCTTCGTTTTGAGGATGGTGTCTTGCGCTGTGGCTTTGGCGAGGTTGATGGCGGAGTAGATTGCTCTGTTCGAGTGGTTGAGGCAGTAGGGTTCGACGGTGGCGAGAAGGCGTTCGGCTTTCATGTATTCTTCCGGGCCCAGGCTGCGGCGGATGAAGATGCTGTTTAGCGTTGCCATCACGCGCAGGTCTTTATCGGCGGCATTGGCCTTGGCATCGGGGTCGAAGATGAGCTCGTCAGAGTCGTAGAGCGCCAGTGCAGCCTGCAGATCGCCGAGTCCATGCCGGCACGAGGCTTCCAGGTACAGCAGAAGCTTCGCCGTGTTGCTGCCAGAAACCAGATGTGGGTCCTGTCGCAGACTCGCAATCGCGGTCTGAGCTGATCCCCATTCGAATCGACCGCATCGTGCGAATATGAGGTAGACGCGCATGACGGTGCTTAACTCCTGCTGTTGATTCAGTAGTGCTGTCACAGTGCTCAAAGGACTGCGATGAACATCCGGCTTGATGCTGGCCATTTTGAGCCCGTCCGACAGGAACTCATCGGCTTTCTTGTCTCCGGCACCAGGAGTCCTTGCCATGGTCTTCTGCATCATGCTAAAGCCGCTCAAAGCGTAGGCTAAAGCATACAGCTGAGTCTTTGTAATCCATTGAAAGATCAGCATTGCGTTGCCGAATTTCGATCTTCGCATGATGCCACCAGTGTCTTGCTCGAGATTCTCGTTGCTACTTGGACCCAGCTCGACCTCAAAGCTCCCGTCCTTTCGCCATGCGAGGTCGCGCGTCTTACTGTCCAGATTGGTTTCTATACGCTGCGTTTTCGCGAACGCTAGGTCGGGGTTGAAGCTTAGCAGACTGCAAGCCGCGTCGAGGCAATCAAGAAGGCCTCGAATTTGTGGCATGGCCTGCATCTCCGGACCGAGCTGGTGAGTCTGAGCAGCTGCCATCGCACGGGAAGCCATATCGACAGCATCGGGAGATGGGGAACGGAGATGCACAACGATTTCCAGAGCTGCCGCTACGACCTGAACCGCGACTCTGCCGTCTTCTTCTGCAGTGGCATGCAGGGCAGCCAGATGCTTGGCGATTGAAGAGAGTTCTGAGTGCGTTCCAAGCTGCAAGCCCAGAGACACCCTCAAGAAACGGAAGGTATAAACCCAATGTGTCAGACGAAGAGCTTCAGCCTCCTGCACAAGCTTGTCGACAGACTTGAGCGCGGCTTTGGGACTTCGCGAGAAAGCCAAGCGGACGGCAAGATGCTGCATCGCGTACTTGAGATCTGTCAGCCGATTTCGTTCACACAAAGCAATGCCCTTGCCCAGGATTGCTTCTGCTTCTTCGTCATTGTCGCATTCATCGACGAGAAGAGTCGCAAGACGGAGACGGATCCGGGCCTCTTTCCGTGCGTCTGTCTGGCGGAAGTTGTTGAGCACTGATTCCAGGCAAGCCATCGCAGTTGATATGAGCGAGCAGTACTCTTCATGTTGCTCGTGAGGTGCGTTTCCGGTGGCCAGAGAGGCGCTCATGCTGTGAGCCGCGCTGATGTACTCCTCTGCCAGGGTAAGCAGTACAGTCTGGTAGTCAACGCTCGGCTGCGGTGTCGACGGCATTTGAGACGAGTTCAGCTCGGTCAGTGGTGATGAAGCGATCTGCGAAGGCTTTTGCTGCGAGCTGCGCTTTGATTGTGGATAGACATCACACACAGGGACGGCACGACCATCATTCGACCGCCTTCGCTTCGGCGACCGGCCCATGTCGTGATCAACAGGCTGCGCGTGCGTGTAAGACGGAATCTCTACAGCCGCCACTACTCGCTGCCGTGGCGTTGGTTGAGGGTGGCTCGGGATCGGGGACGAAGGAGTCCGGGTTTGCTGGCTACTCCACCGCTGAGGCCGTGGTGGTTGAACTTGAGCCGGACGGTGCTGCTGAGACGGTTGAACCTGTGCTCGGTTCAGATTTGAAGGTCCTTGAAGCGGATCTGGCGATTGAATCGGCTGAGGTGGCAGGAGCGGAGAGGCCTGTGATGGCTGCCTAGACTGCTGCTGATATGGCCTCTGATATGGCGGTTGAGCCTGACTCTGCGTAGGTGATGGGCGCGGTGGCTGCGCGTAGTTGTGTTGAGGTTGATAGTACTGGCCCTGAGAACGTTGCTGGACATATCCTTGTGACGCGTAGTATTGCTGAGGTTGCGGTTGCGACTGCGGGTAATATGACTGCTGGCCCTGCTGCTGCGGTGGGGTCTGGTACTGCGAGGGGGACTGTTGGTAGAATCCAGGAGGAGGCTGAGAGATGGGTTGTTGTTGAGAGTAAGGCCGATGAGACGGAGTCTGGAAGTTGGAGACATCATGTCTTGGCTGCTGCGACGGGATGAGGACCATGGGATGGTGGTATTGGTCCTGATTCAAAAGGTACTGCTGCTGCGTTTGCTGGCCCGAGTCGGAGCCCCGGTAGCCTGCATACTGTCCACCATACTCGTAGCCGTTCTGGTACGACATGGCTTCTCTGCGCCAGTCTGCACAACTAACAGGGCTCCATCGCAGTTGCCCTGACTCTGCTCGTACCTGCCGTCGGTGTCTACGACGAGTGAGGCTCGCGGCCTTCACGCGACATGGGTTGTGGCGTACATGTGGCGTCGAGCCGAGGCTGCGCTAGGAAAAAGTGTAAATCCGTCTCTTCTCTCGCGACTTCGTATCGAGCATTGTACGACTTTGCTACGGCCGCATCTCGATTCGGGAAAGATACCGAATGGTGATAGACAGACCGCTGGAATCTCAACAGGTGTCTTATCAAATTGAGAGTCGAAGCAACCTTGCAAGCGCTGCATTAGCAAGGACTTCCAATCATTGAGCAGATCTGGAACACTTCAAGCACATGATATCTACCATGAGCATCCCATGAAAGCATTCTACTGCTGTTGAATACTTGCACACGGCCTTCCCAGTCACTCGAAAGTCTACCTCCCAGCCAGTCTTCCATCATATATCCCATGGCCATGTCCTGGTACCCTGGCAAAACCACCGTCGAGTTCTTCCACTCGGACGAACCACTCATCCTCCCCTCCAAATCGGACTCAGGCCCTCCCCGCGCCCTCCCGGAACTGGTCAAGGACGCTGTCCCTCCTTGCTCCCTCAACCCACTCCTCTTCAACGGCCACCTCCAAACCTTCTGGACAGCATCCAACCGGGGAGGCCCACCAATCCATTACAAACGCCGCGTCTTCGAGTCCAACGACTCCCGATTCGCTGGACACTTCACCGTTGACTTTGCCACCGCTCCTCCGCCTGAAGCAGGCAAAGCGAAGGATGGCGGGCCTGAGGATGAAGGGCTCCGCGAGGATCCGGTGGGAATAGGACATCACCGCCTCCCGCCTCGGACGACCTACTTTACGAACAAAGAGGTCGAGAATCTTGGTTCTGAGGACACGAAGCCACTTATCATTGCTTTGCATGGTCTGAGCGGTGGCTCGTATGAAGTCTACCTTCGCCATGTGTTGGCGCCGCTCCTCGCCCAGACTGCTGAAGGCGAGGCAGCGGGTGGGTTGAGCGGAGCTGACTGGGAAGCGCTTGTCGTCAACAGTCGCGGGTGCGCTGGCTCAAAGATCACGTCGAATATCCTGTACAATGCTCGTGCAACGTGGGATGTACGGCAGGTGGTGAAGTGGTGCAGAGAGATGTGGCCGAAGCGGCCGCTGTATGCAATTGGCTTCTCGCTTGGTGCGAACATACTTGCGACTGTAGGTAGTTGTGCTAATGAATGCGTTGTCGAAGGTTTGCACCACATGCTAATCCCATTTCTCGTCCACAGTATCTCGGCGAAGAAGGCTCCAACTCCGTCCTCTCCGGCGCCATCATCGTCTCCAACCCCTGGAAACTCGAAGTCTCCTCCCTGGCCTTGCAGCGCACATACATGGGCATGGCGGTCTACAGCAAAGCCATGGGCGACAGCATGCGCAAGCTATTCAACACCCACGCCGACCAGATCAAGCACATTGACGGCGAGAAAATTCAGCAAATCAAGTACCTCCATGAGTTCGACGAGGAGGTACAGACTAAGACCTGGGGCTATCCAACTGCAGGAGCCTATTATCGCGACGCGTCGAGCGCGGATAGTGTGCTGGCGATCCGGACGCCGACGCTGTGCTTGCATGCGCGAGATGACCCGATCGCTTGTGACGAGGCCGTGCCATACGAAGAGATCCAGCAGAACCCGTATGTTGTAATGTGTGCGACGGGCGGTGGCGGGCATCTGAGCTGGTTCGAGTGGGGTGGCGGGCGGTGGCATGCGAAGCCCGTGAGTGTCCATATGCTTTCGAAGTTCCTGAACAACTGCTGACGTTGCTGTAGGCTGTGGAGTTTCTCAACGCGATGGCAAAGGGCGTTGATTCGTCCAAGATCGAGATGCCGAAAGCGATGAGTGAGCTGCCAGCTAATCCTGCTGGCCATAAAATGCCGTTCGTGTTCGAACCGATGCGCCGGAAGTGCCATCTCGCAGACGGCGAGCCATAGATCGAGCACATTCGCATTCTTCGCACCTTGCCAAAAGTCATAGAATATAGACCATAGACCATAATCCTCATACACCGCAACCTTCTCAACCAAAGCTCACCCTCTTCTTCGCCTTCTTCACCACCTTCTCCTCCCCACCAGCACCCGCATCGCCTCCCCCCACCTCACCACCCCTCCCCCTCTTCCTCCGCCCACTCCTAATCCCCATCTTCCTCTCCTCCAACCCCTCCTTCTTCGCCTGCGCCCTACTCTCCATCTCCACCCTCCTCGCCTCCCGCACCTCCTCCAGCTGTCTCGCCCGCATCATCTTACTCTCCACATCCCCCTCCTTGTCCGCCATCACCATGGCCAAAATCGTGCGCATACCTTCCCCGTCGTCGACAAATTTCTTGCCTTTTTTCTTGTTCGGCAGTTTTTGGACGCCAGAGGGGCGGATGCCGTTGAGGGCGGGGACTTTGAGGTCTTTTTCGGTGTAGCGGAGGTGAGGTGGTTTCTTCTTTACGACGGCGGTGCGGGCGGCGGGTTTGTGTTGGGTGGGTGCTGGTTTGGCACCGGAGGGCTTTTTCTTGGTTTTTGAGGTGCTGCCGGAGGAGGAGGGTTTGGTGGAGCGTTTGTTGGCGCCTTTGGCCGAGCCGGTCTTTACTTTGGTGGGCATGTTGGGTGGTGTGCTTGGGTCTGTGGTTGTGGTTTGAGGTTTGTGAGGTCCAGAACTTTTTTGGTGGCTCGGCGTAACGTCGGCAAGGTCGGGCCGACAAACACGGAATAGACGGAGTGAAGTCCGACGCGCATGGTACGCTGGAGAACAGCCCTATGTTCGACTACTTACTTACCAGGTACCTTCTGACTGAATGTTGGCACGTTCGTAATATGTACTGTACGATCAACCTATGGCCGGCAATGCGGTATGAAGCATCGCAGTATCAACGGAGTAATGGCATATTGGTGGTTGCGCAATAGCGACATTCTCGAGAACTTCATTGATCAACTACATATAGCCATGAGTCCTTGACAAGCCAGCAGAATTCTCCAAAGTATGTCTAGTCAACCTCCCCCGGTGGAAAGATGCTCACATAATCGATCGGAGCCGGCTCTTGCCCGTCCGCCACGCCGACAATCTTAAGCGTAGCGCCCTTCTTAATATCAACGCCGTTGAACGTGATCCTAATAGCTGTCTGCCCATCAATATACAGTACCGGAGCATGGCTCAGCGTAACATCGCTGTCGCCTACCCACTTGCCGACCACCGTGTCGTCAATCGACAGCGTCCACTGCGCGTGCCCGATCGCCTGGTCAAAGTAGTTGACAGCGACATCGTACGTTCCGGTCTTGACATCGCTGAGCGTCGTACTCGCGGTGCCGGTGGTGGAGTTGGAAGTCGTCACGATGCACGTCTTGTTCGAAGCTGTGTTCCACGGGATCACAGGGTAGAGCTCATAGTTGTCCAGCTCCATTGATTCTGCCTCGATACGGTATGGATGGTGACCGACTCTCCCGAGCTCATCCGGGATATCCGAAAGGTTGTAGTAGAAGTTGTTGATCGCATCGCGCCATACGATGGAGTGTCCGGCTTGGTAGACGAACTTGTGCATCGTCTCGCTCCACTGCTGCTGGTCCATCTTGCCCTGCAGCGCCTGCCAGCGTTCAGGGAACGTCTGCGCATTCTCCGATCCGGCGTAATGGGCGTTGTAGAAGTGTTGGATGACCGTCTCGCCTGAATTCAAGACGTACGTGTACGGGACGTGGTGGAACCATAGGAGGAGATCATCGGGTGTCGTCTCGATATTGTCGTACATTTGTGCGACCTCGGGTGGGTATTGTCCCGCGAAGCCCGTGCCGTTCTCGATGGTACGGTCCATTCCGATGGAAAAGGTGTCAGCGCGAGTCCACTGGCCCCAGGGGTTGCCATCCTGACTAGCTGGGTTGGGACCTGTGGCAGTTGGTCAGTCTCGCGAAGCTGAAAACACTTGGAAGTAAGAAATCTCTCAATGTAACTCACCGTAGTGCGCATTCAGAATATCCGTCAGCGTCTGAATGCCAAGGTTGCCTGTATAATTCTCGTACGTCGGCCACGCTTCAAGCGAGATCTCTCTGACGGTGTCGATGACGTCTTGGTTAAACCCGAACGTCAGACGAGTCCAGTCCTCAATCACCCCGGCAGATGACACGTCCGGATTCCACGCCATTTGACCGTAGAGGTACAGGTTCGACATGGCAAGATGGCTTCCCAACCACGTCTGGTTCAATCCTATACCCGAAACGGCAGCATATCCACCGAGAGGCTGGTTGAAACGGCGCCCAGCTATGATGTCCTTGACCAGCGATTGCTCGCCATCCACTCGGAGGTCGAAGTCGAGGACGCTCTTCCAGAGATCTGCAAAGTACATGACATGATCTTGTTGGCCAAGGTACTCTTGAGTGACCTGCAATTCTATTGCACTGGGCGTGTTCTTCAGATGGGCGAACAGCGGGGACGCGGGCTCGCGTACTTGGAAGTCGATCGGCTAGACAGACATCAAGTCAGCACCAAGGTGGAGCGTTGAAGGGTTAGATGGCATAGTTACTCACCCCATACTTGACTGAAGGAGCAGGTAGTCAGCATCAAGGTACTTCTAATCAAGCAAAGGTGGGAGAAGGACATACTTTGAATCACGACATTGTCGTCAAACTTTCCATCAAGTCCGTCGAAGAACTCCACCGCAGCATTTGCTCGGTCAGCCCTCCAGTCTTCTGTCTCATTCAGAGAGGTAGAGTCATAGACGAAGGCGCGGAACATCGTGATCCCGCCATGCGGCTGAAGAGCTTTGGCAAACAAGTTTGCTCCTTCGGCCAGTGTCCTGTTGATGGCCAATGGTCCCGGCTGGCCCTCGGAGCTAGCTTTGATCAAGTACCCAGCCAGATCGGGGATGTGCTCGTAGATCATGTCGGTACGTTGGTTCCAGAAGTCGATGACGCTCTGGTTCAGAGGGTCATATGTGTCGAGAACACCTAGTAGTTCGGGCGTGGCAAAGTTCAATGACATTCCGATTTGCACGCCATATGGACGCATGAGATCAGCGACCCTTTGAAGGCCTTGGACGATGTATGGCTCGACCATGGACTCGTTTGCGTTGACGTTGTTCACGATGGCACCATTGATTCCGACGGAGGCGAGTAGACGAGCGTACTGCGGCACGCGGCTGAGATCCTCTCTCACAGATCCGTCCCAGTAGAAGATCGACTCGCCGCCGTATCCTCTCTCCACGCTGCCGTGAGTGCCACCGTCCTGTAAGTTGTCCCAGTGGTTGACCCATCGTATCGGTGCGTCGGGATTTGATGTGTAGGACTCTGATGGCACGTTGCCTTGGGCGAGGGCGTTGAGGTAGTTGAAGGCGCCGTAAAGAGCGCCTCGATCGTTCTCACCAATAATGTGAACGTCAGATCCAGATATGCTTATGTGGTAGCCGTCTGCGATCAGCTCATCATCGTCAAGATCCACATCCATCGAAGCGTCAGCGAATTGGTCGACAGTGCCAACCATGAGGGTCCCGGAGTGGCCGTGCGAACCGTGGTGTTTCGCCGAAGATGTATCGCTGACTTGAACATCCTTGTCCAGGATACCAGCAAAACCCAACGCAAGCTCCTGGCCGGCCGTATACACAGGACTGGCTTCGGAGTTGTTTAGTGCTACGATCCTTCCAGGAACCTCATGTCGAAGTTTCCCGCAATTTGGGACCCTAGCATATCTCAACCAAGCTGGATACATGTCAGCATACGTCTCAGATATGATCGGGGTTCGTCCGTGAATTTGTTACCATCAATTCCAGTCTCCGCCACGACAGGTTGCAGCAACGGCAATAGGAGAGCCCACAACATCTTGCCAAAGCCGAATTGGAGTGTCTGAGATGACGGTCTGGTGGTAGCGAAGCCATTTTGGTGGTGGTAGAAGGCACTTTATTGCCTCCATTTCTTCCATGTCGGTCTTTGATCTGCCGTCAAAGCTGCAGTACTAAGCCCGCAGCAATTTAGCCGCAATACCAATCGATATCTTGGCGAATATGGAGATGCGGAGAAGGATGCAATAAACGGTGACGTCGCAAGTGTCTAAGGTAAGAGTCTGCCCACCTGCCCATCTGGACGAACTCGCACAAGTCTGGAATCGTCGAGCGGGTGATTAGAATGTCGGCGTTTGACCTGCAACATTCAGCCTCTTATCCAGTGGTCAGAACTTCATTCGTACTTGGATTGGTCTTCTTCTCCTGAGTTCAACCACATGGGTGGGTGGGTTGCACAAAGTAGATATGCCAATTCTTGCCTTGCATCTTACCTTCAACGGTGCTTACCGAGCTAATGTACCCACAGCTCGTCTATGTGGCAAGAGAACTCTGGCAAGCTGATGGCAATCTGGTTTCGAGGAGATGAAGGGAAGCCTCGAAAAGGCAGCTGAAACGACCTCCAACTCGCGGGGTTCAATCTACAACCCCAGTCGCCTGTGCGACTTTTCTCAACTACCGGCTGCACAACCATGTCTAACAGCTCACCGTCTGCGTTCGAGTATGCATGCGTGCAGATCTGTCGCTAACACTCAGTAAAAACAGCCACCAGGAACAGGTATGTGCTTTCATATTGACTTGTTCTCTCTCATACTCTCCTCTTGAACGTTCCATTTCCTCGCTTCCTGACACGCCTTTGCCCGCCTTCTATCCGGTCCCATGTTGCTTCCACCGCAACTGAGCAAGGCTGTCTTGCCGTTCTTCGCAACGCTTGCCAGCCTAGGCGGCTCACTGCCAACTGGCCATGCTTCTCAAGCAGCGTCGTACGACTTTGTAAGTACGCACATGCTCCCAGCTTGCTTGCCGCATGTTCTGAGTCTATCCAGATCGTGGTCGGTGGAGGCACAGCGGGCAACGTGGTCGCCACACGTCTCAGCCAGCAACTGCTGCATTGCAGCATTCTCGTCATCGAGGCTGGACCATGGGCTCTGGACGAAGACCGCATCAACATACCAGGCTTCAAGGGCTCGACATTGGGTACGAAGTACGACTGGAATATCACTTCGATCCCGCAACCGCAGCTCGATGGTCGGATCATAACTCAATCCCGTGGCAAAGTCGTCGGTATGTATTCATACTCCTTCTTGCCCAATATTCTCTGAGCCACCAGGAGCTGAAGTTTGTGTATTCAGGTGGGACATCAGCAATCAACCTCCTCATCTATGACCGCGCTTCCGAACCCGAATACCAAACATGGGAAGATCTCGGCAACCCAGGCTGGGGCTGGGACACCATGGTTCGGGTTATGGACAAGTCTTCCAACTTTACTAAACCACGGTCATACACCGGGACGACGAACTATGGCACCAGCGGTCCAATCAACGCCGTAGTCGATCGCTACAGGCCCGCGCAGCAGAAAGGCTGGATCTCGACGTTTGAGAATCTTGGTATCGAGCATAATACCGAATGGATGGGTGGTGAGAATGAGGGTGTAGCGTTCCATTCCAGCACGATTGATCCGACAAAGTACACGAGATCGTATAGTGCTGTGGAGTATCTACCTCGTGCTGGGTCGAATGTGCATGTGATGCCCAATACTGAGGTGGCGAAGGTGAATCTGGAGAAGAAGGGAGGGAAGTTCGTTGCTACCGGTGTTACGCTTCTCGATGGTGATATCATCATGGCTAAGAACGAAGTGATTCTGTCAGCTGGCACGATCAAGAGTCCTCAGATCCTGGAGCTCTCTGGAATTGGTGGTGATACTCTGCAAACCTACGGTATCGAGCGGAAGATCCACCTCCCAGGCGTAGGTGAGAACCTCCAGGACCACCCACGCATCCAACTTGCCTTCCAACTCAAAGACAAATACACCTCCTTCGACAGACTCAAGATCGACCCCGACTACGCCGCTGAGCAACTCGCACTCTGGAGAGCCAACGAGTATTCCGCCTACGATTTCGCTGCGGGAGCTTTCAGCTACCAGAACTGGAGCTCCATTCTCGGACCCGACGAAGACCAGCTCGTCAACGCCGCGAAACGTGTCGTAGCCAAATTCGAAAACAACATCGTCGACCGCACCAAACTCAACTTCCTCACCGACCCTGCCCTAAGCTCCTCAATCGTGCAAGCCGAGTTCATCCTCTCCGACGGCTACACAGGCAGCAAAGGCTACCCGCTCGCCAACAGCACTTTATACGGCAAAGGCTTCTTCACCATCATCGCGGGTCTGATGCACGAGCTCGCTCGGGGGTCGGTGCATATCAATTCCTCTGAGCCGGGGGTAAATCCGGCTTACGACCCTGCTTTCGCGAGTAATGCGTATGACCTGCAGGGACTGGTGGCGATGGCGAAGTATATTCGTAAGGTCGCGAATACGGCGCCTTTGGCCAATACTTGGGTATCGGAGTACGAGCCCGGGGTGGAGGAAGTGCAGACCGATGAGGAGTGGGAAGAGTATGTCAGGGAGAATGTGAATACATTCTATCATCCAGTGGGGACTTGTGCGATGTTGCCGCGCAAAGAGGGCGGGGTGGTTGATCCGGGGTTGAAGGTGTATGGCACGAGGAATTTGAGGGTCGTGGATGCTTCGGTCATCCCGCTGTTGTTGTCGGCGCATCCGCAGAGTGGGATTTACGGGATTGCGGAGAGGGCGGCTGAGACTGTTGCTGGAGAGTGGCGGCGTCGTTGAGCGAGTAGATTGGTGGTGGATGGGAGCAGATGATCCACAAAACTCGGTGACTATCCTCATAAACTGCGGCCTTGCAAGCAAATACAAAGAGTGGGAGAGAGAAGGAGAGGAGAGAGAGAAGGAGATGCATTCACTAGACCCATCTACTTGATCTTCTCAAGCCAACTCTTTTTCGCCCGATCGATGCGGCGAGACCGAGCGGTTATCTTCCTCGTCTTTCTTCCCTTTCAAAGCCATCTCTTCGCCAATTTCCTTCAAGCTCACTCCCTGCGCGCGTAAGTTCTCCAAATACTTCGCGTGCTCGGCCTCGGCCGCTCGCTCCTCCGGGGACATTTCGGGTCCAAGGAAGAGGAATAACAGCAGGTATGCCCAGACGGCTCCTAGGAAGATTGCGATGACTTTGCCGTAATTGAAACGCTCCTCACCGTCCGGGCCAGGAGGAAGAGGATACCGCTCTCCGATGGTCGCCTGGATTGTCGCTGAAGCCGATGAGACCAAGTTGCCTAGCTGATATGTGAATCCCACCAGAAGGGTGCGCAAAGTCGGAGGGTTGACTTCGACAAGATAGATGGGGATTGGTCCCCAGACACCACCGACACAGAGCTGCTCAAAGAAGACGGTTGCGACCAAATCCATGTTACGCGGGAGGATGTAGCCCGGAATGAGTGCTGCGCCAATAACGCAGGTAATCATCATGGACAATCGTCGGCCGGTGAAGGTGCTGAAGTATCCTACGATGTTGGCACCAATGAACGCGCCAGCCTGTCCGACGACCGTGATGATCGTGACCTGCGTCGGTGTCTTGCCAAGCTGCGACTTGAGAAAGGTGGGATAGAAGTCCTGGCTGCCGTGCGAGATGGCATTGAAGCCGGACATGATGACGACGAGGAAGATGAACAAGACCCAGTTGTCTTTGAGCGACTTGGCAGAGTCTTTAAGGAAGGCACGGAAGCCATTTGCACGGCCAGCGGTCGCGCCGCCACTGTCGGCGTGCTCCAAACGATTTCTTGCTTCGCGCTCCGCTTTCATCACTTGGAAGTAGTTCGTCTCCGGCAAGCAAAGACGGAAGGCAATGATCAGGACGGGCGGACCTGCGCCAAACCAGAACAGGCTCCTCCACCCGTGTGTGGTGGTTGGGACAAGTGCACGGTAGAAGGCGGCGGCGAGAAGGTAGCCGATTGCGTATCCCATCTCGAAGAATCCGCTGTTTGCAAAGCAAACCAATCAGCATCGGTGAGATCGGGGCTGCGGGCGAACCATACCTCAAAACGCCTCGCGCGTCGTACGACAGATCCTCCAGGGCGGTGGCGGCAGCGGGTCCAAAGAGTCCGCCCATTGCGATTCCATACAACGATCGTACTGCAAGGAACTGCGAGAGGTTTTGGCAGAAGCCAGAGCCAAGCTCGAGCACAATGAAGAGAAACAAGTTGACGATGAACGGCCACTTACGGCCATCTGCAATAGCAAGTTAGCCCTACTTGACAAAGCCAGCTCTTGCTTGCTAGCGTTCGAGGGCATATGGGACGTACAGCGGTCGGAGAAGACCCCTGAGATTAGGGCGCCGACGGAGCGCAACATCAAAGTCACGGTAATGCCCTGGCTTCTTCTCAGCATGGCGAGGCATCAAAAGATGTAGTATGGCCTTCTTACCCATGTCACACTCGCTGCATCCTCGTCGAAGTCTGCGGCGATTTCGGTAACGGTGAGGGACACCGTGAAGAAGTCAAACGCGTCCCATGTCCATCCCAGAAAGCCCACGGTGAACATGAGCCATTGGTGTAGATCCAACTCGCGGAGCACAGCAATGGGGGAACGAAGCTTGTTCTGATTGAATGTTGGTAAGTGTCTTGGTTGGAGTAGGCCGATGGAGTAACACTTACTCTAGGCGGTTTGAGGGTTACGAATCGCCGCGGAATGTAGCTAGCGATTTGTCGAGGTGAATAGAACCACCCGGCTTCCATATAATTCTTCATGGCTAGTCAGTCGCCGTCTGACGCGGACAAAGAAGGAATAGAATACGCGATGCCCAGTCATGGGAATCTTGCCTTATTCTTAAGGGAAGACGAAGGAGCTTCTCTCAACCCGCACCCCGCAACCCCATTCCCCGCAGGTGCTACATGTATCTGTGACATGGTTTCTACGTTCACGCCCAGGATGTTACTAACCGATGATTTCGATCCAGTGATAAAAAGATCGTCCGCGGACTTGAAGCTTTGCAAGCAAACGAGAAGTGAGTGCCCAGCCTCCAGTGTGTCGATCTGGTCTTGGAAGCGAGATCGACCGTGTGTGAGAGCACTGCTCGAGAGGAGGTGCCACGGTTGGAGTGCCGATCAACAAGGGCCGTACACCCCTTTTCACGTGGCTCGCGTGGCCCGCGTGGCCCGCGTGGCCAGTCAGCATTGTCTAGGTACCATGGCGAGCATGGGTGCTGCTCTAATCCTCGGTGGAGCTGACCTTGAAGCACGAGTCTTTAGCGGATGGACGTCACTCGGTCTCTGCTCTGCTGTTCAAGCGAGCCAAGGCAAACAACCTCAGATCGTTGCCTATTTGCGCAAGGTGCAAGTCTGAAGGCTCGGACGAAGGTGCGTGGAAAGCTCTATCCAGCTTCCCAGTTCAAGCTCAAGGTCCTTGATAGTACTGCCTCGTAGAGCCTTGTACCACCAGGAGATCGGAGCCGCGAGAGCTAGCGCGGATGTCAGAGCAGTGTTCGAGAGAGCAGTAGCGATAGCAAGATAGACGGTTGGTTGCCAATACCAGCCTGTCGTCGGATCCTGATGTGAAGCAGACAAAATGGCCAGAGAGTATACCAGGGAAATGACCGAAACCAGGAGCGTAAAGACGCCCAGGAGCGGCTGTAGGACGCCATGTATGGTATTGTGTTGGTATCTGAGGTTGATTTGATCCAACCTTGTTGGCCAGAGTAGAAGACGGCGAAACGGGAGTCTCGACGAAAACCTGCTCCTTGGAGGCTTCTGTAGGAGGGGTCGCCATGGTATCCTGAATACTGAATCCTTTCGGCTCATCGCCTTACCAAAGCGCAAGACCTGGAGACAAGTATACAACGACCACGCATAGCTCTGGTTCACATGTGTGATGACTAACAGAGTGAGTGAAGGCGACTATGCTTAGATAAGAGACGAGGCGTTGATCGGGTGAAATGAATAGATCGAAACTCACATGTCCATCGATGTGCGTGTTCGCGATAGTTGCAAACAGAGAGAGCTACGCTCCGCCGGAGAGCTTCGTCGTCGCTTCTTGCTACCCAATGTGGATCAAGCGCCAGGAGCTGAAGGAGATCGAGTGCTGCTACACCGTAGTCCCGTACAAATTGATCGCTTGCAGTATCTCACACTTGAAGAGTACGCCGTATCACCTCGAGATCTGCTTCTTCAAAGCCAAGCTGCTCGATGATGTAGCGCAGTGGACTACCATGCTTCTCGTCAACACTCGCCAGGAACTTGGTCGTTGTCGCCGCTCTGCATCAAAAGCATCAGCACCAACCACCAGGTTAAAAAGTTGTCAGCCCACTTGATGATAGCCATAGCCTGATACCGCTCACTGTTCATGTCAATAGCTCTCCCACCCGTAAGCTTCGCAGTCAGTGCTTTGGTGCGATGGACTCATAAAAGCTGGTGAAACAGTACTGACGGGATCGTGATAAAAGTTCATATATTGTTCGACACTTCACAGCTATTTCCTCGGTATGCTCAACATAATCATCAGCCATAGCAACACCACTGTCGTGCGCGCAGACTACATGTAGGAGATGAAGTACACTATCAATGCAATCGTAGTCCCTAGTTGTTCTTGCAAGAGGTGACCGTGACGGTGGTTGTTTGACCTTTCCCTCCTGCAGCTGTTGTGACGGTGGAAGTAATAGTGGCAGTGCTGGTAACGGTAGCGGTTCTCGTAGTAGTGGCGGTATTCGTAATCGTCGCTGCAGGTTGGGTCTCCGTTCTGAAAATTGTAGCCGCTGGCTGAGTTTCCGTCCTGGTCTCGGTTTCTGTCTGCGTCTCCGCCGGCAGGGTTTCCGTTCTGGTCTCGGTTTCTGTCTGCGTCTGCGTCTGCGTCTGTGTCACAGCTGGCAGAGTCTCGGTCCGGGTCTCGGTTTCTGTCTGCGTCTCCGCCGGCAGGGTTTCCGTTCTGGTCTCGGTTTCTGTCTGCGTCTGCGTCTGCG